AGAGAGAGAGACTAAAGCAAGAGAGATCAGAGAGAGAGAGAGAGACTAGAGCAAGAGAGATCAGAGAGAGAGTGAGAGAGAGAGAGAGAGAGAGACTAGAGCAAGAGAGATCAGAGAGACAAGAGAGAGAGACTAGAGCAAGAGAGATCAGAGAGAGAGAGAGAGAGACTAGAGAAATAGAGAGAAAGAGACACCAGACAGAGAGAGTCCAGAAAGAGAGAGCGCAGAGACTTTTTCATTGTGCTTGGAACACAACACAAACATAATAATAAAGTTTAAAGTCCAACAATGGGACTGTTTATATTATCACACACACAGAGTCTGAGCTGCTGCGTCACTGTACAACCATTCTATATCCAGGGCATTCTGGGAAAATATACTAAATATCAAATGATTAATAAGTACCTTTTTGTGCAAAGTTCTCTATGGAGGGTTGACTCTCATTCACTAGAGTACAGTAACCGAGCTCCTGTGGCCCTAATGTACAAGAATAATTGAATTGAGTTGGAATGAATCTATTCAGAAATTCGACAACAGTCATGATGATCTGAGGCGTGAGGAGGATGGAGAGAGGTCCTGGTCTCTGATTGGACGGTTTCCCTTCGTCCTCTGCCTTCCCCTGGTGCTGCACGCTCACAATTTCACCGAGAAAATCTTCAAACAGTCCCATCTCTAAAAGTACAACTGGAGAAGTCACAGCCGTGCAGGGAACTGGGTTAAAACAGTTGTTGTTGTTGTCTGTGGTCCTTCCTCCTCGGCTGCTCGCTCGCTCTCACCTCCACGTGTTTCCGACATAATGAGATTTGGCTTTGATTCTCTACACCGCTAGGAGGGGGGAGGAGGGGGGGAGGAGGGGGGAGGAGGGGGGGAGGAGGGGGGAGAAGTTGTGTGAGATAAAAACCACTGACAAGGTGGTGTCGTTTTAAACTGTTGTTCTGATGAATAATTGAAGAGGCTCGTAAATAACAGATTTCTGGGGCATGTGAAGCCGGAGCCAAACAGAGCGAGTGCCTTAAGGGGGAGAAGCAGGAAGTAAAGTGGAAACTGTTAAAGAAGTGTCCCTGAGCAGAGGAACAAGGACAAAAGGAGATTTCTGTGTGTAATGGGATAACGGAGAGTCAAGGTCTTCACCCAAACAACTGCATTTACATATTTATAAGTACGGCAGAGAACAGGCTCTGTTTAATATTATGACGGTAAGACCAGAGCAAGACCAGAGCAAGACCGGAGCAAGACCAGAGCAAGACCAGAGCAAGACCAGAGCAAGACCAGAGCAAGACCGGAGCAAGACCAGAGCAAGACCAGAGCAAGACCAGAGCAAGACCAGAGCAAGACCGGAGCAAGACCGGAGCAAGACCAGAGCAAGACCAGAGCAAGACCGGAGCAAGACCAGAGCAAGACCAGAGCAAGACCAGAGCAAGACCAGAGCAAGACCAGAGCAAGACCGGAGCAAGAGCAGAAACGACTGTGGGACTGAGGCGTCATGTTAGAATGTTGTTTTAATCAGTCTATTTTACTTCTGTGGTCAATTATAATGTGGAACTGAAATGAAAAGGGAGATATATCTATAGAATGAGTTTATTATGAATGTTTGTGGAGAGAAAGTGCCTGGAAAAAGCCTCCTGGATCCACAGCCTCAGTCCTGGATCTACAGCCTCAGTCCTGGGTCTACAGCCTCAGTCCTGGGTCTACAGCCTCAGTCCTGGATCTACAGCCTCAGTCCTGGGTCTACAGCCTCAGTCCTGGATCTACAGCCTCAGTCCTGGATCTACAGCCTCAGTCTTGGATCTACAGCCTCAGACCTGGGTCTACAGCCTCAGACCTGGGTCTACAGCCTCAGTCCTGGGTCTACAGCCTCAGTCTTGGATCTACAGCCTGTCTGTCCGTGGGAGCAGATCCCTCTCTCAGTGTGGACCTTCCCAAGTGTTTCTGAGTGGTTTTTCTCTAAAGACAGAGATGATCCAGGACCTTTCTGGACAGTGGTCTTCCCGCTCTCTATCGACCAATGTCTCCTGTGTTCAAACTGTTTGATTTTCGGATCAGTTGTAGGTGAATCCAGGTCCTACTCAGGGACTACAGGAGTAAATTAGCACAAAAAAAATCGTACCAATCGTGTTGAATTTTAGTATAAATCGTTGGATGAGGCTTTTTATAACAACTCAAATACTTGTTTTCTCTTTATCGGTCCCATACAAACATCGAACATGATCTAGATCTTTCTGTGCTGTATTTATAACTGCCTAGAACTAAACCCAACTAAAAAAGTTTGGCAGAAGTTGGACTGCAGTAATAACTCCCACAAACCCTCTCTTGGATCTGAAACTTGTGGAAACCTAATAACCTCTCTCTTCCTTCCGTCACAACTGCAACTTTCCCTGAGGCCAGAAATAAAAAAAACTGCACACGAGACGAGGACTTAAACCAGGAATCTCTTTTATATTCACCAGTCATAGAAGTCCAACAGCAGGACACACAGGAGAGGACACAGGTCTGCATTATCAAAGTGTCGGACCATAAGTGTCGGACCATAACGAGTTCATGCATGAGGAGTACACATGGTCACGACAGTTATAACGATAGGAAAGTAGGCAAATGTTAAAAATCCAGGTACAAACTTTACAAAGATAATCTCATGTGCTTGATATAGGAGTGAGGGAGGGGGGTGGGGGAGTGAGGGGGGTGAGGGGGGTGAGGGGAGTGAGGGGAGTGAGGGGGGTGAAGGGGGTGAGGGGAGTGAAGGGGGTGTGCTGGTCCTCTGTCTCCAGTGCGATGTTATTGCATTACTTGGATATTACAACTAGAGACTTGGAGTGTGCTTACCCCGCCGACAGAGAGACAGACCGGAGCATTTCTAATAACAGAGAGAGAGAGAGAGAGAGAGGGAGAGGGAGAGACCAGAGAGAGACCAGAGATAGAGAGGGAGAGCAGAGAGCCAGAGGGACCAGAGAGAGAGGGACCAGAGAGCAAGAGGGACCAGAGAGAGAGAGAGAGAGAGAGAGAGACCAGAGAGAGAGAGAAGAACCAGGGTATTTCTGGTCACAGTGAGAGAGAGACCTACATTGATGAGGTACAAACAAGAAGCTACACTGCAAAAAATGATACATTATGAGGTAATCATTGGGTGAGTTTGAGTTCATTCTGACTGCTTTAAGATTTGCAAATAGGACAAAAACATTAATTTCAAGACTTGTTGCTTTATTTTCTCATTCCAAAAAAATATATTTCTTGAATATTTTTTAAAACAAGATCATTTTGCTTTTTCCCATTGGCAAATCTTATGTTAAGGCAGTTGGAATGTGCTAAAAGTAAGATACATTTTGCCAAATTTGAGCCATTTTCTGACTTTTTTTCCATCACTTTTTGCAGTTTAATGGGGAGATAAACACAAAAAAACAAACAGCAAAAATATATGGGTCATTCTAGTCTTCATCAGATTCTTTTCTCTGTCTTTGCAGCACAACAGACACCAGAGGTCCAGGAGACAGAGACAGAATGACCTGATGAAGGCTGGAAAGGCATTTTGCTTTCTTGTTTTTGAACTAGAGTCTTCCTGCATCACATCCAGCCGCACAGTTATGGTCTCACCGGAGAGCGACTCATGTCTTATCGAGCAACACAGTAACATTTCAATAAATATCAGAGAGAGAGACCAGAGAGAGACCACAGAGAGAGACTACAGGGAGACCAGAGAGAGAGACACCAGAGAGACCAGAGAGAGAGACACCAGAGAGACCAGAGAGAGCGGAGAGACTTTTTCATTGTGCTTGGAACACAACACAAACATAATAATAAAGTTTAAAGTCCAACAATGGGACTGTTTATATTATCACACACACAGAGTCTGAGCTGCTGCGTCACTGTACAACCATTCTATATCCAGGGCATTCTGGGAAAATATACAAAATATCAAATGACTAATTATATTAAGTACCTTTTTGTGCAAAGTTCTCTATGGAGGGTTGACTCTCATTCACTAGAGTACAGTAACTAGAATCTGGTTTAGCTGCTGCTGAGTTTTAGCCAGAGTTTTAGAGTTTAAGTTAGCTTCAGCAAAAACCGAACTGCCGGAAGAAGTTCACAACATGATGAGTCTAAAACATCTGGTGCTGTCGAGTGAAATGTCCGGATCAAAGGACCACAAATACTGTCGTTATCACACTCTGACTCTTTAAAAGACTGTTACAGATACGGAACAAAGACATCAGACTGCTATGTACACAAGTCTGCTTATGAGGCTGCTCTGGGTGTGTGGGGCTTCGTCTCCAGCTGTTTAGGTCAGGGGTATTCAGCTCGGACCTCAAAGGGCCTTGTGGCTGCAGGTTTTCATTCCAACCAAGCAGGAGCACACCTGACTCCAGCTATTTACCCAAGTCTTCAGGTTCAGATTGGACCAAGGCTCAGAGATCCAAGATGTCGGTCTATTCATAGTAATGGCTTGTGCTTATTGGCATCCTGGGTCTACAGCCTCAGTCCTGGGTCTACAGCCTCAGTCCTGGGTCTATAGCCTGAGTCCTGGGTCTATAGCCTCAGTCCTGGGTCTACAGCCTCAGTCCTGGGTCTATAGCCTGAGTCCTGGGTCTACAGCCTCAGTCCTGGGTCTACAGCCTCAGTCCTGGGTCTATAGCCTGAGTCCTGGAGCTACAGCCTCAGTCCTGGGTCTATAGCCTCCCTCTGGACCACTGGCTCCTATGTGTTTGCTCGTAATATTGCACTTCCTGTGTTCGAACTGTTTGATTCTCTGATCTGTTGTTGTTGAATCCACAACTTTACAACGTTACTCAAAAACATTGTATTGAATAGAATCATGCTGGAGACCTGCTTAAGCAGAACACCCTCCAGATAATATAACACATCCATGGACTGGACTCACTTGAGGAAATGGAGCGTTGTTTGCTCCTGCTTAGTTGGAATGAAAACCTGCAGCCTTGAATCCCCCTGACTTCGAAGGACTTTCCACACTTTTCTATACATACAACTGAAGCCCAAACAAGCACACATCCTTAGAGTGGATTCTCAAAGTTCCCCAGGCCGTTCAGGATGAAGACCTGGGCCTGCCTCCTGGTGTTTCGGTCCATGCGGCTCAGAATGGGCACCAGGCTCATGGCGAAGTGGTACGACTCGTCCAGGTCTGTGGTGGGGACGTCTTTGGGACAGGGCGGGATGGGACCCAGCGATCCGAGGGGACTGATGGACAGGGGGGACGAGGAGCGCTTTATCTTAGGGAGACGAGACGACACGATCTCTGCTGAAGCTGCAGCGGCCGCCAGGAGGTCTCCGTTCTCCCCCAGAGAGTCGGCGTCTCCGTCTGTGTCGTCGCAGTAACGTTTATTGCTGCTGCTGCTGCTGCTGCCGCCGTTACCACTGGTCAAGAGAGAGGACGAGAGATACAGGTTACTACTACTACTGCTGCTGCTGCTGCTGCTACCACTGGTCAAGAGAGACGAGAAGGGATACAGGCAATTACATAAGCTTTGCTCTACTCTTAAGCTATTACTACTACTACTACTAATACTACTGCTATTACTACTACTGCCGTTGCTGATGCCGCTGTTACCACTGGTCAATAGTGAGGACCAGAGATACAGGTCATTACATAAGCTCTAGTCTAGTCTACTCTACTGCTGCTGTTGCTGTTACCACTTGTCAAGAGAGAGATGAAGAGATAAAGGCCATGTCCACACGTAGCCGGGTATTTTAAAAACCGAATATTTCCCCTCTCCGTTTATAAAATAATTTGCATCCACACATAACCAAACATCTGCGCTTTCAATCACATTCAGAACATTCCAAACATGTGCGTCCTCTGACGTCCTGCGTTGGGGAAAAACACAGAAGTGGGCGGAGCTTAGATGCAGACACGGTACTTCTGTAGCGGAACTTTCACAGTCACAGAAGAAACTCAAGATAAAGACATATGTTTCCAAGCACTGATCCCCCTGGTTTAATCCTGGTTTAGTCCTGGTTTAGTCCTAGTTTAGTCCTAGTTTAGTCCTGATTTCGAGCGTGCGTGATCACTTTGCTGCTCTCTGATGTGGAGGATGTAGTAAGATCCATACTTCGTCAGTGATCAGAGGTTGCATGTTTTGTTTGTTATTTTGGGGGGATATTGTGACGTGAAAAAACGCAAAACTGTTTATCTCTGTCTACACGCAAATGCATAAACAGAGTTTTCAAAAATCTCCACTTTGCCCAGAGGTTTTTTTATATATTCGTTTATGATGCGTTGTCATGTGGATGACAGGTGCAAACAGATACCAGGCTATGTGTGGACGGGGCCAGAGGTAACTACATAAGCTTTGAACTGTTCTACCTATACTCCTACTACTGCTACTACTATAAGATACAGGTTATTACATAAGCTCTAATCTAGTCTACTCTACTCGCTGCTGTTACCACTGGTCAAGAGAGCAGAGGAAATACAGGTTATTATTATACTTTATTTACTTACTCGCTGCAGCCGTAACCACTGATCAGACAGAGGAGAGAAGATACAGGTCTCTTCCCGCATGACCACTTCATAACTTATCATTGACCCCTGCCCTTTATGACAGTCCCCTTATTCTACTGTCCCTTTACTGCACTGATAAAGGTCTCTCGTGTGCATTTGTATGTAGTAGATATAGTAGAGAGAAAAATGCGAGTAGAGTAGAGCTGGTGGAAATAGCTATATTTACTTGTACTTTTTTTGGTAATACACATGTAGTTGAACCTTAATGTCAGTTACCGTCTGCTTTGGAGGAAAGGCAAGAGGAAAGCCATCTTCTCTGCGTATCTGTATTCTTTCTGAACGTTCTTAGCCTTGACGTATCCGTCCCGCAGAGCCTTCCATCTGGATTTACAGAAGTCCACTGAAAACACAACACAACATCACTAAACAGTATCACAACAGCAGCTGATGCACTGTTATTCTGTCTTCACGGTCATTTATTCAGGTAGTTTTTTTTATTTAGCACAGTTCAGTAAATAGAGGAAAGATATAATCCTTCAGTTATAGGCACAGCTAAACAGAACTGTTTTTAATCTGGATTTAAACATTGTCAGAGAAGAAGCCTGTCTCACATTTTAAGGAAGACTGTCCCAGATTTTTGCTGCATAACTCTGACATGTTTAGTCCTGACAGGTGAGAAAGGAGAGGAGGTCTCTCTCAGGTCTCTCTGGTCTCTCACTCTGGTCACTTACTCTGTGGTCTCTCTCTCTGGTCACTCTCTCTGTGGTCTCTCACTCTGGTCATTCTCTCTGTGTTGTCTCTCACTCTGGTCACTCTCTCTGTGGTCTCTCTCACTCTGGTCACTCTCTCTGTGGTCTCTCACTCTGGTCATTCTCTCTGTGGTCTCCCACTCTGGTCACTCTCTCTGTGGTCTCTCTCACTCTGGTCACTCTATCTGTGGTCTCTCACTCTGGTCACTCTCTCTGTGGTCTCTCACTCTGGTCACTCTCTCTGTGGTCTCTCACTCTGGTCATTCTCTCTGTGGTCTCTCACTCTGGTCACTCTCTCTGTGGTCTCTCACTCTGGTCACTCTCTCTGTGGTCTCTCACTCTGGTCATTCTCTCTGTGGTCTCTCACTCTGGTCACTCTCTCTGTGGTCTCTCTCACTCTGGTCATTCTCTCTGTGGTCTCTCACTCTGGTCACTCTCTCTGTGGTCTCTCTCACTCTGGTCACTCTATCTGTTGTCTCTCACTCTGGTCACTCTCTCTGTGGTCTCTCACTCTGGTCACTCTCTCTGTGGTCTCTCACTCTGGTCACTCTATCTGTTGTCTCTCACTCTGGTCATTCTCTCTGTGGTCTCTCACTCTGGTCACTCTCTCTGTGGTCTCTCTCACTCTGGTCACTCTATCTGTTGTCTCTCACTCTGGTCACTCTCTCTGTGGTCTCTCACTCTGGTCATTCTCTCTGTGGTCTCTCACTCTGGTCACTCTCTCTGTGGTCTCTCACTCTGGTCACTCTATCTGTTGTCTCTCACTCTGGTCATTCTCTCTGTGGTCTCTCACTCTGGTCACTCTCTCTGTGGTCTCTCTCACTCTGGTCACTCTATCTGTTGTCTCTCACTCTGGTCACTCTCTCTGTGGTCTCTCACTCTGGTCATTCTCTCTGTGGTCTCTCACTCTGGTCACTCTCTCTGTGGTCTCTCACTCTGGTCACTCTATCTGTTGTCTCTCACTCTGGTCACTCTCTCTGTGGTCTCTCACTCTGGTCACTCTATCTGTTGTCTCTCACTCTGGTCACTCTCACTCTGGTCACTCTCTCTGTGGTCTCTCACTCTGGTCTCTCTCTCTGTGTCTCTCTCTGGTCCTCTCTCTGGTCTCTCTCTCTGGTCACTCTCTCTCTGTCACTCTCTCTGTGGTCTCTCACTCTGGTCACTCTATCTGTTGTCTCTCACTCTGGTCACTCTCACTCTGGTCACTCTCTCTGTGGTCTCTCACTCTGGTCACTCTATCTGTTGTCTCTCACTCTGGTCACTCTCACTCTGGTCACTCTCTCTGTGGTCACTCTCACTCTGGTCACTCTCTCTGTGGTCTCTCACTCTGGTCACTCTATCTGTTGTCACTCACTCTGGTCACTCTCACTCTGGTCACTCTCTCTGTGGTCACTCTCACTCTGGTCACTCTCTCTGTGGTCTCTCACTCTGGTCACTCTATCTGTTGTCTCTCACTCTGGTCACTCTCACTCTGGTCATTCTCTCTGTGGTCTCTCACTCTGGTCATTCTCTCTGTGGTCTCTCACTCTGGTCACTCTCTCTGTGGTCTCTCACTCTGGTCACTCTATCTGTTGTCTCTCACTCTGGTCACTCTCTCTGTGGTCTCTCACTCTGGTCACTCTATCTGTTGTCTCTCACTCTGGTCACTCTCACTCTGGTCATCTCTCTCTGTGGTCTCTCACTCTGGTCACTCTCTCTGTGGTCTCTCACTCTGGTCACTCTATCTGTTGTCTCTCACTCTGGTCACTCTCTCTGTGGTCTCTCACTCTGGTCACTCTATCTGTTGTCTCTCACTCTGGTCACTCTCTCTGTGGTCTCTCACTCTGGTCACTCTCTCTGTGGTCTCTCACTCTGGTCACTCTATCTGTTGTCTCTCACTCTGGTCACTCTCTCTGTGGTCTCTCACTCTGGTCACTCTCTCTGTGGTCTCTCACTCTGGTCACTCTATCTGTTGTCTCTCACTCTGGTCACTCTCTCTGTGGTCTCTCACTCTGGTCACTCTATCTGTTGTCTCTCACTCTGGTCACTCTCTCTCTGTGGTCTCTCACTCTGGTCACTCTATCTGTTGTCTCTCACTCTGGTCACTCTCTCTGTGGTCTCTCACTCTGGTCACTCTCTCTGTGGTCTCTCTCACTCTGGTCACTCTATCTGTTGTCTCTCACTCTGGTCACTCTCTCTCTGTGGTCTCTCACTCTGGTCACTCTCTCTGTGGTCTCTCACTCTGGTCATTCTCTCTGTTGTCTCTCACTCTGGTCACTCTCTCTGTGGTCTCTCACTCTGGTCACTCTATCTGTTGTCTCTCACTCTGGTCACTCTCTCTGTGGTCTCTCACTCTGGTCACTCTATCTGTCTCTCTCTCACTCTGGTCTCTCTCTCTGTGGTCTCTCACTCTGGTCACTCTATCTGTTGTCTCTCACTCTGGTCACTCTCTCTGTGGTCTCTCACTCTGGTCACTCTCTCTGTGGTCTCTCTCACTCTGGTCACTCTATCTGTTGTCTCTCACTCTGGTCACTCTCTCTGTGGTCTCTCACTCTGGTCACTCTCTCTGTGGTCTCTCACTCTGGTCATTCTATCTGTTGTCTCTCACTCTGGTCACTCTCTCTGTGGTCTCTCACTCTGGTCACTCTATCTGTGGTCTCTCACTCTGGTCACTCTATCTGTTGTCTCTCACTCTGGTCACTCTCACTCTGGTCACTCTCTCTGTGGTCACTCTCACTCTGGTCACTCTCTCTGTGGTCTCTCACTCTGGTCACTCTATCTGTTGTCTCTCACTCTGGTCACTCTCACTCTGGTCATTCTCTCTGTGGTCTCTCACTCTGGTCATTCTCTCTGTGGTCTCTCACTCTGGTCACTCTCTCTGTGGTCTCTCACTCTGGTCACTCTATCTGTTGTCTCTCACTCTGGTCACTCTCTCTGTGGTCTCTCACTCTGGTCACTCTATCTGTTGTCTCTCACTCTGGTCACTCTCACTCTGGTCATTCTCTCTGTGGTCTCTCACTCTGGTCACTCTCTCTGTGGTCTCTCACTCTGGTCACTCTATCTGTTGTCTCTCACTCTGGTCACTCTCTCTGTGGTCTCTCACTCTGGTCACTCTCTCTGTGGTCTCTCTCACTCTGGTCACTCTATCTGTTGTCTCTCACTCTGGTCACTCTCTCTGTGGTCTCTCACTCTGGTCACTCTCTCTGTGGTCTCTCACTCTGGTCACTCTCTCTGTGGTCTCTCACTCTGGTCATTCTCTCTGTGGTCTCTCACTCTGGTCACTCTCTCTGTGGTCTCTCTCACTCTGGTCATTCTCTCTGTGGTCTCTCACTCTGGTCACTCTCTCTGTGGTCTCTCTCACTCTGGTCACTCTATCTGTTGTCTCTCACTCTGGTCTCTCCTCTCTGTGGTCTCTCACTCTGGTCACTCTCTCTGTGGTCTCTCACTCTGGTCACTCTATCTGTTGTCTCTCACTCTGGTCACTCTCTCTGTGGTCTCTCTCACTCTGGTCACTCTATCTGTTGTCTCTCACTCTGGTCACTCTCTCTGTGGTCTCTCACTCTGGTCATTCTCTCTGTGGTCTCTCACTCTGGTCACTCTCTCTGTGGTCTCTCACTCTGGTCACTCTATCTGTGGTCTCTCACTCTGGTCACTCTCTCTGTGGTCTCTCACTCTGGTCACTCTATCTGTTGTCTCTCACTCTGGTCACTCTCACTCTGGTCACTCTATCTGTTGTCTCTCACTCTGGTCACTCTCTCTGTGGTCTCTCACTCTGGTCACTCTCTCTGTTGTCTCTCACTCTGGTCACTCTCTCTGTGGTCTCTCACTCTGGTCATTCTCTCTGTGGTCTCTCACTCTGGTCACTCTCTCTGTGGTCTCTCACTCTGGTCACTCTCTCTGTGGTCTCTCACTCTGGTCACTCTATCTGTTGTCTCTCACTCTGGTCATTCTCTCTGTGGTCTCTCACTCTGGTCACTCTCTCTGTGGTCTCTCACTCTGGTCACTCTCTCTGTGGTCTCTCACTCTGGTCACTCTCTCTGTGGTCTCTCACTCTGGTCACTCTATCTGTTGTCTCTCACTCTGGTCACTCTCTCTCTCCTCTGGTCTCTCTCTCTCTCCTCTGGTCTCTCTCTCTCTCTGGTCTGTTCCAGATTTCAACACAGACTGACATTGAGCAGAACTTACCCTCTAACCCCAGGATCTTGGCCATCGCGGCCCACTCCTTCTCTTTTACTAAATTGTCTTTGTAAAACAAGTCTTTGGTGTCGTAAAACATCCTTCTCTTCTCAATCTCGCGGATTAGCCTGTCATCGTTCATTTTGCTATACATGTGTGACGTAATCCGACTCCCAGGAGCGAATATTACAGTAAATAGATGAAAGTTGGAAGCGTCGCGTCGCGTCGCGGTGTCCGTGTGCGCGAGAGATCTGCTTCCGAGTACACTCCATTGTTTCCGGGATTCACGCGCGTCACGGAAGCGTCCCGCGGCTCCAAAGCGCGGGGTCGCGTCAAATCAACACAGTGAGAATTTCCGGGTAATTGGCCAATGAGTGACGAGCATTTTTCCCGATCAGCCAATCACAGCAGACCGGAGCGAGCGTCCAATAGGACCGTCTGCCGCTGTCTGTCCACTTGCAGAACATGACAGAATAAAGTTTAACCTCGGGAATGAAAACTGTCCTGTTCAGAGAGTCTGCGTGAATGAATATCAAACACTGAGGATAAGATGCGCTGTCAGTGTTTATCTGAGGACTCACTCTGTCACCTCTGCTCTGCTGAGGGGAGGAGAGGACAAGCTATCTGTTAGCATCACGTTAGCATGCGGAGCTAACAGCGCTGAGCATCTGGACACAGCAGCAGCAGGTAAACATCACACACGTGCATTCAGCTCTTCTGCTCTGACCGTCAGAGAGAGAGTGTGTAATGAGCTGCTACTGAAGTGATTTTATATTTGTGGTGTCTTCAATATTCGAACATGTCCTGTCCATGCAGCTTGTTTTCATGCAGATCATGCTCAAAGGCTGTGTATGCATATAGTTTTAGTGCTTTCTTCTAACTGCTGTGTAAGGCTTATATTGATGCTACTCCTGTTGTTACACTTGTCTCTGTATTTGTCTTCAGTCTTGTTCTGTGCACACACTTATCTTTACAACCTTCTCTTCTGTATGTATTTTCTAATGGAGCTCAGAATTCTATGTCAGATTTTCTTTGTAACTGTCAAAAATTATGACAATGATTTTCCGTCGTTGATTATGTTTTTTGTCACTGTAATTACTACGACTTTTAGCAAAAGAAGCAGAAACTAGAACCAGAGTTGAAACAATTCCCATAGTTCCAGCCTCTGGTCCTCCTGCAGGTGGAACTAGTTCCTGGTCCTCCTGCAGGTGGAACCATCTCCGGGTCCTCCTGCAGGTGGAACCATCTCCGGGTCCTCCTGCAGGTGGAACCATCTCCGGGTCCTCCTGCAGGTGGAACTAGTTCCTGGTCCTCCTGCAGGTGGAACCATCTCCGGGTCCTCCTGCAGGTGGAACCAGTTCCTGGTCCTCCTGCAGGTGGAACCATCTCCGGGTCCTCCTGCAGGTGGAACCATCTCCGGGTCCTCCTGCAGGTGGAACCAGTTCCTGGTCCTCCTGCAGGTGGAACCATCTCCGGGTCCTCCTGCAGGTGGAACCAGTTCCTGGTCCTCTTGCAGGTGGAACCATCTCCGGGTCCACCTGCAGGTGGAACCAGTTCCTGGTCCTCTTGCAGGTGGAACCAGCTTTGTGGTCTTTCAGCTGGAATCAAAATAGATGTTTTGTTGTTTGAGGAATGACCCCAAAGGACCTGACGTGTCAATCACAGTCCCACATCTTAAGTGGCCCCTGAAATGTTTTTTAGTCATTGTTAACTTCCAGCATTGATAGGGATGGGCTTCTATGGCATATTTTGTTATGAATTAGTTGGCAATTATTTCAATAATCACATTCATCCTTTTTTTGTCAAATAAAATGTAATAAATGTAAAATAAATGTAGTACAAATCCACTGCTAGTTTCTCACTTTCAAACTTTTGGTTCAATCACAAGGCGAAAAAAAGAGCAGCTCCCTCACTGTCAGCCCTCAGCCCAAAGCGTCAAATAGTGACTCTTTGGGCCTTTTTTACAAGTATGAAAAAAAATAGTTTTCTAATAAGATAATGAAAGCATGTGACTGTCTGATTAGTTACCAAAATGTTTCTTTTTTAAGACTTACAGTTGGGAGAAACAACATGAAGTAGTTGCTTTAAATTGCTCTTGATGGTCGTGATCGTCTAATGATTTTTGCTAAACAACAAAAACTAAACTGTGTAATGCATGGTGGACACTAGAGGCTGGTGAAAGTCTGTAAACGTGAACCCACTTTTGCCTCTTTTTTCCTCTTGTTCATTATTACAGAGTGAATCGTCAGCATGATCCTGAGTCAGAACACCAGCAGCAGCAGCAGCAGCAGCATCACGGACCTGGTGGCCTCTCTCTGCGACCGCTGTCTGTCCGGCGTGTCCTGGAAGAGGCGAGCTCTGGGGGGAATCTCCAGAGAGAACTTCCACAGAACCCTGAAGAAGCGCGCCTATGGATCTCTGCTATCTACACTGTTCCAGGACCGCAGTAAAGTCACTTCTGCCCCAAACCCGGCCAATCCAACCCCTCCGAGAAACAAGCTGCTGATGATCTGCTTTGACCTGCGGGTGGCGGGATGCAGAGAAGAGGCCGAGCGCTTGGAGGAGCTGCTGGAGAAGCTGCCACAGGGAGAGGATTCAGGTTTGTAGTGTTAACTTTACTTCAATAAATGGATGAAGAACAAACAAGTCACACCAAGTTCCCACTAGTGAAGTCAATAGGAGAAGGTGGTGGAGTAACGTCCAACACCGCAGTGGTGGGGAAAAATGTGATTTCAAATTGATTTAAATGGTGCAAGTATTGTGATATTTGATTAAATAATTATGTGTTTCACTTTTGAGTTTCTCTGAGGTTACTGGTAATTTACATCTGCGTATCACATGCACAAGGTGGCGCTTGTTGCGGTGCTTTGTTTTTGTGCATTCACAGCATTAACCCTGACCCTTCAACAGGAAGTTCAAATGAAAATGCTTCATCACACCTGGTTCTACACATTATAATACGACAAAACAAAATAGAATGAAGGTTTATTTGGTTACAAACAAATCAAAATATGTCTATTTCTTTGCAAATAAGGAAGGTAACCTGAAACGGTGTAGGCTGAAGCCGTGGCTTATAATGCCGACCCTATTAACAAAACATCATCTACCCAACTAAATTAGACAAATGATGTATGTTATATACATACATATACACAAACATATACAATATATATGTATGTACATACAGGCATACACATATATTTGCATACACTTTTGTTTTTTTTGCTGTGTATTTAACTTAGTCTTTGTCAGTATTGCAATTACTTATGTACACATAAGTGGACCTATCCATAACTTAAGAATTCATATATTTATCAAAAATTCTTCTTTTTAAATGTTTTTTTAAACAATTATTGGAATTTGCTCCTTTTGAGATCATTGTTGAGACCATTCCACAAGTCGACCCCTTTGACTGAAATGGTGTGCATTTTAGAGTTGGTTTTGACCATCTGTTTTTAAATATTTTCTCCTCTCAGGTTATATATCTCTTCCCCGTTTTCAAACATGCATAGTATATTTTGAGGCAATTTTTTCCCGTTTACTTTGTGCATGAAGACTATAGTATTCAGAGTGACTATTCAGCGTTATACAATGTTCATAGTTCAGATATTGTTCCATTCTCTCACTGGCATCAAAGCCCCCAACCTCATCCATTTACTCACTCATTACATTCAGACCTATTGTGCGTGTTTTTAGTGGTAGGGGAAACCGGAGCTCCCGGAGGAAACCTACAAAGACACAGGGATAACATGCAAACTCCATTCAGAAACGCCATGATCCGACCGGGATTCGAACCTAGGACCTTGCTGAGAAGCGAGAGTGCTATCTACCCAGCCACTGTGCCCTTAAGCTATAGATAGATGGATAGATACTTTATCATAGGAGAAATTCAGGTGTCCAGTAGCAGCAAAAATAAAATTGATCATTCTAAAAGCTTACAATAGTAATAATAATAAGCAACAGCCCTTCAGGTCACAGCAGCAGAGGTGGCCCTCCTTTAGCATAATAAAGACATATACAATCTCTAGTTTCAGCAGAATAAATAATATTTCCATCCCAGGTCTGACGGAGGTGGACTCTGTGATCGAGCTGCTGGTGCGTCTGGCTGGTTCCTCGCCGCCTCCCGCCGCCACGTTCAGCCAGAACTACATGAGGAGAGAGCGGGCCGTGGTGCGAGAGCCTCAGCCCTGGAGCTACCAGAGCGAGGAGCTGCAGCGGCTGGAGGCCAGGGCCTGGGGGCTCATCTGTGCGGAGGAGTGGGGGACACTGGAGACTCTGTGGGGGACGCAGAGTCTGATGGACGCTCCTCCAGGCTCCGGGCTCCTCGCGCTGAGGAGCAGGACGCAGACGGAGGAGAAGTTTGAGAAGGAGAGCAGGCTGTCTCTGTTCGGGGCTCTTCAGCACACTCGCTCCTCGGACATGGAGCTCAGGCTGGAGGTGCCGCCTGTGCCCAGCAACATCGACGTGACCGGACTGGCCATCAAGGTAGTTCACTAGACAGGAACGGACCTGTGCTAGAGCCACATTTCTACTCTACTCTGCTCTGCTCTACTCTACTCTACTCTACTCTACTCTACTCTACTCTACTCTACTCTACTCTACTCTACTCTACTCTACTCTACCCTACTCTACTCTGCTCTACTCTGCTCTACCCTACTCTACTCTACTCTACTCTACTCTACTCTACTCTACTCTACTCTACTCTACTCTGCTCTACTCTGCCCTACCCTACCCTACTCTACTCTACTCTACTCTACTCTACTCTACTCTACTCTACTCTACTCTACTCTGCCCTACCCTACTCTACTCTACTCTACTCTGCTCTACTCTGCCCTACCCTACTCTACTCTACTCTGCCCTACCCTACTCTACTCTACTCTGCTCTACTCTGCCCTACCCTACCCTACTCTACTCTACTCTACTCTACTCTACTCTGCCCTACTCTACTCTACTCTACTCTACTCTACTCTACTCTGCCCTACCCTACTCTACTCTGCTCTACTCTGCCCTACCCTACTCTGCTCTACTCTGCCCTACCCTACTCTACTCTACTCTACTCTACTCTACTCTTTGTCCTCTCCTTCCCTCTCTCCTATCATCTCTCTCCTCTTCTCTTCTCTTCTCTTTTTGTCTCTCTCCTCTTGTTTTTTCTCTCCCCTCTTCTCTCCCTTCTCCCCTATCCTCTGTTCTTCTCTCTCTCCTCCCGCTCTCTTCTTTTCTTCTCCTTTTCCTGCTATTCTATCCTCTTTTCTTATCTCTCTCCTCTCTCAACTCTCTTTCACCGCTTGCCTCTCTCCTCTTTCTTCTCCCCTCTCTCTCTCCTCACCGTTTTACTCCTATCTCTCCTCTTGTCTCCCTCTCCTTTCTCCCTCCTCTCCTTTTTCTCGCCTCTCTCTTCTCCCCTCCTTATTTCTCCTCTTTCTCTCGTCTCTCTCTCGTCTCTCTCTCCCCTCTCCTCTCTCTCTCCTCCTCCTTAACATGTCTTCGTCCTTGTCTTTGCTCCAGGTTCCTCTTTCTTTAGACCCCTCTGAGGACGAGGGCTTCCAGTCTTCCTCCAACATGACCCCAGACTCTCAGTCCGAGTCCAGTCCGGTCCCGGAGCTGGACGTGTGGGAGGCTCTACTCACGTTTGAACCAGGCCGCCGCCGCTGCTGGGAGTCCGTGGGCTGGTACATCATTTTGTTTTCACATCAGCGCAAACACAATTATCCTGAGAAACGGTTTAATTAACTCCAGCTTTTAGTTACAACGTCGTTCCCTCAAGACGTACATGGATCTGTTTATGTCCTCTTTCATTAGTATTCTGTGCAAAAGAATGTTTTATGAGACACAGGAACTATTCTCAGTCTCTCTGGTCTAGGGCTGGCTGATATGGAGAAAAAAGAAATCTCAATATATTTTTCTATGCGATATACATCTTGATATTTTCACAGTATAAAAAATCAAATTTTTTAATCAAGTTACATCTTTGATTAATCGTAATTAATCACATTTTGAGCTATCGACAAAATTATGCCATATTGTTCTGTAAATGGTTGTTTGAATGGAAAGATAAATGACAACATAGTGTACATATGTACTGTATTTGTTTTTTTTATAACAATAATTAATCCACATGAAATGGCATTAACATCATTAACATTCTGTCTTTCTGTAGTTGACACTATTTTTTCAGTTCAACATATTCCGCTTCAGCTAAAGCCTCCTTTTTATTCTTTTTCTCTGTCTCATAAAGGCTGTGGTAAAATAAGGCACCCCAGCTTGGAGAAACGGACACTCCATAATCCAGCTTCAGAGGTGCATTTATTGCGTGCACAAGTTACACAAAGACACGCACACAACAAGCAGAGAATAGTTCTGTGGTGTGTGGTCTTGGATATGATCGTGTTACGGCCGTGTTGTCAAAATGGCTCACAGCCGCTGGAGGTGGGCAGCTGCCCCGGGTCAGAACACAAGTGCCCCGAGGTCATGCGCATATTCTTTTTAAACTTGAATTCCCAGAGACCTGCTCTGTTGCCATCACAGGCATGTGTCCGTGGCATTCTGAGTGTTATTATGGGATGCATGGGTGGATCATTCGGCACATGCACCAAATGCGTTAACGCGATAATTTTGACAGTCCAAATATATACATGATATGTCAAAACTCAAAGAGAGTTTGAAGAAAATCTTGGTTTATTGTGGATATCGATAAATCACCCAGCCCTACTCTGGTCTCTCTCTCTGGTATCTCACCAGTCTCTCACCAGTCCCTCACCAGTCTCTTTCTGGTCTCTCCGGTCTCTCTGTCTGGTCTCTGGTTATTCGCTGGTTTCTCTCTGGTCTCTTCTTCTACTCCCTCTACTCTCTCTCTCTCTCTCTCTCTCTCTCTCTCTCTCTCTCTCTCTCTCTCTCTCTCTCTCTTTCTCTTTCTCTTTCTCTTTCTCTTTTTCTCTCTGTTTTCATTAACTATAGCTTTTAGTTTGAACGTTCCCTCCAGACATGCATGGATCTGTTTATGTCCTCATTCAGTCTCGCCCATTATTGCTGTTTCCTCGCTCTCAGTCTCAGATTTGACTTGATTTTAAATACAGAGGGATTTGTGACTGTCCTGTTCTGGTTCTTAAATAAATGATAAATGTTGTATGTGAATCAGACGTTGCTGACAGTAAATGATGCACTTACTCTGAATCCTAATGAACTGACGCATCAAATGGGACTCATTTGTGCAAAATAATGTATTATGAGACACCATGGTTAGTTTAGAGCTGTCTCTCTGGTCTCTCTGGTATATCTCTGGTGCCTCTCTGGTGTCTCTTTCTGTTGTCTCTCTCTGGTATATCTCTGGTGTCTCTCTCTGGTCCCTCTCCCTAGTGTTTCTCTCTGATCTCTCCCTGGTGTGTCTCTGGTCTCTCTCTGTCTCTCTCTGGTCTCTCTCTGGCTTTTCTCTGGCTTTTCTCTGGTGCCTTTCTCTGGTCTCTCTCTGTCTCTCTCTGGTCTCTCTCTGGCTTTTCTCTGGTGCCTTTCTCTGGTCTCTCTCTGGTGTCTCTCTTTGGTCTTTCTCTCTGGTGCCTCTCTGGTGTCTCTCTCTGGTGCCTCTCTGGTGTCTCTCTCTGGTCTTTCTCTCTGGTGTCTCTCTCTGGTCTTTCTTTCTGGTGCGTCTCTCGTGTCTCTCTCTGATCTCTCTGGTCTCTCTCTGGTCTCTCTCTGGTCCCTGGGTTGGTCTCTCTCACAGCCTCTCTAGTCTCTCTCTCTCTTCTGGTCTCTCTGCATTCTCTCTCTTAAAACCAGACAAAAGCATCTTGATAAGTAGTGATTATTGACGTTCAACTGTTTGTTGCTGATTTCTCTCATCTTGAATAGTACTTAAAAGTAAAACTGTCTTTCTCTCTGTCCTCACTGTCTTTTCAATCCCTGTGTCTCTCGTTTCCTCAGTCCTCCGGGGAATCGCGAGGCCCTGTTTGTGACGGAGTCTGGCAGAGAGGCGTTCGATCAGCTGTACCGTCTGTGGGAGGGGGGTGTGAGGCTGGTGAGCGAGACCCCCTCCTCTCTGCTCCCTCTGGTCCCTCTGCCTCAGGACACACAACCACAGCTGGTGACAGACCTGCTCAACGTGCTCATCGGAGTCGCCTCCACCACCTTCCCTCTCAACCAGGTCTGAAAAGAAATTTGCTGAGATTGGAAATGCAAACAAATGTTGTGTGGGATTTACTGGTGTTAAAGCTGGGGTACCTATCTTTCCCGCCATTAAAGAATAACTTCGTAATGCCTCAAGTTTTCACATTTCTGTCACATCTTTAAATCAGATTGCCTCTCTCTAGTCTCTCTCTGGGCTCTTTCTGGTCTCTCTTTAGTCTCTCTTTTTCTGGTCTCTCTCTCTGGTTTCTCGCTCTCTCTCTCTGTTCGCTCTGGTCTGTCTTTCTGGTCTTTCTCTGTTCTCTTTCTGGTCTCTCGGGTCTCTATTGTCTCTTTCTGTTCTTTCTCTTTCTGGTCTCTCTGGTCTCTCGTCTCTTTGTTCTCTCTCTCTTCTCTCTTCTGGCCTCTCTCTGTTCTCTCTCTGGTCTCTTTCTCTTTCTGGTCTCTTTCTCTTTCTGGTCTCTCTGGTCTCTCCGTTCTCTCTTTGTTCTTTCTCTCTGGTCTCTCTCTGGCTTTATTGTCTTTCTCTTTTCTCTCTCTGGTCTCTTTCTCTTTCTGGTGTCTCTCTCTGTTCTCCCTCCGTTCTCTCTCTGGTCTCTCTCTGGTCTCTCTTGTCCCTTTCCTTGTGCTCTGCGGCGGTGGATCTATATATATTGAATGTAGAAGTCTATTATTGAAATAGACTTGATTTCCTCGGTTCATGAATGTCTAAGACTATTTTTAATTCCCCCGGATGATGGCAGCCTGCAATGTTTTTTTCCACTCAGAGCAGAGCGAGACAAAATGGCAAACATCACCATCTGACTATGTATAGCTGTGTAAAAATAATAACCCGCTAACTATTGCCTCTCAATTCACTACGGATACGTTTTTCCACAAAATCCAATATTTGGAGCGACACGGGCCGCGGTTGTGGGCCTGTGTTATTGGATGTGGACCTTCCAGTTATTCATTAAGCCTCAGTAATAAATATGTGATTCTCTGAGGCCGAAGAGCAGATGTATGTGTGTCCTGCAGCCGCGACTCTGACGTTAGGAGTCAAATCAATGGGGTTTGTTGTAGCACCCAAAAGCAGCCGGCATAGATTTGTTGATCCTCTCTCTGGCCTCTCTCCGGTCTCTCTCTCTCGGGTCTCTCTGTTCTCGCCTGGTTAGAGACTGGCATCCGATGCCTGTCTAACGGATGCCGGTCTCTCTCTCTGGTCTCTCTCTCTGGTCTCTCTCTGTATATTGAGTCTCTCTCTGGTCTCTCTTTATTGTGGCTCTCTCTGGTCTCCTTCTCTCTGATCTCTCTATCTGGTCTCTCCCTCTCTATATTGTGTCTCTCTCTGGTCTCGCTCTGGTCTCTCTTTCTAAACCTGCACACTATGGATGTGTTTCTGCTACTGGACATCTCACTTGGGATCAAAGTTAAATATGTTATTTTTATGTAAAGATATAAAACATTCTTAGTCATCAATAACCTCTCTGTCTGGTCTCTCCACCAGAATGCTGATTTCTCCATCTGCTGCAGTGTGTGTACGTATGTGTTTGTTTACCTCTCTCTCCCTTGGCTCTCCTCAGAGCCAGGATTTCACCGTGCGCTCCGGTGTGTGTGTCTCTGGAGCTTCCACAGAGAGCGTGTCTCGGCTGCTGCAGGAGCTCGCTCAGTACGGAACCCACTACCTGCGTCTGAGCGATTTCTCTCTGCAGAAGACCGACAAGAAGGGGCTGGTCTTTCAGGTACTGGATCCAGAACTACTCTACTCTGCTACACTCTACTCTACTCCACTACAGAGTACAGAGAGGGGGACCAGAGAGGGGGACCAGAGAGGGGGACCAGAGAGGGGGACCAGAGAGGGGGACCAGAGAGAGGGACCAGAGAGAGGGACCAGAGAGAGGGACCAGAGAGAGGGACCAGAGAGAGGGACCAGAGAGAGGGACCAGAGAGAGGGACCAGAGAGAGGGACCAGAGAGAGGGACCAGAGAGAGGGACCAGAGAGGGACCAGAGAGAGGGACCAGAGAGAGGGACCAGAGAGAGGGACCAGAGAGAGGGACCAGAGAGAGGGACCAGGGAGAGGGACCAGAGAGAGGGACCAGAGAAAGGGGGACCGGAGAGGGGGACCAGAGAGAGGGACCAGGGAGAGGGACCAGAGAGAGGGGGACCGGAGAGGGGGACCAGAGAGAGGGACCAGAGAGAGGGAGACCAGAGAGAGGGAGACCAGAGAGAGGGGGACCAGAGAGGGGGACCAGAGAGAGAGGGACCAGAGAGAGAGGGACCAGAGAGAGGGGGACCAGAGAGAGGGGGACCAGAGAGAGGGGGACCAGAGAGAGGGGGACCAGAGAGGGGGACCAGAGAGAGGGACCAGAGAGAGGGACCAGAGAGAGGGGGACCAGAGAGAGGGGGACCAGAGAGAGGGGGACCAGAGAGAGGGGGACCAGAGAGGGGGACCAGAGAGGGGGACCAGAGAGAGAGAGAGGCCAGAGAGAGAGAGAGAGGCCAGAGAGAGAGAGAGAGGCCAGAGAGAGAGAGAGAGAGGCCAGAGAGAGAGAGAGAGAGAGAGAGAGAGAGGCCAGAGAGAGAGAGAGGCCAGAGAGAGAGGCCAGAGAGAGAGGCCAGAGAGCGAGAGGCCAGGCCAGAGATTATTGACATAATTCAAAGCCAACATTCAGCTGACTGCACCTTTACAGAAAACTAAAACTGTTTTGTCCTTGTATGGATGTCTCCTTCATCTCTGTTCAATCTTCTTTCTCTCCAGGCGTTTACAGGAGGTCTGAGGAAGTACCTGCATTATTACAGAGCCTGTGTCCTCAGCACGCCGCCCACCCTCAGCCTCCTCACCATCGGCTTCCTCTTCCGCAAAGTGGGACACCAGCTCAGGTACAAAGGCATAACATTTACATAGTCTAGCTCTGTAAATACTGTCCACACAACTTTGAGAAACACGTCCATTTAACGTCACTGAGGTGTAATGTATGTTTTAGACCTAAAAAAAATAAAAATAAATGTTTTAGACCGGCGCTCAGAGGTTTAACTTTGCGCTATCTTTGCGCTAACAGGCGATCTTTGCGCAAACAGGCGATCTTTGCGCTAACAGGCTATCTTTGCGCTAACAGTAGGTCTATGCTCCAAGCACATGCTCCAAGTGTTTTCATCCGATTTCTGCACAGTCACTCCACATCACTGTTGTATTGTGCTTGTTGAATGTCCGTCTCCCTTCATCTCTCTTAAAACCCATACTCACCTGTTTCCCACGTCGTCCTGTAGTTGTTTATATAGTTAATGGAGGGATTCCCCTGATCTGTCATCAAACTCTGCTCTCAGATACCTGTCAGAGCTGTGCTGTGTGGACGGAGCGCTGGGAGAGCGCCAGAACACTTTCCCTGTGGTGAGGCAGCTTTTTATCTCCAAACATTTGTGCCAGCCATCTGTAATGTACCTCAGATAATGTCCCCTCATCCTCCCCCCTTCTTCTCCTCTTCTCTCCTCTCTCCTCTCCTCTCTCTCCTCTCCTCTCTACTTCTCTCTCCTCCCCTCTCTTTTCTCTCCTCTCTCCTCTTCTCATCTTTCCTCTTTCCTCTCTCCTTTCAACTTTCCTCTTTCCCCTCTCTCCTCTACTCTGTCCTTCTCTCTCCTCTACTCTGTCCTTCTCTCTCCTCCTTCTCAGGGTGTGAAGCTGCTGTCATATCTGTACAATGAAGCCCAGAATAACTGCAGTAATGAGAACTATCCTGTTCTACTGTCTCTGCTGAAGAGGAGCTGTGCACCTTATACACGGTAACACACATGCACACACACAGAGACACACACACAGACACAGGGCAGCTGTGGCTACAGTAGTAGTTTATGACCACTGTGTATGGAGTGAAAGAATAATGACTTGTGGAGCGTCTTTGAGCGCCCAAAAAAGTGCTGTATGAAATCGGTGCATTATTATTAATATTAACGTATAGAGACCAAAGATGGGAGAGAGACCAGAGAGAGGGGCCGGAGAGGGAGAGGCCTGAGAGAGAGAGACTAGAAAGAGAGGCCGGAGAGGGAGAGGATGGAGAGGGAGGCTGGAGAGCTAGAGACCAGAGAGAGAGAGAGAGAGAGCGAGCGAGAGATCAGCCCGAGAAAAGAGAGGTTTAGAGGGAGATAGAGAGCAGAGAAAGACCCGAGTGGGAGAGGCCAGAGAGAGAGAGAGGAGAGCGCAAGAGAGGCCAGAAAAAGGGACCAGAGAGAGATTGAGAGGCCGGAAAGAGAGGCCGGAAAGAGAGGCTGGAGAGAGAGGCTGGAGACAGAGGCCGGAGAGAGAGGCCGGAGAGAGAGGCCGGAGAGAGAGTCCGGAGAGAGAGTCCGGAGAGAGAGTCCGGAGAGAGAGTCCGGAGAGAGAGTCCGGAGAGAGAGTCCGGAGAGAGAGTCCGGAGAGAGAGTCCGGAGAGAGAGTCCGGAGAGAGAGTCCGGAGAGAGAGTCCGGAGAGAGCGCAAGAGAGGCCAGAGAAAGGGACCAGAGAGAGATTGAGGCAAGCAAGAGAGAGAGGCTAGCGAGAGAGAGAGAGAGAGGCCATAGAAAGATCTAGCAGGTTAGCATTATCTGTGGGCAGTCTATGGTTTAGTGACTGCATCTGCTGTTTTTCCTCTGAGGCGGTTTATCTTTCAGACACATGTAATCAATACAATGTGCACCTGGTCCTCTCTCTGTTATTTCCCTCTGGTCAAGGACACTCTGTACCTCCCATTGTCTTTTACACATCTGTCTCCACTCTCCCGCCTCAGGTTTGTGTCCGACTGGGTCTACAGCGGCGTGTTTCGAGATGTTTATGGAGAATTCATGATCCAGGTCAACGAGGAGCATCTGGGCTTTAGAGGTGAGCACTCTCCTGTCTGCTCAGGGAAATGGGAAACTCGCAAACACACACACACATTTCATTACATCCTTTATTGCCCAGTTGGATTTGTCCTTGTCACGGAGTTATTGGATGATAATCAGGAGAAAACTGAATCAGGAATAAGAGAGGAAGGAAAGAGCGGAGACGAGAGAGAGAGAGGGAGGAGGCTATATGTGCAGCGGCATCTCACCCCTATTTGTTTCTCCTCCTCTATCTCCTTCCCCTCTCTCCTTTTCTATTGTCTAGCTGCAAACTATGGACTAAATCGCAAATGAAAAATGACTTGCTTATGCTTGCACAACATTGAACACGGACTAATACGGAATAAGAATGAGCAGTTTGAAGCGAACAGCGAGGCCAGGCCATAGCTACAGGACATGTATTCAAATGAGTGTTGCTCCAAACGCTGCATCTACTGTCCTGACGAGAACCAGGAAGAGCCATCTCATTAGTCCTGGTCTCAGGTCTCTGTCCTGAAGTCCTCTCTCATTAGTCCTGGTCTCAGGTCTCTGTCCTGAAGTCCTCTCTCATTAGTCCTGGTCTCAGGTCTCTGTCCTGAAGTCCTCTCTCATTAGTCCTGGTCTCAGGTCTCTGTCCTGAAGTCCTCTCTCATTAGTCCTGGTCTCTGGTCTCTGTCCTGAAGTCCTCTCTCATTAGTCCTGGTCTCAGGTCTCTGTCCTGAAGTCCTCTCTCATTAGTCCTGGTCTCAGGTCTCTGTCCTGAAGTCCTCTCTCATTAGTCCTGGTCTCAGGTCTCTGTCCTGAAGTCCTCTCTCATTAGTCCTGGTCTCAGGTCTCTGTCCTGAAGTCCTCTCTCATTAGTCCTGGTCTCAGGTCTCTGTCCTGAAGTCCTCTCACATTAGTCCTGGTCACAGGTCTCTGTCCTGAAGTCCTCTCACATTAGTCCAGGTCTCAGGTCTATGTCCTGAAGTCCTCTCACATTAGTCCTGGTCTCAGGTCTCTGTCCTGAAGTCCTCTCACATTAGTCCTGGTCTCAGGTCTCTGTCCTGAAGTCCTCTCACATTAGTCCTGGTCTCAGGTCTCTGTCCTGAAGTCCTCTCACATTAGTCCTGGTCTCAGGTCTCTGTCCTGAAGTCCTCTCACATTAGTCCAGGTCTCAGGTCTATGTCCTGAAGTCCGCTCACATTAGTCCTGGTCTCAGGTCTCTGTACTGAAGTCCTCTCACATTTGTCCTGGTCTCAGGTCTCTGTACTGAAGTCCTCTCACATTAGTCCTGGTCTCAGGTCTCTGTTCTGAAGTCCTCTCACATTAGTCCTGGTCTCAGGTCTCTGTCCTGAAGTCCTCTCACATTAGTCCTGGTCTCAGGTCTCTGTCCTGAAGTCCTCTCACATTAGTCCTGGTCTCAGGTCTTTGTCCTGAAGTCCTCTCACATTAGTCCTGGTCTCAGGTCTCTGTCCTGAAGTCCTCTCACATTAGTCCTGGTCTCTGGTCTCTGTCCTGAAGTCCTCTCACATTAGTCCTGGTCTCAGGTCTCTGTCCTGAAGTCCTCTCACATTAGTCCTGGTCTCAGGTCTCTGTCCTGAAGTCCTCTCACATTAGTCCTGGTCTCAGGTCTCTGTCCTGAAGTCCTCTCACATTAGTCCTGGTCTCTGGTCTCTGTCCTGAAGTCCGCTCACATTAGTCCTGGTCTCAGGTCTCTGTCCTGAAGTCTTCTCACATTAGTCCAGGTCTCAGGTCTCTGTCCTGAAGTCCTCTCACATCAGTCCTGGTCTCAGGTCTCTGTCCTGAAGTCCTCTCACATTAGTCCTGGTCTCAGGTCTCTGTCCTGAAGTCCTCTCACATTAGTCCTGGTCTCAGGTCTCTGTCCTGAAGTCCTCTCACATTAGTCCTGGTCTCAGGTCTCTGTCCTGAAGTCCTCTCACATTAGTCCTGGTCTCAGGTCTCTGTCCTGAAGTCCTCCCATTAGTCCTGGTCTCTGTCCTGAAGTCCTCTCACATTAGTCCTGGTCTCAGGTCTCTGTCCTGAAGTCCTCTCACATTAGTCCTGGTCTCTGGTCTCTGTCCTGAAGTCCTCTCACATTAGTCCTGGTCTCTGGTCTCTGTCCTGAAGTCCTCTCACATTAGTCCTGGTCTCAGGTCTCTGTCCTGAAGTCCTCCCATTAGTCCTGGTCTCTGGTCTCTGTCCTGAAGTCCGCTCACATTAGTCCTGGTCTCAGGTCTCTGTCCTGAAGTCCTCTCACATTAGTCCTGGTCTCAGGTCTCTGTCCTGAAGTCCTCTCACATTAGTCCTGGTCTCAGGTCTCTGTCCTGAAGTCCTCTCACATTAGTCCTGGTCTCAGGTCTCTGTCCTGAAGTCCTCTCACATTAGTCCTGGTCTCAGGTCTCTGTTCTGAAGTCCTCTCACATTAGTCCTGGTCTCAGGTCTCTGTCCTGAAGTCCTCTCACATTAGTCCTGGTCTCAGGTCTCTGTCCGGAAGTCCTCTCACATTAGTCCTGGTCTCAGGTCTATGTCCTGAAGTCCTCTCACATTAGTCCTGGTCTCAGGTCTCTGTTCTGAAGTCCTCTCACATTAGTCCTGGTCTCAGGTCTCTGTTCTGAAGTCCTCTCACATTAGTCCTGGTCTCAGGTCTATGTCCTGAAGTCCTCTCACATTAGTCCTGGTCTCAGGTCTCTGTTCTGAAGTCCTCTCACATTAGTCCTGGTCTCAGGTCTCTGCTTCTTCTCTGACAAAGTTCAAATCCAGGTTAAAATCAGTTCTGTTTCGCTGCAACAACTGAAGGATTGTATTTTCACTTTTTTTAATGCACTGTGATTATTCATAGTTTTTCGTACACTTTGAACTACCTTGTGTATGAACTTTGCTTTACAAATAAACATACATTCCCTGAAGCATAGAAAACATATAATCCATATCGCTCCTCGCTCTCATAACACTTTTTACATACTCTGTAAAAAATGTGACATGCCTCAGTCACATTTTTAGATCAGCTTTTTCTGTTCTCTCTCCAGTCTATATCTCCAGTCTCTTTCTCTCTTCTCTTTCTCTGGTCTTTCTCTTTGGCATCTCTCTCTCTGATCTATCTCTCTCTTTCTCTGGCCTGTCTCTCTGGTCGCTCTTTCTGGTCTCTCTCTGGTCTTTCTGCCTGGCCTTTCTGCCTGGCCTCTCTCTGGTCCCTCTCTGGTCTCTCTGGTCTCTCTAGTCTCTCTCTCTCTCTCTCTCTGGTCTCTGTCTCTGGTCTCTCTCTCTGGCCTCTTTTTCAGGTCTCTCGCTCTGGTCTTTCTGGTCTTGTTTTCTGGTCTCTCTCTCTTATGTCTCTCTCTGGTCTCTCTCTCTGGCATCTGTATCTGGTCTCCCCCTCTCTCTCTGGCCTCTCTCTCTCTAGTCTCTCTCTCCAGTCTCTCTCTCTGGCCTCTCTCTCTCTGGTCTCTCTCTCTGGTCTCTCTCTCTGGCATCTGTATCTGGTCTCCCCCTCTCTCTCTGGCCTCTCTCTCTCTGGTCTCTCTCTCTGGTCTCTCTCTCTGGCATCTGTATCTGGTCTCCCCCTCTCTCTCTGGCCTCTCTCTCTAGTCTCTCTCTCCAGTCTCTCTCTCTGGCCTCTCTCTCTCTGGTCTCTCTCTCTGGTCTCTCTCTCTGGCATCTGTATCTGGTCTCCCCCTCTCTCTCTGGCCTCTCGCTCTCTAGTCTCGCTCTCCAGTCTCTCTCTCTCTCTGGCCTCTCTCTCTCTAGTCTCTCTCTCCAGTCTCTCTCTCTCTCTCTGGTCTCTCTCTTCTCTCAGCTCTGTTGCAAATAGTAACATATTTTGGAATAGCAATGTTGTGGAATCAGGAGCAGTGACGCAATCCACTTCATTCTCTACAAGCTCTGGAACCTTTCTAATGAAGGTCACGCACAGTCTGCCACCAGGAGTTCATGTTTCTGTTGTTTTTAAGATGGAATTTTTTTGTTTTGGAAACTTTACAACACAATTTCAAACTTGTGCAGACTGTAGCTGCCCAAAAACAAGCGAGAGTGACTGGCCTGTGGTAATGACACCCTCTCCATGTAGCGCCTCCGTGGCTGTAATAAGGCTGAGGTTTCTTTCTGCTTCTCAGTAACAAGGTGGTGGGGTCAATGCCCAGATTGTTTGCATGTTCTCCTTGTGGTCCTGGGTTCTGGTAACGTTTGTGACACCAGAGAATAGGTTATTTATATATACATATTCTTCACATAGTAGCATATTTCAGATACTTCTAAGTTGTGTCTGAAATGTACTTTTTTATGTTATTTTTTTTCTTTTTGGTGTTTTATGTTTAAAAAAGGCAAAACCGGCAGTCATAATGGTGCAGATAGTTTTGAGTGTTGAGACAGGTCTGGCAGACTGATGTGTATGTGATTATTTGTCCCAGAAGGACTGAACCAGGGACTGAACCAGGGACTGAACCAGGGACTGAACCAGGGACTGAGCCAGGGACTGGGCCAGGGACTGAGCCAGGGACTGAGCCAGGGACTGAGCCAGGGACTGAGCCAGGGACTGAGCCAGGGACTGAGCCGGGGACTGAACCGGGGACTGAACCGGGGACTGAGCCAGGGACTGAACCGGGGACTGGAGCGGGGACTGGAGCGGGGACTGAACCAGGGACTGGAGCGGGGACTGAACCAGGGACTGGAGCGGGGACTGAACCAGGGACTGGAGCCAGGGACTGGAGCGGGGACTGAACCAGGGACTGGAGCCAGGGACTGAACCAGGGACTGAACCAGGGACTGAACCGGGGACTGAACCGGGGACTGAACCGGGGACTGAACCAGGGACTGGAGCGGGGACTGAACCAGGGACTGGAGCGGGGACTGAACCAGGGACTGGAGCCAGGGACTGAACCAGGGACTGGAGCGGGGACTGAACCAGGGACTGGAGCGGGGACTGGAGCGGGGACTGGAGCGGGGACTGGAGCGGGGACTGGAGCGGGGACTGGAGCGGGGACTGGAGCGGGGACTGAACCAGGGACTGAACCGGGGACTGAACCGGGGACTGAACCAGGGACTGAACCAGGGACTGAGCCAGGGACTGAGCCAGGGACTGAGCCAGGGACTGAGCCAGGGACTGAGCCAGGGACTGAGCCAGGGACTGAGCCAGGGACTGAGCCAGGGACTGAGCCAGGGACTGAGCCAGGGACTGAGCCAGGGACTGAGCCAGGGACTGGAGCGAGGACTGAAACACGGACTAAAGCACGAACTAAAGTAGGACTAAAGCAGGGACTCGAGCTGGACTAATAATGTAAGTTAAACTTAATATAGTGAGTCTTGGATTGCAGTATTTGTCTAAATACAGCCTCTTCCAAAGATTTAAAGCCTTGATGATTTAACAATAGTGGCTCATAGCACCAGTCCCTCGCTGATCCTCTGCAGGTGGTGGGTCCACAGGAAGATGGCTTCTTGATGCAGCCTTGATCTTTCAGCGGGGGCTTCAGGAAACATGGGGCTAAGTGTCTTGCCCAAGGACACATCGACATGAGACATTTGTGGGAGCAGTTGGAGTAAGTCCCATGGTGGGCTCGAACCCACAACCTTTAAGCCCAAAGGCAAATGCTCTACCAACTGAGCTACTGTCGCACTTTTCTGCTCTGCACCAGTTTGTTTAAAAACACACAATACCTTGTAGAATTTGTCCTTTTGAAAAGTATTACATAAGCACTTTGAGTTTTCCTTGTGTATGAGCTGTACAAATAAACTCTCAGATACTTCCTCTTCCCATGCAGACAGGTCGCTCAAACCTTTCCCTCATTGAAAATCTGAACAATAGACAGCAGCAGTCCATAAATACCACTTTATTGGGTCATTATAGCCTTCCCAAATATGACATGTTGTAGAACCAGCCTCTGAAGGTCAGAGCTCTCCTCAGATTTGTGTGGCTCCATTTGCTCGTCGTCTACACCTCATCAACCGCAGCAGTGAACCCAGACTCCGCCGTCTCTGCCTTTTTGGAGGACACTCTCGCAAAATGCCATTGTCCCCCTACAAGTCAGTCGGCCGTGGAGGCAATCAGAACCAGGGCTTTCTCAGAGAGCCGCCGAGTCTCTGTGAAAGAAGAAATATTCAGCACATTCCCAGAAGAGCTCAGAGGCTGCGATTTCCAAACACTAATTCGTGCGGTTCAAGTCTGGCCATGGCCTGTTAGTCTTACTAATACAGGGGCGAGACCAGAGAGAGAGCGAGAGTGAGACCAGGGGTGGCCAATTGTTATTTTTCTTTTATGTGGTTACCAGGGGTTTGAGTGTGAGATTATTCTGTAAAAATGAAACCAGCATGTGTACTTTGAGGAAATTATTGTTTTAAACATTTGGATTCTATTTTATTTTGCTTGGATTGGACCAAATCTGGACTAATCGTAGCACTGGCTCATTAACTCACTAACCCTAAACCTAACCCGTCATTGTGATTCTCATTCATCTAAATGGAGAGAATGAAGTATGTGGAATTGGAAAAAGGCAGAGGCCCGCATAGACCCCCGAATCGGACCGCGTGTGGCTCCCGGGCCGCTCTTTGCCCAGGTCCGTGCAAATACATAAGAGTTTTAGATGGGGGTAGAATAGAATAGAATAGAATAGAACTTTATTGACTATTTAAATTGAGCAGAGATATGTCTTACAACACGGCACATTTAAAAATCATTCATTAAAACACACTTACATTTAGCAAAGACACAAAAGTTCAGTTGATTTCATATGAAAATAGAGCAGCATAAAAGTATTGGCCTCTTATTAAAATTGGGTTTAAAGAGAGATAAATGGTACCCTATAGAATCATTCTCCAACAATTTGTACGACATTAATCACGTTAAAGTTGTTCTTCGCTTCATTCAAGCTGTGATTAGAAACTTCTGGGATAAACACAGCTCTCACTGCTTTTGTCTTTGTGCTTTGGAGCCGGTTTCTACTTTTAAAAATAAAAGTATTGCTCGTAATTGGTTCATTTCAATAGCTAATGGAGTTTCTTGACAACCGCTGGCTTTAAATTTGTTTTTTCATTACTCTTGTTGTTGAGGCTTATTATTGCTTATTGCCTCTTTTCAAGTAGCACTTCTCCTGTGGCGTTTTTAGCTGAATTAAGAGCCAGGTATATTGATCATGTCCATTCATTTGGTCCTCTCCTCACACACTTCCTGCAGCTCATTTGGGGAATGTGTCCTGGGTCTTCCCCTGGTCTCCTCCCGCTGGGACAGGCCCATAACACCTGGAGAAATACTGAGAGAGCGAGACTGGGGAGAGAGCGAGACTGGGGAGAGAGCGAGACTGGGGAGAGAGCGAGACTGGAGAGAGAGAGAGCGAGACCGGAGAGAGAGAGGGAGAGCGAGACCGGAGAGAGAGAGAGAGAGAGCGAGACCGGAGAGAGAGAGAGAGCGAGACTGGAGAGAGAGAGAGAGCGAGACTGGAGAGAGAGAGCGAGACCAGAGAGAGAGCGAGACCAGAGAGGGAGAACAAGACCAAAGAGAGAGCGAGACCAGAGAGAGAGAGAGAGCGAGACCAGAGAGCGAGAGCGAGACCAGAGAGAGAGAGAGAGAGGGAGAGAGAGCGAGACCAGAGAAAGAGAGAGAGAGCGAGACCAGAGAGAGAGAGAGAGAGGGAGAGAGAGCGAGACCAGAGAGAGAGCGAGCGAGACCAGAGAGAGAGAGAGCGAGACCAGAGAGACTATATAGAGAAGCCGGAAAGAGAACCACTGTGTGACATGCTCCTCAGTTTGAGAACCGTCCTGTATCTCTCTCCGCAGATAAGAACTACTGGGTCCAGGGCTACACTCTGATCTCCAAAGACGTGGAGGACTGTGTTCCCATCTTCCTGAGACACATCGCTAACGACGTGTACGTGTGCGGGAAGACCATCAACCTGCTGAAGATCTGCTGCCCACAGGTCTCTGCTCCGACACAGCCCTCAGCCTGTCACTCAGGAATATGGATGTCACACTCTGGCCCCTCACAGTCTGGTACCAGCTGGTTGACTTTGTAATGTTTAACCAGTGTTCTGTAGCTACTAAAACGTAGCCTCATGCTGAGTTAGCTAATGAAGGCAGCATGAAAGCTAACTGTTCAGCTTTTGCCAGTAAATAGTAATTTCAGACCTGAGAATAAACATAGAGGCGCGAATGACAAACGTAGGACAGGACGTGACGTATCCCGGCGGTCCAGTCTGCCGGGTTTATACACAAAGATATAGTAGAAGAAGAAGCGCTGTCAAAATGCCATCTTTTTGTGCGGTGAACGCTTGTAGCAACCGTGCAAATAGAGAGAAAGACAACAGTTTGTTCATGTTCCAACTGTGGGCTCATATAAAGGAGGACACTTTGAAAAAATCACTGGAACTCGAGCGAGGTGGATCAAGGCTTTCCCAGATAAGCGCCCCCTGCAGGCCACCCCAATGAAACGAAGCATTTTCCTCACATGCCCAAAATCAAGACTTTATATTTTTGGAAAAATATTCTGTAGTACTTCCTTAGAATTGAGTGTCCCTCATTAAGACTGTTACAACAACCGTACACCGCACAGGAGGAGAGCCTTTTGACTCCAAAACAGACTTTACATGGTTTTCAATGGGAGAAAAACTGTCCCACCTCTGCTCATTCGCCCCCTATTGGCCAGTTTAATGAAACCCAAGAATACAGTGAGTTAGCAGCACCGTACTTACATATCTATGCTCCTCGGTAGAGTCTTATCGTGGTAATAACACCAGCTTTCAAGATCAGCCTTTGAGTCCAGTTCTAAGGTGAACAGATTCATCTTCTTCGCCAAATGGTGACATCACATATTTTCACCAAAAACACATTTTCTTTATTAGTCACATGATGCTGACACTTTCAGTCGCTAACAATAGCAGAAAAATATATGGATATGGTAGACCATACGCTGAACTCGTGACAGAGGCTGCATTTTGGTTTCTCACCTGTCAATCACCTCCTGGAGGCAGGAGAATCTCACGTCATGAATTGAACAGGAGTTTTGCTGTCTCTGGAGAATTAAAGAGAAAGATCGCTCTCTAACTAAAGCTTGAAGGAATGAATGAAAAAATGAGTTTGGGCATTTGTATGAAGGCTACATAGCACTGTCATGATGTTTAAAGCAGAGAAAAGTGTAAAGTAGGACCTTTAAGCAAATTCTTTCGACCCAACTGCTCATAACAAAACATGTCAAAGATTTAAGCCAGATTGACCAAAAGTGAGAAATCCGTTTTTGCAATCAAACAGTTTATTTGTTAAGACAGACTAAATGGTTTTTTTGAGATAAATGTGTTTGTGTTAAGGTGTGTGTTTACGGTGACTACGTGTGTGTGTTCATGTGATTGTGTGCGTCCCCTGGTCAGCACTACATCTGCTGCTCGGAGCTTCCTGTTCCTCGTATCGCCGTCACCTTCTCGCTGCAGGAAGTGGAGCAGATCGAGAGAGACTGCGCCGTGTACCGAGGACGAATGCAGCGCATTGCCAAACACAGCGCCATCAGCAGGGAGGAGCAGGTTAGTGCACATGTCATAATAAAATATCAATATTGATGTTTATGATGGATCGATAGATACTTTATTTATCCCCCGTAGGAGAAATTCAGGTGTGCAGCAGAGTTAGAGTTCACTTCGGGCATAGCTTAGTATTATTGATGTGTGTCTCTGTAGGTCTGAGCCTTTAGTTCAGTCCTCTCTAATTAACTGCTAATTAAGTGCTATTTTGACTATAATTTACGGTTAATTCATTGGTATTTTAGCACTTATTTGTCCTTATTCTAAATGGCCTTATTCAACATCCAACTAACTACTAACTGAGGCTTTGCCATCGGGGTTAGAGTTCACTGATTAGGGTTTGTCTAAAGTGTTACCCATTCTGTTTATATGGAACATTTCTGGACGCTCACGGTCGTCTTATAAATGGTACAAAGTTGAGGAATGAAGATAAGCTCCTCAATTACTTCAGATCGGTGTTAGAGGAGAGGCCTGTACAGCCTACAGTCCTTTTGCAAGTAAGACGCAAAAAACGGTTAAAAGCAGATAATTAAAATGGACAGTGGGATCAGCCTTCTGGGAGTTAGTGTCGTCTTGTCAATGTTTTGGAATGAAAACAATTGAACTGAAAATTCTGTATAATCAGACTTGAATAGAACTGTACAAGGAAGGGACTCCAGCCTCCTGTCCTCGCCCCCAAATGTTGCTTCACTCCATTTCATTAAAGTTGAGGTCCCTACATTTGTCTCACAGAAAGAGTCTTATTGAAGTAACGTTTTGTGAACAGACCACAACCTGCTGTTTTCATCTTAGTAGAAAACATGTTATCTTTGCATGCGTGCATTCTTGTAAGAGCGCTCAGTCACTGTTTGACCCTTTGGGCTGAGAGCTGTTTGGCCGATTGGGGTGGACCCTTCTTCTTTCACTTTTCTGTCTGAAAAAAACTGATTTAAAGATTTGACAGTTGCCATAATATGCATGTATGTGAAAAGTAGTGAAAGAAGCAGATTTGAGAGCGAGGAACTAGTGACTTGGTAACATAGGTTGTCTTTCTCTCTGGCCATCACTGTCAGTTAGAACACTTAAGTACCAGCTTGGCCTGGATAGAACCAGGACCAAGAGGGACTAAAGAAGGACCGGGTACTGGTTAAACAGGACTAGAGGAAATTCTCTCAGGTAGGAGAGTAGAGACTAGAGAAGGTGGAAAATGCTGGTTGTCTCATTCAAAGACATTATTCAAAATCCTCTCATGAAATACCAACCGTGTATTGCATGTTCTTCGATCGTTTGGAAAAGTTTGGAATGATTGTGATTTCAAAATGAGCCAAATGCCACAATCACAGAGATGAGAGACTTAAAAAATGTCTAAAATCCATATTGGGACAAGACCAGACGAAATGTACTTGATATTTGGCAGATGCTCATATGGAACATGGCGGGAAACATTACCAAACAGAACGAATATGAACCAGGACTGTGTGAGATCAGAACAGGACCTCTCTGTGATGGGAGTGGGAGTTGTGAGGGTTTGGCAGTGAGTGACAGAGTCTGTGCAGAAGCAGGTGGCCACGCAGTCTTTGTTAACGCTGGTTTGCTCGTTTGTTTGTTGTTTTAGACGCTGAGGACTGAACGAGCGCGCCAAGAACTCATCAACCAGGTCCGCGAAACGGCCGCCAAGACTCTGGAGAAAATACGCGGTGAGTTCCACTGAAACGAATGAACATGTCGTACAGCAGTTACTGAGGCAGAGATCTGGAGTTTTAATTTACCGTGAGGATGTTAACAACCAAACTACAACTCTGCTCTGCTCTACTGTACTCTGCTCTACTGTACTCTACTGTACTCTACTGTACTCTGCTCTGCTCTGCTCTGCTCTACTGTACTCTACTCTACTGTACTCTACTCTACTGTACTCTACTCTGCTCTACTGTACTCTACTGTGCTCTCCTGTACTCTGCTCTACTGTACTCTACTGTGCTCTACTGTACTCTACTGTACTCTACTCTACTGTACTCTACTATCTAGGGAAATTCCTTGGTAACCATGGCTTCCAGCAGCACACTGGCCAATCACTGTCAATTAGAACAATTTAGTACCAGCTCGGCCTGGATAGAACCAGGACTAAGAGGGACCAAAGAAGGACCTGGTACTGGTACCTGGTAGAGTACGGTAGGGTACCGGGTAGAGTCGGGTAGAGTCGGGTAGAGTCGGGTAGAGTCGGGTAGAGTCGGGTAGAGTCGAGTAGAGTCGAGTAGAGTCGAGTAGAGTCGAGTAGAGTCGGGTAGAGTCGGGTAGAGTCGGGTAGAGTAGGTGGTAGAGTCGGGTAGAGTCGGGTAGAGTCGGGTAGAGTCGGGTAGAGTCGGGTAGAGTCGGGTAGAGTCGGGTAGAGTCGGGTAGAGTCGGGTAGAGTCGGGTAGAGTCGGGTAGAGTCGGGTAGAGTCGGGTAGAGTAGAAGAAGGTCCTTTATTCGTCCCACAATGGGGAAATTTCAGTTTGATGCATACACATATAGTACATACACATCAAGGCATGCAGCGAACATCATATCCGCGCTCCTTATAGGTTAAGTCGGTTAAGTGTCTTGCCCAAGGACACAACGACAGCAAGCATCAGTGGGAGTCGGTGGAGAAGGTCCCGTGGTGGGCTCGAACCTACGACCTTTGGGCTTAGGGTTAGGATAGTAGCTCAGTTGGTAGAGCATTGGCCTTCAGACCTGAAGGTCGTGGGTTCAATTCCCACCTCTACACCTTCTCCACCGACTCCCACTGATCACTGCTGTCATTGTGTCCTTGGGCAAAACACTTAACCCACTTTGCCCAACGCCCCCACTGAAAGATCAAGGCTATGCTCACACTCAGAGAGCAGCCTCCTGTGGACTCACCACCTGCAGAGGGTCAGTGAGGGGCTGGTGCTATGAGACTTGGGTGGCATCTCTGACTGCCACCCCCCTGACCCAGAAATGGATTAAAGGGTAGAAAATGGATGGATGGATGGATGGATGGATGGGTTAGGATAGTGTAGTTGTGGCTTATTGTATTAGGCATTAACCAGATGGATATTAAAGAGAACACTTACACTTAATCAATTTTCTAATAAACGGTTAGACGACACACACAGAGACAACAGAACATGAACCATGCACAAGGACACATGGTACAGAGAGAGCTCTGGTCCTCAGCAGGAGGCCTTCTGCTTCATGGTGTTGCATCAAGAGAAGATCCAACAGAAGAATATTTTTATAATTGCCTGGTATAAAAGAAACAAATAACTTTAAGAGAAGCTCCACCAACCCAGAGAGGGTCTGGGATCAGAGCCTCGCAGATGCAACACTAGTCAGGTGGTCGTCTCTGTCCCCGGCTCTGGATCTACAAAGACAATATCCCAATATAAACACCAGGATCACAGAGAGCTCTAAACCACAGATTCCTTAAGCCCAGAAAGTGTTACTGAGCTGGAGGAGTTTACTTTTACATGTAAGTCAATAGGAGCCAGACGGGGTTGGAGCCAAACTGAGCTAGCAGGGTTAGCTTTATCCATTTGTATACAGTCTATGACCTACACACAAATCCAGGGACATTTTAATTGCTTTTTTATGGTTTTAGAGATGCTCAAAACTATGTCACACATGATACATTCCCTCAGCAGCAAGAGGAGAAGCGAACCTGTGTATAACAATCAAGTTCCATTGATACAAGTTGTAGCTTTGATTGCTCCAACCCTCCTCGTCTGAGCTCATGGGAGGCAGATGGCGGCGTTCTCGTTTGATTCTGACGTGTTCTGTTCGGCGCAATGTACGGGGGTCTGATCTCTCGCCTCCTGCAGGGCGCCAGGTGTCACAGCGTCTGGCGGAGGAGGCCAAGAAGAGGGAGCGCTTTGAGGAGCTAAAGCAGCACTTGGAGCAGGAGCAGGAGGTAGGAGCGCCGCATGCTGAGAGGCCCCTGGAAGTCTGCATTCACCCCCAAACTGTTCACAGCATCTGGGTTCATTAGTACAAAATAAGAAATGGAATGTTTAAAATGTAGTATCAATAAACCCAGTGTGAAATATGTGTATTTATGAGGATGGGAATTGGTCTCTCTCTCTGGTCTTTCTCTGATTTCTCTCTGGTCTCTCTCTGGTCTTTCTCTGATGTTTATCTGGTCTCTCTCTGGTCTCTCTCTGGTCTCTCTCCTGTCCCTCTCTGGTCTCCGTCTGTTCTCTCTCTTGACTCTCTCTGGTCTCTCTCTGGTCTCTCTGGTCTCTCTCTGGTCTCTCTCTGGTCTCTCTGGTCTCTCTCTGGTCTCTCCCTGGTCTCTCTGGTCTCTCTCTGACTAGATTAACAAAAAGCAGACATAATAGAGTAACATAAACCTCAGATGTAAATGTAAACTCAGAGAAAACACAAAAGTGAAACAGATAATAATTGAATCAGTTATTGCAAATGTTTTGCCCTATTGTGTTGATTTTATTGCTTGCACAAAATATTGCGATAACAGATTTTTTTCCCATCTCTAATGACTTGTAGAGAATGAGATATTAAGAAACCCATTGTGAAATGTGTCTATATAACTTTTTCAGTGGCGAACGGCAGCGAGGAAGCGGCAGGAGGAAGATGATTTCAGTTTTGCTCGAGAGCTGAGAGACCGAGAGAAGAGACTGCAGGCCCTCGAGGAGCAACTGGAGCAACAAGCCAGGTATCCAACTGTTCTGAGTTCAGAAACTCTGAGTATTTTAAACACAAGGCAACTCCAAGTGCTGCTGAACAAGATACAAGGCATTCAAACCATCATCAATCACAGTGCATTTAAAAGAATGAAGATACAATCCTTCAGTTGTTGCAGCGAAACAGAACAGTTTTTAACCTGGATTTGAACTTTGTGAGAGAAGAAGCCTGTCTCACATTTTAGTGGCATGAATCTGAAATGCCCCCCTTTGTTTAGTCCTGACTCTGGCCTCAGAGTCCTCCTTGGTCCATATGGCACTAACATGTCACAGATGTACTTTGGTGCGAGGGCGTGGAGAGACTTGTAACAAACAGAACTGCTTTAAAGTCTATTCTCTGAGTCACAGGAAGCAGAGACCTGAGACCAGGACTAATGTGAGAGGACTTCAGGACTGAGGCCTGAGACCAGGGCTAATGTGAGAGGACTTCAGGACAGAGACCTGAGACCAGGACTAATGTGAGAGGACTTCAGGACACAGACCTGAGACCAGGACTAATGTGAGAGGACTTCAGGACAGAGACCTGAGACCAGGACTAATGTGAAAGGACTTCAGGACAGAGACCTGAGACCAGGACTAATGTGAGAGGACTTATGGACTGAGGCCTGAGACCAGGACTAATGTGAGAGGACTTCAGCACAGAGACCTGAGACCAGGACTAATGTGAGAGGACTTCAGGACTGAGGCCTGAGACCAGGACTAATGTGAGAGGACTTCAGGACAGAGACCTGAGACCAGGGCTAATGTGAGAGGACTTCAGGACAGAGACCTGAGACCAGGACTAATGTGAGAGAACTTATGGACTGAGGCCTGAGACCAGGGCTAATGTGAGAGGACTTCAGGACAGAGACCTGAGACCAGGGCTAATGTGAGAGGACTTCAGGACAGAGACCTGAGACCAGGACTAATGTGAGAGAACTTATGGACTGAGGCCTGAGACCAGGGCTAATGTGAGAGGACTTCAGGACAGAGACCTGAGACAAGGACTAATGTGAGAGGACTTCAGGACAGAGACCTGAGACCAGGGCTAATGTGAGAGGACTTCAGGACAGAGACCTGAGACCAGGGCTAATGTGAGAGGACTTCAGGACAGAGACCTGAGACCAGGACTAATGTGAGAGAACTTATGGACTGAGGCCTGAGACCAGGGCTAATGTGAGAGGACTTCAGGACAGAGACCTGAGACAAGGACTAATGTGAGAGGACTTCAGGACAGAGACCTGAGACCAGGACTAATGTGAGAGGACTTCAGGACAGAGACCTAAGACCAGGACTAATGTGAGAGGACTTCAGGACAGAGACCTGAGACCTACACAGTCCATGAACTTATTGCTGCTGAGTTCCCTAATCTAGTCTCACAGCTGCCGCCTCTCTGTGTTTTCCTGATGCTTCCTGTTGTTCGTCACTTCGTTGGTGTTGTTTTAATTTGAGCGATAATGATTCTAACACAGACGTGGCACAGCTGGTCTGACACAGGTGTTTTCCATTTGTTGCTGGAAATAAATTATTTTGATTTCATATGTGCATATGTTTTTTTTTTTTTCAAATCACTTTAGATGCAGCTCACCTGTTTTAACAGATATCAGATGAGGATCACTGGATGTGGTCTGACAACAGTCAGTGAAATGGAAGAAACAAATATGACATTTAATATAATGAGACAAATGCAACATCAAAACTAATAACTATCATAACATATTTCAATCTCTCGCACAAGTTCAGTTCAATGCATTCAATTCAACTCAATAACAGTAGTTATCTCGGAGGACTTTACAAAGTTGTGAATTCAAACACAGTGTTGTTGAGTTTAAACACAGGAAATGCAATAATAACAAAACCATTTACGTTTCATTTAATGGGTGCAGTGCTCAGTGACTGGGAGTCACATTTTTCCCATGAGAACGTCCCTATTACTTAATCTCGCTATTGGGTTAGCAATCTCGGTATAGTTTATTCATTGAAGCCCTGATCTGACATTGATAAAAATCGTTCCACCAAGTGATCGTTTCATTTATGTTATACTTTAGCTGTTAAAACCTACATCACTGTCAGCTGTCATCATTGTGTGCGTCTTCTCTTCAGGAAGGAGCTGATCGCGCAGTACTGCCGTCTGTCAGAGGAGGCAGCACTGAGGGAGAGGAAGGCGCTGTGGCGAGTGCAGAGGAACAAGCTCCACCTGCAACGGACCACGTTCTTAACTAAAGACCAGCAGCAGATACAGGTGGAGACACATACCCAGTTAGATACACAAACACAACACAGACGCACACTGACACGCACACTGACACGCACACTGACACGCACACTGACACGCACACTGACACGCAGACGGACACGCAGACGGACACGCAGACGGACACGCAGACGGACACGCAGACGGACACGCAGACGGACACGCAGACGGACACTGACACGCACACTGACACGCACACTGACAGACACGCAGACAGACAAGCAGACAGACACAGACACGCAGACAGACACACAAACACTTACACAAGAGAGGTCTGTAGTCATCTCTGTCCAAATCGATTTTCAAGGTCCTTTCTTGTTAATTTTAACCTGAAACTCAACAATTCTGTGTGGATTTAAACATGCTGTTGTTCTACAGTGACTATTGTTGTGTATCTCTAACTGCTCTTGTGTGTTTAGGAGGTACTGGAGAAGTATCCTCTGGGCAAAGCGAGGCCCCCTGTGGAGCTGTTCCCTTCGTTTTCAGCCCCAACAGCAGCAACAGAGGTGAGAATGTGTCCATCACACCAACTGAGCATGTTGCATGTTCTCCCCATGTCTGCGTAGGTTTCCTCCAGGTGGTCCAGTTTCCACTACCACTTAGATCATGTACAGTAGCTCCCCTCTCTCAGGGGGCAGGACTTACCTGAAAAAGAGATTCTGAAATATCAGTGGGACTTGAATACTTAGATAAAAGCTAATAAAACTCCTTATATTATAATGTATTTGTGTAGAACAAAGTCACTGTACTTTACAACGTTGTGGATTCCTCAACAGCAGATCAGAGAATCAAACAGTTCAAACACTGGAAATGCAATACTAACAAACTCCATGAGGAGCGGGATGACCACTATCCAGAAATGTTCATAAATGTCCTGGATCATCACTGTTCTTAGACCCTCCTGCATCAGAGAGGAACCAGGACTGAGGCTGTAGACCCAGGACTGAGGCTGTAGATCCAGGACTGAGGCTGCAGATCCAGGACTGAGGCTGTAGATCCAGGACTGAGGCTGTAGATCCAGGACTGAGGCTGTAGATCTAGAACAGAGGCTGTAGACCCAGGACTGAGGCTTGCAAAACTCTTTAATCTAAATATTTGTTGTATGAGTAAACATCAAATCAAATGTACTGACAATATTTGCATTATTTTATTCTAATGTTATGTGCTTTGATTTTAGAAACCTCCAATGGAAGAACAACATGATCAGGATGAAACTCACGAACCTTCCTCCTCAAAACAGACAGAAACACAACCACCTCCAGACCACACTCCTCCTCCCATAGACCCTAACCCTATTTCTGAACATATCGACCTCAACAAATTTCTCCCCAAACCTCCAAACCCTGGCATGGCTCCAGTGGACTCCGCTCTCCAGGACATCGGCTCAGACCTGCCCCAAACCTGCCCCACTCTCCCTTTGGTCGACTACGATTTCAGCGCCCCCTTCAGTCCTCTCGAAGGATTGACTCAAGTTTCGCCCAAACCCAGACTTGCTCCAGGAGTTGAGGCTGGACTCAGTCAGTTGTCGCCACAGGAAAGCAAAGTCTCTGCAAAAAGCGTTGAGTCTGGACACACATCAAACGATTTGATTGATTTAAATGCCTCGTTTTCCGATGGGAATTTAGCATTCCCGCAGTCTTCCATAAGTACACAAGAACATACTGATTTAAATGACAAAACTCGGACCGAATCTGGTGATGTCCTTGTGAATCTATCTGAAAGTTCAAATAGTAAAGTTGACGATACGGATTCCAACATCGGTGCCATATTGCCCCCAAGTTCCAATCAGCATTCCTCAAATTCACAAATCAAAATAGGGGAAAACATATCCGAAGTAAGCGTGCTAGTCCCATCTGCAAACATACACGGCCACGCCTCGGACTCTAACATCAAACTAGGGCAGTTTTCTTCAGAAGTCTCCCTGTCTCTACCTGCTCCAAACGTTCATGGGCATTCGTCAGATTCCCACATCAAATTCGAAGAGAACGTTTCCGATTTCGTGGCCTCACTTCCATCTCCGAACGTCCACGGACATTCCTCGGATTCTAATTTCAAAATCGGCGAGCTTGTCCCTAATGTGTATGCTCCATTGCCGTCTCCAAACATTCACGGACATTCCACGGATTCTCACATCAAAATCGGCGAGAACGTGTCCGATTTCGCGGCTCCTTTCCCCACACCGAACCTCCATGGCCACTCGTCCGACGCCAACATCAAAGTTGGAGAGTTTGTGTCCAACGTGACGCTAGCGATACCACGGCCAAGCCAGCACGGACACGCTTCCGATAGCGCGCTGTTATCTGGGTGCACCATGTCGGGAAGCGAGCCAGTTTTGACGCCGCTACCCGGGAGTAGTTTTGGACATTCTTCCGATTCAGCGTTAGGGTTATGTTGCGTGGTAGCAGGGGTTGACCCAAAACGAACTCCTATACCTGGAAGTTCTCATGGTCACTCCTCAGATTCAAGCTTAGTCACTGGTTGTGTGGTATCCCAACAAGAATCAACGCAATCCCCACTTCCAGGAGGTGGCTTTGGTCACTCTTCAGACTCTGCTTTGAGAATGGGGTGTGTCGTGACAGGCGTGGAGCCCAAGAAGTCTCCCTTACCTGGAAGTGAGTTCGGACACTCCTCAGACTCAAGTTTAGGTGTTGGTTGTGTTGTTTCTGCATCGGAGCCGGTCCAGGCCACTCCGGTCCTGACCAGTGCCTTCGGACACTCGTCTGATTCGTCTCTTAGAGTGGGCTGTGTGGTGAAAAGCAAAGATGGAGGAGATCCACATGCAACAAAAGACATGGAAGGTAACTATTGAATGTCTGAACTGGGTCAGGGGTTTGTCATGGTTGATTAATCCAAAATCAAGGACTTAAATGCTTTGAATATTACAAATGTGTAACGAGTTAGATTGAGTTTGCGTCAATTCCACCATTAGGGCTAGGACTGAGGCTGTAGATCCAGGACTGAGACTGTAGATCCAGGACTGAGGCTGTAGATCCAGGACTGAGACTGTAGATCCAGGACTGAGGCTGTAGATCCAGGACTGAGGCTGTAGATCCAGGACTGAGACTGTAGATCCAGGACTGAGACTGTAGATCCAGGACTGAGGCTGTAGATCCAGGACTGAGGCTGTAGATCCAGGACTGAGACTGTAGATCCAGGACTGAGGCTGTAGATCCAGGACTGAAGCTGTAGATCCAGGACTGAGGCTGTAGATCCAGGACTGAGACTGTAGATCCAGGACTGAGACTGTAGATCCAGGACTGAGGCTGTAGATCCAGGACTGAGGCTGTAGATCCAGTACTGAGACTGTAGATCCAGGACTGAGACTGTAGATCCAGGACTGAGGCTGTAGATCCAGGACTGAGACTGTAGATCCAGGACTGAGACTGTAGATCCAGGACTGAGGCTGTAGATCCAGGACTGAGGCTTTAGATCCAGGACTGAGGCTGTAGACCCAGGACTGAGGCTGTAGATCCAGGACTGAGGCTGTAGATCCAGGACTGAGGCTGTAGATCCAGGACTGAGGCTGTAGATCCAGGACTGAGGCTGTAGATCCAGGACTGAGACTGTAGATCCAGGACTGAGGCTTTAGATCCAGGACTGAGACTGTAGATCCAGGACTGAGGCTGTAGATCCAGGACTGAGACTATAGATCCGGGACTGAGACTATAGATCCAGGACTGAGGGCTGTAGATCCAGGACTGAGGGCTGTAGATCCAGGACTGAGGCTGTAGATCCAGGACTGAGGCTGTAGATCCAGGACTGAGGCTGTAGATCCAGGACTGAGGCTGTAGACTGATAACTGCTTTTACAACATATCTGCTCTGGTACAAAACAACTGTAGCTCAACTTTTGTGTGGTATTTTTGTTTTAACACATGCAGGGGACTTTACAGTTCACAGATAACAGTACAGTTGATTTTCTGATCTTCCAAACATTGAACTGTGATAGTAGAACATGATGAGGTCGATGAAAAAACGCATCGTTCACCCAGACAGATTCTATTTAAAAAGCCTTGTGCCTTTGTGTGGCTTTGAGACGGTGTTATACAAACATTTTAGTGCATTTCTCAGCAGAACATAACGACCCATCTGCTCCTCAGTGTCTTTGTCGGGCTGCGGAGCGGAGCAGGTGGCTGGAGCGGGGGCAGCTGGGGCTCTATCCCCTGGAGAGGTGTCCGAGCAGCTCTACCTCTCGGCCCTGTCCTCCCACTACCAGGTGGAGCAGTACCAGGACTCCTACAGCACCATGGGTTTGTGGACATGTCATTTATCTCTGTTTGTGCTGTCAGATTAAATTAGATTCAACTTTATTGTTATTACAAAGTCAGAAAAATGTAATGAAAGGCAGTTTAGCATGGTCGAGCAACAGCTATAGCTATAAGTATAGGACAATATCTACAACACAGATAGATAGACATTAATGTTTGCAAAAGTGCATCAAACATGTTTTAACAGGAGTTCAGGAGTGTGACTGCTATGAGTCAGATTGTTTTTGTAAGGATTTGTGCTTGTTCCACCAGAAAAACTCTGCTTTTCTAAGTAAAATATACAAATGTTTTTCACAATGTTACAGAAATATTGGAGAAAGATAGTGGTGATATTGGTGGTTGCCATTAGGTTCTTAGTTCACAAAGAATGAGAACTGTACAATAACAGGGTGCTTGCGCAAGTCTTGAAGTATGGAATTTTGAAACACTGTTTTCCAGACCGTGAAAAGTCTTGAATTTTGTGTGAAAGTCTTAATAAAGCATGGGGAAAAAAATAATGGTAGAATTTTACAGTATGCTCAAAGGATTTGTGAAATGAGAAATATAATTTTACTAACTGGATATCATTCAGGCTAATACAGAACGTGACCAATCAACGCTTAGCCTGGTCTAGCACATTTTCGTGATGTCACTGCTGAGGTCTGTTGACACATAGCTAGCCTAGTAGTTAACAGAAATGGGTCTTGGGAAGAAAAAAAATCAGTTTTAAAAAAGTCTGGGAAAAGTTTGGAATTTTAATTTGGAAAAATAATTAAAATGCACCCTGAATAAGTAATCCTTAATTGTTAAATTATTATTGTATTGTATTTTAATCGAATTTTAATCTGCAGTGCAATATGAAAAAGAAATGTTGTTGGTAGTAGTAGTCAGAGGTGGGACAAAGTCATTGTTTAGCAAGTCACAAGTCAGTCTCAATTCATTGCCCTCAAGTCCCGAGTCAAGTCACGAGTCAAGACAGGCAAGTCCCGAGTCGAGTCCAAGTCAAAGGCCAACAAATCTCAAGTCAGTCCCAAGTCCTACGGTTTGACTTTCGAGTCCTCTCGAGTCTTTTTGACCGCGATTTGTTTCTTGTTGGTCTCCACGTACTTTTGTAGGCAAACAAAATAATGTTAGGAATCATTTTGCTGGTGCATTCTCGTTGGTCTCTGACCCATGGACTAACAGTTTGTTCCATGTGGTTGGCTGCTGATAAATCAAAACTATCTACGTGATCTAATTGGATGTTGTGCCAGATGCAGGCTCAGTTACACATGCACAGACCACACATAAAATCAGAGCAGTCCGTGTCAACATACTTTTTATCTTTGGGGTTTTTAATGGGAAGTAGCAAGTGCAGCATATATGAATATGAGTATTGGGCTAGGACCTGTATCTATATAATCAGTTTAATGTCCATAGTGGTTATTGTTCCAAATGTCCTACTGTAGAATAGGGGTAGTATGAGGGGTCTAGGCTTTGGACCTGGGGCAGCTCGCCATCAACTGGACCAGCATTAGCAATATCTCATAATTACCAATATATCATTACATAATAAAATGTCTCATATAAATTAATTCAATCAGTCAAAGCACTGATTCTCATATCAATGCACCATAAACAATAGTGCAAATATTAATCTAGCTTAGTGCACATAATCAAAACAACACCCGATGAGTATATATCTGGACAGAGCAGTCGCATTCTCTTGCTGCTCCTCGCTTTCTGCTTTTTTATCTCCTTTAATCATTTTTGCTTACATTTTTATTCCACAAAACACGGATTACTCCTTTTTACAAACTTCAACACAAGACTTGTGGAATTTACCTAACTTACAGCATGTCGGGAGGACGGGAAAACAGAACAAAACTTTGCGACGGCTGTTTTTCACTCAAACAGGAGCTAAAACTTCTTCAAGACCGAATGTTTGTGCTTGAATCAGAATTGGGGCTGAACACAACAATACCAATGAAGGGAAATGGACCAAATGGACAAAACGTAAGTTATGATGACGCTATTTCATTTCCCAAAATCAACAGAGACAATTGTTGGAACACATATGGTGCCAAGCCCAAACAAGGCAAAGCTAATGATAACAAGAGTGTCATAATGCCACAGCAAAAATCTTTAATTACAAGAAACCGCTTTTCCCCACTTTTGGAAGATGAATCAGCAGTAGTCTCTCAGTCCCAGTCTCAGTCTCAGTCAAGGTCAAATGCAGCTGAGTCGCTCTTTATCGGCGATTCGGCGATAAGACGCGTAAACATGCGTAATCTCAAGGTTCACTCAGTACACTCTGCCAAAGTGGATGAGATAAGGCGGCTGGCTCCGAGGCTTCTGTCTGAGACCGGCGGGGTAAAAAGAGTGTTGATCCACGTGGGGGCAGTAGACGTCTATGACAACACAAGTGAAAAGTTGAAACGGGATTACTCTCTCTTATTGGACGACCTTGCTAAAATGGATGTAAAAATCGTTATCAGTGGCCCACTACCAAATGTGGACGGGAAGCAAATGAAATTCAGTCGTCTGTATCAGCTAAATACTTTCCTACTCAACGAATGTTCACGCAGAGGACTTGCCTTCATTGAGAATTTTAATCTGTTCTGGAATAGGCATGAGCTTTTTGAAGGGAAAGGGCCACATCTGAACACTTACGGAGTAAAAGTGTTGATGGATAACCTTTCTTTTGCCCTGAGACCTCAGCCTGCGCAGCTCGTGCAGCCATCGAAAAGGAGGAAGCCGACTCTAAAAGTCTCTGCACCTCCACCACCTCGAAGGATCTCAACACCTCCACCACATCGAAGGATCTCAACACCACCACCACCTCGAAGGATCTCAACACCACCACCACCTCGAAGGATCTCAACACCACCACCACCTCAAAGGATCTCAACACCACCACCACCTCGAAGGATCTCAACACCATCACCGCCTCAAAGGATCTCAACACCTCCACTGTCATCAGAAGCAGCTGCATCATCACCAGTAGCAGCACCAGCAGCACGACCACCACCACCACCAACATCCTCATCCCTAGCCTGCTCCAAAGCAGCCACGCCTTCTTCTTCTACAGCGCCTCTGAAGCCCCCATCCTCACCCCAGGCTACAGCAGACAGGCCTGTGCTGGGGTTTCCTCAACCACCTGCCCCTCCATCAAAGACTCCCTCGCCACCTCCCATGGACCTGTCTTGGGTCCCCCCTGCCACGTCCACTCCATCAAGAGAGAATGGGGACACGTCCCTTTGTTTTTCATCCCCGCCTTCACTGTTAGACCTACCTGAACACTCTGCAGGGCTAATAAAATCGGCGATGAAGACTATTCCTCTCACACCCATATTAGCTAGATCTAGAGTCCTGTCCAACATGCTAAACCACTCCCCATATGTACCTCCAAAACCACCTAGGGTTTCCAATTCACCTACAAAAACCACCTCAGCCAGTCCCTCCCCTAACCTCATGACCATTCCACCCCCACTTCCCCCTCGTTCAGCACCCAAAACCTCTGCCTCAGCCCACCCCGGCCCTAACCCATCACCAAAAACCCCTCCACCTCCCTGCCCCCCTCGTTCAACACCCAAAAGCCACCCACCTCTCCATCCTCCTCCCCCGCCTTCCCCTTCCCCTCTTTTCTCTAAACACTAGGATGCACAGGGTCTCTGCTTCGCAGCCACTGGCAGTCTAGTTAGAGGAGAGACCCGGCTGGGGCCCTGTCATGAAGCCACCTGTGCCATTCCCGTAGTGATAACACAAAGAATACATTACAGAAAGACATCTGGAGTTAATAAGTCTAATCTGGAAAATCTAATTCTTGTTCCGTGTAAGAATCAGCCGACCACAACCGCTGATACTGAAACTTTGAAACTTGCTACGCTTAATGTCAGATCTCTTTGTAACAAGTCTTTTTTAATCAATAATTTTATTTGTTCTCATAATCTTGATCTTATGTTCATGGCTGAAACTTGGCTTGACCAAAATTCAGGAAATGCAGTTTTAATAGAAGCATCACCACCAAATTTCAAGTTTGAATCTGAAATACGGGAAAACAAAAAAGGAGGAGGCTTAGCTGCCATTTTCAGAGACCACTTTGTCTCCCATAGAATGTCTCTTGGGAAGTTTTCGTCTTTTGAATATGTGTCTTTTAAAATACAACAAAAACAATCTCCTCCAATACTCTTCATTGTCCTATACAAGCCACCGCAGTCATGTCACAGTTTTATTGATAATTTTACCGAGTTGCTTTCAGTTGTATGCACAGATTTTGATAGTTTGGTTATTACAGGTGATTTTAATATTCATGTGGATAATGTTGATGACAGAAATGCAAATGAGCTGAGTTCTGTACTTGAATCCTTTGATCTCACTCAGCACGTAAGTGGCCCCACCCACAGCAGAGGGCACACTCTAGATCTGTTAGTTACTAAGGGGGTGAATATTTCAAATGTAAACGTGGTCGATGTTGCTCTTTCGGATCATTTCTGTGTTTTTTTTGACATGTGTTTCACTAACAAACCACCAGTGGACTCTGCAACTGTACGAAGAAGACACATAAATGAAAATACGAGTGAACTATTTATGGGAATGATAAACTTTGAGAATGCATCGTATTCTACTGTAGATGAACTGTTTAACTCTGTCACCTCTAGTGTTTTGAATGTTCTGGATACCGTTGCCCCTGTGAAGGTTAAAATAGTGAAAAATAAGCAGAAGGCGCCGTGGGCTAAAGCAGACTCGGTCAGGGCACAAAAGAGAAAGTGCCGGAGGGCCGAGCGGAAGTGGCGCAAGTCCAACCTCCAGGTTGATTACGAGATCTTCAAAGATAAGTTGTGCGAGTTTAACCGGGTGCTACGTAGTACGAGAGAAAGGTATTTTTCTGAAATGATTGAAGGCTGCAGCAACAATCTGCGTGTTCTGTTTTCAACAGTTAATAGATTAACAAACCCCCCTGTTCAAATGCCATTAGAGCTTACTTCCAAACGTAAATGCAATGAGTTTGCAAATTTTTTCAATGACAAGGTTCAAGGCATCAAAAACGCCATTGTCTCCAATCCACAGATAACCATCCAACAGCCAGAAAGGCTCTCTGAGCTAACTCACTTTGCACCTGTAAATGATAAAACTGTCCAAGAGATAATCTCCAGTTTGAGCTCCTCCACATGCAGCTTGGATGTACTACCCACTAGATTTCTGAAGTCTGTTCTGAGCAGTCTGTTACCTTCACTCACACAGATAGTAAACATGTCCCTTCATTCTGGAATATTCCCAAAGGCCCTGAAAACTGCAGTCATCAGGCCCCTGCTAAAAAAGAGCAGTCTCGATGCTACGGTACTTAACAACTATCGTCCCATCTCAAATCTGCCATTTATGGGGAAAGTCCTTGAAAAAGTTGTCTACCTACAGCTTACTAGATTTCTTATAATCAACAACTCATTTGATATGTTTCAGTCCGGCTTTAGACCCCACCACAGCACTGAGACTGCTCTCGTCAAGGTTACAAACGATATCCGGCTGAACACTGACGCAGGCAAAGTCTCAATCTTAATCTTGTTAGATCTAAGTGCTGCCTTTGACACCGTCGACCATGAGATCCTCTTACAGAGACTAGAGGACTGGGTTGGAGTCGCTGGCACCGCCCTAAGTTGGTTTAGGTCTTACCTTGAGGACAGGAAGTACTTTGTGGAGATTGGAAACTGTGTCTCAGATCATATGGCCCTGACCTGTGGAGTACCACAGGGGTCGATCCTGGGACCTCTTCTGTTCAATCTCTACATGCTGCCGTTAGGTCAGTTAATACGCAGAAACGAAGTTTCCTATCATAACTATGCAGACGACACTCAGATCTATGTCTCACTGACTGCAGGAGAACATGGACCAGTGGACTCACTCCTTCACTGTATCCAACAGATCAGTGAGTGGATGCAAAACAACTTCCTTCAGCTAAACACAGACAAAACTGAAATGATTGTCTTTGGTCCCCAGAAACAAAGAGAGAGCGTCATCTGTCACCTACAGTCTCTCTCCCTAAAACCTTCAAACAAGGTCAGAAATCTAGGGGTAATACTGGACTCAGACTTAAATTTTAATAGCCACATCAAATCAGTAACATCAGCAGCTTTTTACCATCTAAAAAACATTGCCAGGATCAAAAACATAGTGTCTAAAGCAGACTTGGAGATTCTTATCCATGCATTTGTCTCCAGTAGGTTAGACTACTGCAATGGCCTGCTCACAGGTCTGTCCAAACAGGCTGTAAAACAGCTGCAGTACATTCAAAATGCAGCAGCTCGAGTCCTGACAAGAACCAGGAAGTACGACCACATTAGTCCAGTCCTCAGGTCTCTGCACTGGCTTCCTGTGGCTCAGAGAATAGACTTTAAAACAGCTCTGCTTGTGTACAAGTCTCTCCATGGCCTCGCACCAAAATATATTAGTGACATGTTAGTCCCATATGAACCAGCCCGGACTCTGAGGAGCACAGGGACTGGACTCCTGTTAGTGCCCAGAGTCAGAACTAAACATGGGGAGGCTGCTTTTCAGATTCATGCTGCTAAAATCTGGAACAGTCTTCCTGGAGATGTGAGACAGGCCTCCTCTCTGACAATGTTTAAAGCCAGGTTAAAGACAGTTCTGTTTAGCTGTGCATACAACTGAGGGATTTTATATTTGTATCTTTCTTTTTAATGTTCTGTGATTATTTATGATTTTAATGCTTTCTTGTTTTGTTCAGCACTTTGAATTGCCTTGTGTATGAATTGTGCTATATAAATAAACTTGCCTTGCCTTGCCTTGCCATCTAATGTATGCAAACTTTAGCAGGAGGAGCACAGCAAAAACATACTCATAATAATAGGCCTCGGCGCCCACACAGAAAAATATAAGAAAGAGCCAACAGAGCAGCGCAGGCTAGCGCTAGTTTGACTCACCAGTTCCTCTTTAAAACACGGCACAGAGTGTGACAACTGCGTCGATTCAATTGTATGAGGCGCCTGTAGTGAAAGCATATCAATTACGGTTTGTAGAACAAAATATGACGTTAGGTCGCGATAAATACCTGCAGCTCGCTCATTTCCAGCTCCCCTAGACAACACACCCACCGGTGAATGCAGTCCGCTTGTTTAGGGAAGTGTTGCTGCGCGAACTGCGGGGAACTCACGTTCGAACTCTCTCGCGAGCGCTACAACTACCGCGAGGCTTTGTTTCTTCAGAGACGGCATAGATAGAAAGAGAGATGCGGAGAAAGGTAAAAATGGCCCGGGTTACGCAAGTCTTTACAAGTCAATTGGCGCAAGTCCAAGTGAAAGTCAGAGTCATTGATGTTAAAGTCCAAGTCGAGTTGCAAGTCTTTTTATATTTGGTCAAGTCGAGTCTAAAGTCATCAAAATCATGACTCGAGTCTGACTCGAGTCCAAGTCACATGACTCGAGTCCACACCTCTGGTAGTAGTAGTAGTAGTAGTAGTAGTAAATACACAGGCTCCCATAGGTGCAATGTGAATAGATTGTAGAAGTCATATATATATAAGACAGATGTTAGAATTCAAAAAGCAAAAGAGAACAGGAAAAAATAAAATCAGATTTTTATTTCCAAATGTACTTTGGAATACATAAACATCTACATACATAAATATATAAAGCCTTTATTGCAAATGATACATCACTTTAAAGCGTTCAAGCAACATGGCATCACGACCACCGCCCCTCCACCCCTTCCTAGAACCTCATTCATTTAACTGGGAACTTCTTCGCTCAGGCATTACCCGCCCTTCGTCTTGTTGGGGCTCGGGCCTAAACCTCTGCTTTTGAAATGTTAAATTCATGGTATTTGTGTTTCGCCCTAAATCACAAACAGTCGTTATCTTGGAGGACTTAAATAATAATAATGCATAGGTTTTATACGCCGCTTTTATGGACACTCAAAGACGCTTCACATGTCATTATTCACTCCAAACACGGTGGTGATGAACTACTACTGTAGCCACAGCTGCCCTGGGGCACACTGACAGAAGCGAGGCAACCAGTCTGACCACCACCAACCATTCACACACACACCAGACTCATTCTAGGCAATGGGGATGAAGTGTCTTGCCTAAAGACACAACAGTAGTTTGGCACTTTACAGCTGCCCCACTGTGGCACCTGTTGTTCCCAGAGGTTGAGTGTCTTGCCAAAGGACACAACAGTGAGTGGCAGTGGGAGTCTGTGCAGAAAGTCTTGTGGTGGGCTCGAACCCACGACCTTCAGGCTCAAAGGCCAATGCTCTACCAACTGAGAAATGTAAAAATGACAAGCACATCAACAACATTGGTCCATAAGAGGCAGATGACCAATGTCCATTCAGGTTTATAGACATTTATAGCAGAAATGTCTTTGTATCCTGGTTGACCTCAGAAAGGACTAGCTTTTTTCAGTTCAAGCCCAGAACAACACAACATAAAAGTAACCCACATTTGTTAGTCCTCATAGACAAATACTGTACAAATTGCACATTTCTTTGTAATAATCCCTCCACTACAGACCAGTAAAAGTGTCTGAGTCCTGTCTCTTAATCGTCTGGAGTCTCACAGATGCGGATCTCTTTGGTTTTGGATCCTTTACTTTTTGCGAGGCCAATGAATGGAAAGATCTTCTCTGTGAAGGTGTCTGTGAATGTGTACACGTGGGTCATGGGGTCTGGGTCGTATAAAGACACTTTTCCTCTGTCGTAGTCCAGTTTGACCCTGATCTTCTCTGGACTCTTCTCCACACTCACAGCTTTAGCACAGACTGTGTAGCTACCGTTTTTGTGTGCTAGATGCCACATTCCATTTCTCGGAGTCCCAGGTACACATTCTTTCCTTTTGTGTGACTCTGCGACGACTCCGATGGTCCAAACAAGATAATCTCCCACCTGCACGTCCCACTGGTGTGTCCCCGAGCTGAAGCCCTCTGAGCCCATGACGCTGCTACAAGTACTGAACCTCTCTGGGATCTTAGGGAGCTGGTCCTGGTGCAGGTCTCCGTTAGTCACCCCACAGAGGTCCTCAGACAGATGCAGCCATCTATTTGCTGTGTTTGGGTCCAGGATGACTGGAGTGTGTTTTACTGCTTTCCTCAAGCTCCTCCAGGCCCTGAAGCCCAGGTTCCCAAGCACTTTGGCCTGGTCCAGCATGAGTCCTGTGGGGAGTGGAGCTATGGCCTGGTCCAGCATGAGTCCTTTGGGGAGTGAAGCTATGGCCTGGTCCTGTCTTAGCCCTGTGGGATGAGGAGGTCCAGGGGGCACTGCTGGAGGTATGAGCATCTGGAGAAAGTCCCGTGTTGGTGTCTGCAGATGTTTCTCCAGCTGTTGGATGCTGTCGTTCACGGAGGACAGTTTCTCTCTGAGCGTTTCCATCAGAGTCTTGAGGAGGTGACTCTGTCTGTCCTGCTCCTCTCTCAGAGCTCTCAGTGCAGTGTCCTGCTGCTCCTGCAGGTGACGGCGCAGATTGTCGAACACAGCACTGTGAGATCTGGCGCCTACAGTGCAGAGTCTGTTTCTCACTCTGGTTCTGGATCTGGTCACATTCCTGCTGCAGGTCTTTACAGCTGCGTCTCTGCTCCTCCAGAGTCTGCAGCTGTGATTGCAGAGAGGCCTTCAGCCTCCGCTCGGCCTCCTCCTCATTCACCACCGTGTGATGTTTGTGCTCAGATGGTTCACAGAGGGCACAGAAGCTCCGGGCCTCGTCCAGACAGAAGACAAGGACGACCTGAGGGTGGACCAGGCACTGTGGCCCCAGAGTCTGACCCCAGGCTGTAGGATCCTCCTCTCTCCTCGCCTCAGTCTCTGCTAGGGCCTTCTCCTTCTCCTTCTGCTTCTGCTGCTCTGAAGGGTCTGAGAGCTGCTGCCTCCTGAGAGCTTCACTCAGCTGTTTCAGACTAAAGTTGACTTCTGGAGTCTGCTTTCAGGGAGGGGGACCGCAGCGGCTACAAAGCAGCTAAATATCAGTTCAGGAAAGAACTGAAAGCAGCCAAGTCCCGGCACAGAGAACGACTACAGGAGCAGTTTGGTAACAACGATACTGCTTCTGTCTGGAGGGGCCTACGGGAGATCACCAACTACAAACCCAAAGCCCCCCCCTGTGCTGACGACCACAAGCTAGCTGACGAACTGAACTTTTTTTCAGTCGCTTTGATGCTGCCCCTGACACCTCTCCCTCCCCCACCCCCCACTACTCTAACGACCCACCCATCAGCCCTGCCCCCAGCCTAACAATAGCCTCTAAAGACATTAAACAACTCTTCTTGAGGCTGCACCCCCGCAAAGCTCCTGGCCCACTGCGCCAGTGAGCTTACTCCTGTGTTCACGGACATTTTCAACACCTCTCTGCAGTCCTGCCATGTCCCGGCCTGCTTCAAATCCTCCATCATTGTCCCCGTCCCGAAGAAGCCCAGGATCACAGGACTCAATGACTACAGACCTGTAGCACTTACGTCTGTAAGGACGCCTTTTGAACGCCTGGTCCTCTTCCATCTCAAGTCCCTCACCTCCCCCCTCCTGGACCCCCTGCAGTTCGCCTACAGAGCCAACAGATCTGTAGACGACGCCATTAACCTGGCCCTCCACCACATTCTACAGCACCTGGACTCCCCGGGGACCTATGCCAGGGTCCTGTTCGTGGACTTCAGCTCTGCCTTCAACACAATCCTGCCATCCCTGCTCCAGGACAAGCTCTCCCAGCTCAACGTGCCCGATTCCACCTGCAGGTGGATCACTGACTTCCTGACGGACAGGAAGCAGCGAGTGCGTCTGGGGAAGAATGTCTCGGACTCTCGGATTATAAATACAGGAGCCCCACAGGGCTGTGTTCTTTCTCCCCTGCTCTTCTCCCTGTACACCAACCACTGCACCTCCAGCCACGACTCCGTGAAGCTGATCAAGTTTCTTCCCCTCTGCTGTTGGACTCTTAAACACTTCTTAACCTGACCCCCCGCCCTTTATAAAGTCACTTTACTGCCCATCATACGTCACTTTACTTCACTGTACTGCTCTTTTTGACTGTTGCACTGAGCCAAAGCAATTTCCTAGTCTGTGACCTCCTGTTACTTACGTGGCAATAAAAATGATTCTGATTCTGATTCTGATGGATGATCGTTAGAAGACCTCCTCTTACAGACAGGACAGAACCTGCTTTTCTCCTGGGCCCAGTCCTTTTGGAGGCAGTCTCTGCAGAAGCTGTGGTGGCAGCTCAGAGACACTGGCTCTGAGAAGGTATCCAAACAGATGGAGCATGTCAGGAGGGATTTCAAGTCTGCGTCTGCCATTGTGCTCAGGGCCTCACACTTCCACTGCTCCACGTCCTGTTCACCAACTACTTTTCATTTCTCTGATGATCCTGCTCGACCGGTCTGAGTCATGTGACTTCAGCGGCCAATCCCGTCTCTGAGAACCGACTGAATGACATGGAACAAAATCAAGATCATTCATTTAGACTTTATTAAACACACAGCTGCATGATCCACAGCTAAGAACAAGAACAGTTTGTCTCTCATAAGAAAAAGACAAGACAAGGATCCAGAGACACATTCATAGATTACAATGATCATTTAACACCATTCCTTAAACCGACAATAATGATTAATGCTATTAAGCGTCTGTATAAAAGCCAAGCATTTTTTTTAACTTGGCACAAACATGTAGCTCCACCCCTTCTGACAAAAAGCTCCTGTCTTCGTCCTGTAACACTGTAATGTCACTGTACCACTTTGACATCACACTCAGAAAGTTTTCTTATAGCTATCTGACTGCAAATAATGTGTTTTCAAACTGGGAAAATACATATTTTCTAGTGTTTTATAGTTGTCTGTCTCTTGTTTGATGAATGTCAGAAGGTGAACGTGGAGTTGAGGATCACTCACTCAGTCCCATGTGTTTTTTGTATGAAAGAAAAAGCGCATTGTTATGAATACACAGTAGTACTAAGTAGAGACCATAGACTGTAGAGACCACTGTAGGTTTAATAGTTCAGAAGACTCTCTCTGGTCTATCTCTTTGATCTGTCTATCTGGTCTCTTTCTGGTCTATCTCTGTTCTCTCACTGGCCTCTCTCTCTCTGGTTTCTCTGATATCTCTCTGGTCTCTTTCTGCCCCCTCTCTCTCTGGTCTTTCACTATAGTCTCTCTCTCTAGTCTCTCTGATATCTCACTGATATCTCTCTTTGGTCTCTCTCGCTGGTGTTTCTCTGGTCCCTCTAGTTTTTCTGGCCTTTCTCTATAGTCTCTCTCTCTGTTCTCTCTCAGGTCTCTCTCTGATCCCTCTGTTCTCTCTCTGGTCTCTCTGATGGTTAGAAAAGTGAAAAAAAAGTGTGTGAGGGTTTTACAGCCTTAGAACATAAGCTGCTATTTAAAGTTTTCACCTTAACATGGCTCATCTTTACACATCTCCGCTGTCGTAAAACCAGACATCACTCTTTCTCTGTTTCGGCCGCGGTCCTTAAGTTTGTTTTTAAATGCTGCAGTGACATTAAATCACAACAGCTGGTTATTAGTCATTACAGCATCGAAGCGTCGTTTCATTAACAGAAATGAATTTGAAAGTGCACCGTAAACACAGCTGTCAGCGTTTACCAGAGAATAAATAATGATCACGGGATTAAAGCAGAGTTAGCGCTGCTGCTAAATGAACAGAGAAGTGATGGCTCTGAAATGTTCATTAAAGGACACACATAATGCTCAACACTACTCGCCTCGCACTCTGGTTATGCTTCCATTACAGTTTAGAGTCTGGTACCTTATCCGAGCCACCTACCCACAACCAACCAGTATCCAGGGAATTTCCTTGGTAACTATGGCTTCCAGCAGAACTCTGGCCAATCACTTTCACTTTAGTACCAGCTTGGCCTGGATACAACCAGGACCGAGAGGGACTAAAGAAGGACCTGGTACTGATTACAGGACCAGAGGAAACATTCCCAATCGGGGTAGGGTAGAGAAGGGTAGTGTAGGGTAGGGTAGGGTTTGCTAGAGTTGGCTAGAGTTGGCTAGAGTTGGCTAGAGTTGGCTAGAGTTGGCTAGAGTTGGCTAGAGTTGGCTAGAGTTGGCTAGAGTTGGCTAGAGTTGGCTAGAGTTGGCTAGAGTTGGCTAGAGTTGGCTAGAGTTGGCTAGAGTTGGCTAGAGTTGGCTAGGGTAGGTTAGGGTAGAGTTGGAGAAGGATAGAGTTGGGTAGGGTTGGCTAGAGTTGGCTAGAGTTGGGTAGGGTAGGGTAGGGTAGAGTTGGAGAAGGATAGAGTAGGGTTGGGTAGAGTAGGGTAGGGTAGAGTTGGGTAGAGTAGGGTAGGGTAGAGTTGGGTAGGGTAGAGTTGGGTAGGGTAGGGTAGAGTTGGGTAGAGTTGGGTAGGATAGAGTAAAGCTTTTTCTCCCCATAAAGTTCTCATGTTTTTTAAAGATAATAGCTGTAATTGTCAGTGGAACCACAAACACACAGATGTCTGACTCCTGTCCCCTCTGCAGCCTCGTCCCCGGAGTGTCAGCTGCTGAAGCCGTTGCTGAGAGGCCCCTGGTCTCGGGGCCCCTGTGGTCGCGGCCCCTGGGGACTGGAGCGCGGGCTCTCGGCTCCTGACGCCTCGTCTCTGCAGCTCAGTGAGATGGTGTCTCTGCCGGTGCTCATCAAACACTCTGTGACGGCTCCTCTCATCACACAGTGAGTGAACCTCAGACTGACAGTGTTATCGTGTGCTCTTCACTCCTACTGTTCTGCAACTCCTGATGCAACACTGACATTTCCCCTCTGTGGGACCAATAAAGGATCTCTTCATCTTAATCCTAATCTTTATACGTAATCTTCTACTCTACTCTACTCTACTCTACACTATTCTACTCTTCCCTTCTTGGCTCTTTTCTCTTCTACTCTACTCTTCTCCTCCTCTCCCCTGATTGACATCGGACTAGTTACATGGATTTGATGTCATTGGTTGTGCTTACAAAGTCCAGTTCTCCAGCTGTGGTTTTCCCTGTGGTGGAGAATGTGCAAACCTGAGCGTTCTCGCAGCGACTGTCAGAATTTTGACATTTTCGAAAAGCATTATACCAACGTACTCTTTCTCCTCGCCGCGTTCAGCCGAGTCCCGTCCAAGACGTGAAGTAAATGTAGCGTTTAAGAGAAAGTGGCCGTGTCAGCTTTCACACACTCCCTGTCATCTTTCTGCCTCTTCAGCTTCTAATGTTCAGCTCTGAGAATCATTTAAAGTCCCATTACCTGCTACATTTGTGAGTGTTTTCTCTCTGTCAGGACTCAGGTCTGTCCCTGTATCTCCGCTTTGGCTTTTGTGAACTCGGGAATTGCTTTTGCCTTTTTTTCCCCACAAATATGAACTGTTTTTTTTCATTTTACTTCCGTGCATCTCTGCTCTCTCTGCTCTCTTTCTCTCCAGGATCTCTCAAGTCTCTGGTCGATCTCTATTGTTTCGCTCTCTGGTCTCGCTCTCTGGTCTCGCTCTCTGGTCTCGCTCTCTGGTCTCGCTCTCTGGTCTCGCTCTCTGGTCTCGCTCTCTGGTCTCGCTCTCTGGTCTCGCTCTCTGGTTTCAATCTCTGGTCTCTCTCTGGTCTTTCTCTGTTCCCTCTATCTGGTCCCTCTCTAGTTTCTTGTTGGTCTCTATCTGGTCTCCCTCTAGTCTCTCTTTGGTCTCCCTCTAGTCTCCCTCTAGTCTCTCTCTGGTCTCTTTCGGGTAGCCTTCTCGTCTCTATCCTTGTCTCTCTCTGGTGTCCCTCTAGACTCTCTGGTCTTTCTCTGGTCTCCCTCAAGTTTCTCTCTTTCTCTCTCTTGCCTCTTTCTGGGCTCAATGTCTTTTTTCTCTTTGCTCTCTCCGGCCTCCCTCTAGTTTCTCTCTTTGCTCTCTCCGGCCTCCCTCTAGTTTCTCTCTTTGCTCTCTCTGGTCCCTCTCTTTCCTCTCTCTGGTCTCTCTCCGGTCCCTCTCATTGCTCTCTCTGGTCTCTCAGACAGAACATTTAAAAGCACACATTGATATACTTTACAATGTCATCTTTCTGCCTCTTCAGCTTCTAATGTTCAGCTCTGGAATCATTTAAATTCCCATTACCTGCTACATTTGTGAGTGTTTTCTCTCTGTCAGGACTCAGGTCTGTCCCTGTATCTCCGCTTTGGCTTTTGTGAACTCGGGAATTGCTTTTGCCTCATATTCCACAAATATGAACTGTTTTTCATTTTGCTTCCATGTTCTGTTTTTGCCTGCGTCATCAAACACAGCAGGGTTTCGTTCAAAGACACAGTCACTGTATCTCCATCAATCAGTTTATATGTATAGCACAACTCCAACACAAGGAAATTCAATTATCTCTGGTGTCTCTCTCGGATGTATCTCTCTCTGCTCTCTCTATGGTCTCACCCTCAGATTTTTCCCTGTGGTCTCTCTCTCTGATCACTCTCTCTGGTCTCTCTGGTTTCTCTCTTTGACCTCTCCCTCTGGTCTCTCTCTCTTGTCTCTCTCACTCTGACCTCGCCCTTTGGTTTCTCGCTGGTCTCTTACGCTCTCTGGTTTCGCTCTGAGGTCTCTCTCTGGTCTCTCTCCCTGGTCTTTCCCTGGTCTCTCTCTCGTCTCTCTTTGCTCTCTCTCAGAGGTATCTCACTCTTTCTGGCTACTCTCTCTGTGGTCTCTCTCTGAACTCTCTCTCTGGTCTCTCTCTTTGGTCTCAATCTCTGGTTCTATCTGGTCTCCCTCTGGCTCTGGTGCACTCTTTTTGATACATTTTGAACCCTATCCCAAGAACTCATCCAATAAAAGCATTTACAACTTATCGTTGCGGTATAAGAACTGGTATTGAGTATTTGTGTCTAGTAACGTGACATCACTCCCTATAATAATAATAATAATAATAATTATAATAGTATCTCTCCGTGTCGCAGTGTGTCGCTGGTGAACAAGGCGGTGGTGGATTTCTTCTTCACGGAGCTGGGGGTGGAGAAGCACTTTGAGGCGCTGCGGCACTTTCTGCTGATGGAGGACGGAGAGTTTGCTCAGTCTCTCAGCGATCTTATCTTTGAGAAGGTGAACACACACACACAGGGGTTAGGTCTGTGGCAAGGCAGGTTTTTTTGTGTAGCACAGTTCCTACACAAGTCAAAGTGCTGAACAAAACAAGAAAAGAAACATTAAAATCCCAAAATGAAGACATTCTATTGTCTTTGCAGTCTCACTCTCTGGTCTCTTTTCTCTGGTCTCTCTCTCGCTCTAATCTCTCTCTGTTCTCTCTTTGTTTCTCTCCCTGGTCTTTCTCTGCTCTCTCTTTCTCTCCCTCTCTCTGATCTCTTTTTCTCTCTCTGGTCTCTCTCTGCTCTCTCTCTCTGGTGTATCTCTCTTTCTCTCCCTCTCTCTGGTCTCTCTCTCATTCTCTGTTTTCTCTTTCTCTCTGGTCTCTCTCTATTTCCCTCCCCGGTCTCTCTCTGGTCCCTCTCTCTCTCTCTGCTCTTTCTGTTCTTTCTTTTTCTCTGGTCTCTCTCCCTGTTTCTGAGTGGAGTTTGCATGTTCTCCCCGTGCCTGCGTAGGTTTCCTCCGGGTACTCCGGTTTCCCCTACCACTAAAAATATGTACAATAGGTCTGGCATGCGCCTCCTGTTCGGCGACCCCGCTCCCATCTCTGTGTGGAGTGAGAGACAAGTGCCAAAAAAATAACAATTGTAAACCGCTTTGTGACTCTGGTCTGTGAAAGGCGCTATATAAATAAAGCTTACTTACTTACTTACTTACTTACTGTTCTCTTTCTTTCCCTCCTGTACAATAAAGTATAACTTAATACTCTAGCATTCACACTCCCCCCTCCTCCCCCCTCCTCCCCCACAGATGGGCAGTGGTCAGACACCAGGAGAGCTCCTCACTCCTCTGGTCCTGAACTCGATCCTGAACAAGGCTCTTCAGTACAGTCTTCACGGTGATTCTCCTCTGGCTTCAAACTTCACCTTTGCCCTGCGCTTCCTCCCAGAGACGTTCCACCCTCACGCCCCCGACTCCCTCAACTGCCTCGAGCTGCGCTACAAGGTCAGCACCTGCTTTAGCACACTTTACTTTAGCCCTCTCTAATTAACAGCTAATTAAGTGATAATTAGTGTATAATTCATGGTTAATTAGCTCTAAAATGGTATTTTTAAGCACTTGTTAGTCCTTTTTCTGCATGGCCTTATTCAAATCTCACTGACACTTTCTCATGTGGATTAGGATTAGCATTTAATTAGATGTTAATTAGTGAGGACTAAACTATACAGTTACAGATTTTTATTTTAAACATTTTAACAGTTTAGAAAAAAGTATTATGCCGAGTATAATCAGTCCACAAACTTCTTTGGTGACCTCACATCATGGAGGACTGGTGCTAACGGCGTCATGAATGTATTAGTGTTGTTAGTTACTTTTATGTATTTGTTTGTATGAAAATATCTATGAAGTCTTTTTTGTATTGCACGGTTCATACACAAGGCTATTCAAAGTGCAGCTGGTTTTCGCTCTCGCTCCTCAGCAAGAAGGTCCTGGGTTCGAATCCCGGTCGGAACAGGGCTTTTCTGATTGGAGGTTCCATGTTCTCCATGTGTCTGCTTAGGTTTCCTCCGGGTACTCCGGTATCCCCTACCACCAAAAACACATACTGTACAATAGTTCATGGTGAATGAGTGTGTGTTTATGAGTGCGACTGGGGGACGACCGAGCCCCGGCGAGCAAAGACAACGGCGTATTCTAATCAATGGCTTGTGCTCAGTAGCGCTTGAAGAGACCATGGGCAAAGAAAAACTCTAAAACCCAATAGAAAAAAGAGAGAAACTTCAGGGAGAACCACATTGAGAGAGGGATCCATGGAGACCGGAGCCGGAGCGAGAGACCGGAGCGAGACCCTGTTTCTGATGCACAAGAACCATATATTTGACAGATTGAACAGTTTCTCACCTGTTTCCTTTTTTCTTCTTTAAGATGAGTTCATGAAAATGCAAAGTGCTAAAGTCCTTTCCCGCCTGTGAGTGGCAGCGTCACCGTCACCTGTCGCGCTGTCGTCGTTGACAAAGTGCCGCTGCTCAGGAGTACTTAGCTTATCTGGCGCCCAAACGAGTGCAGCTCAGATTGATTAGAGGCTGCTCCTGGAGGTGACACATGATGCAGCTCATAACCTCGTCCTCTGACTCAGGCTCCAGTCTCCTCCTCTTCTTCTACTGCTACATTTATGATGAAGTCTAAGGCGGTTTTTACTGGAGCCGGGAAATGTAGCGTGGGGTGTGGAGGTTAATGCAGTTTTTAGCATCTCGTCATCTTGTCTATCGGACTGAAATCTCAGACTGAGGCAGATGTTTGGTCCGAGCAGCTGCATTAGGAATGTTAATGTTGTTGGGGTTTGTTTTCTGTGGTGAAAGAACTCCTTTGTATTTGTCAGAAAAAAGGCCAGAGGCCGGTTTGTGAGAAACAGAACCTACTCATCAGAGTCCAGAGGCTTGGACAAGACTTGAATCCAATTTATTTTTGTATCGCCCTAAATCCCAACAGTAGTTTATCTCTGAGGACTTTACAAAGTTGCTCTCTGGTCTCTCTCTCTGATCCCTCTCTCTGATCTCTCTCCTGTCTCTCTCTCTGGTCTATCTCTCTGGTCTCTCTTTCTCTCTGGTCTCTATCTCTTGGGTCTCTCTTTCTCTCTGGTTAGGGTTTTACCTATTGTACATGTTTTTAGTGGTTGGGGAAATCAAACCGTTCAAACAAACAAATACAGCCGTTGGTCCATAAAGGGCAGATTACCACTGTCCACAAACTACTAGACTTCTCTAGACTTCTCTAGACTTGGACCAGACTTGTACTTGACTTAGACTTGACTTGGATGTGACTTGGACTTGACTCGGACTTGACTCGGACTTGACTCGGACTTGACTCGGACTAGACTTGGACTAGACTTGGACTTGACTTGGATGAGACTTGGATTTGACTTGGACTTGACTTGGACTAGACTTGGACTTGACTTGGACTTGACTTGGACTTGACTTGGACTTGACTTGGACTAGACTTGGACTAGACTTGGACTAGACTTGGACTAGACTTGGACTTGACTTGGACTTGACTTGGACTTGACTTGGACTAGAATTGGACTTGACTTGGACTTGCCCGTCTAAACCAAAGTGAGATTAAGACCCTTTGTGTCTTAATCCCAGAATATTCAATCAGAGCTTTTTAAAAACAAACACTGATCATGTTTAATTGTGTTTAACATGAATTCTGTTAAACACAATCTAAATGAAACACGGTCTAAACTTTAATGAAAGAGAGACTTGAGCCACGTGAGGATTTACTGCTGTGACTGAGGTGCTTAAGATGAAAGACGCCTGTTTTTAATCCTTTAAGAAGAAAGTTTGTTTCTGGTTTCTCTCTGACTCTGGAGCAGACTCTCATTACTGATGCTGTTCCTGCTGTTCCTGCTGTTCCTGCTGTTTCTGCTGTTTCTGCTGTTTCTGCTGTTTCTGCTGTTTCTGCTGTTTCTGCTGTTTCTGCTGTTTCTGCTGTTGCTGCTGTAGCTGCTTCTCTTCCTGTTCCGGCTGTCACCACATTGTCACAGATTCCACATCCTCTCACCTTTCCTCAGAACATCACACTCTTCCTCCGTCGCTTTGCTTCACCTGCAGCGGCAAAAACTGGTCCTGATGCGAGAAAACACTCAGATTTACTGTTTTTTTCTGTTTTGTTTGGAAAGCTAGGCTCAATGTCACTGGGGAACCACAGGCCTCACAGCTCAATTTAATTACACTTCAGTTCAATGTATTGTATAAGATATTCCTTTGTTCGTCCCGCAGTGGGAAAAAGTCAGTTTTATTGTAGTGCACATTACAGCATAAAAAGAAGGAAATAAGACTCAGATTGCACACATCAAACATTGTCTGTTACTTAAGGTAATATAGCCCTAAATCACAACAGTAATTATCTCAGAGGACTTAAAAAAAACTGTTGAATTCGCCAACACAGATCAGAGAATCAGTTAAAAAACACTGTATTGGTCCATAAGGAGCAGAGACCAATGTCCATAAATGTTGTTGAATGTTGTGTCTTGGATCGTCACCACTGTCCTTATGTTAGACCCACACAAGTGTCCAACAGACCCTCCTGCATCAGCAAGGAACTCTAAACCCCAGTGGGAGAAGGTGAGAAACCTGGGGGAGGGATCTGCCACAGGTGCAGGTTGAGGAGGCAGGGGGCCGGACCAGAAGATTCTCTGCAATAATACCCTAAAACAGTTCAAAGTCCAACTTTTTGTGCAAATAAACACATTTATTTAAAACGTCCTTTAATACTCAGTTTTAACTGTAAATCTGTTACTAACTTAAATGTAACAATGAGTTATTTATTGTGCAAATAATGTGAAATGCCATTTACAATGTAATATTGTTAATACTTAACATGGTCTACAATTGTCACACAATTGTAGACCATTTTCAAGACGACTTCCACTTCTGTTTAAAGTCTATTCCTGTTTCTTCTTAACATCTCAGGGTTAACAGCGACTAATCAAAAGCCTCTGGAGTCAGATCCTCTCAATGGCAAGAAAACTAAACTAAACTAATGTTGTAGCCATTGATATCGATTCTGTTGCATTTATAACGTGCCGGTCATGACACCAAGGTGCTACCGCTGCCTCAAACTGTTTTCAACCTAAACTAAAGCTTCATATTTCATGCAACACACCACACTAATCATTCATTCCATACACGGCGGTGGTGAGCTACTAGCCACAGCTGCCCTGGGGCAATCTGCTGCAAGTGAGGCTGCCATAGATGCCCCTGCTACCACTCCTGCCATACACACACACACAACATTCACACAAGGCAAAGTGGGTGAAGTGTCTTGCTTAAGGACACAACGACGAGTTTACAGCCGCCCCGCTGTAGCACCTGGTGAGAATAGCAGGTCTCCCATCACAGCGGTGCCCGGGGTACACACAAGAAGACCAAGCCCAATGTGTGCTAGTTGTTAGCTTTAGCATCATGACAAATACACTGAATCTACTGGTTTTAGGAAAGAGAGAGACCAGAGAGATCCCTGGTCTCTCTCCCACCTCGCTGGTCTCCCTCCTTCAGAGAGAGACCAGAGAGATCCCTGGTCTCTCTCCCACCTCGCTGGTCTCCCTCCTTCAGAGAGAGAGCAGAGAGATCCCTGGTCTCTCTCCCACCTCGCTGGTCTCCCTCCTTCAGAGAGAGACCAGAGAGATCCCTGGTCTCTCTCCCACCTCGCTGGTCTCCCTCCTTCAGAGAGAGAGCAGAGAGATCCCTGGTCTCTCTCCCACCTCGCTGGTCTCCCTCCTTCAGAGAGAGAGCAGAGAGATCCCTGGTCTCTCTCCCACCTCGCTGGTCTCCCTCCTTCAGAGAGAGAGCAGAGAGATCCCTGGTCGGTCTCCCACCTCGCTGGTCTCCCTCCTTCAGAGAGAGACCAGAGAGATCCCTGGTCTCTCTCCCATCTCGCTGGTCTCCCTCCTTCAGAGAGAGAGCAGAGAGGTCGGCCAAGTTGTGCTGCTCCCTGTGATCTTTTGTATCTCTTTGTAGAAGTGGAAGTGAGACAACCTTAAGTCTATGTTGTCTTTGTATTTAAAAATGTCTATCAGGAGTTGGGAATGGGGGTTGGGGGGTTGGGGATTTCGTTTGGCTTATTGGTGTACATTTTTCAGCCGCTGTTCCAGAATTTTAATCTGTCAACTTCAACGGTCTCTGCTTCCTGGATTTGATGGTCGAATGTGCTTCTTGGCTGATTCGTCCAGGTCACATATCGGCCTACTTGACTTTTCCACCTGTTTTTTGGTGCTTAGCTCTTGCTTCTTCTTGCCTTCTGTCAGTGCTGTCAGCTCGCAATATATTCATGTTCTCTGACGTCTCTCGTGCCACAGTCTCTAACTCCCTTCTTTCCTCTTCAGACGATTCCAAGGATTATCTTAACCGCTGGATCTCTTGCAGGTGGCTTTGCTTAATTGTTTTCAGTCTCTATATGTTTTCCCTCCCACTCTTCTGTGGGGTCAACGGCGTCTTCATACTCCTCCTCAACCCAGACATCACATCCGTCTATTCTCGGCTTTGAGCTCTGGGATGTACGCCTCCATCTCTGCGATAAAAGAGCTTTTCTTGTCGGAGTTTGTGCGACACTCGATCAACCTTTTCTGGGTTCTGGCCAGCTGCTCCTTCTCTTTCTGTTTGCTTTCTCTCAGTTTGCTGATGGCCTTGTCTTTCACCTCAATCTTCTTCCTCAGCTCTTGGATGGTGTGATCTGAGGTCCTCCCGGCCTCCTTCACAGCCTCTTCCACCTCATTCATCGACTTGTTCCGTGCCACGAGAGGTCTTTTCTCTGATGTAGTTTGTATATTTTTCAGCTGACTCTCCTGAATTCTTGTCTTTAGCTCTCTGTTCTCTGCTTGGACTTTGGAGTTTTCTGCCTCCATCGCAGCAGTGACAGAGTTCTTCATGAGTAATTGTGCGCTGTACTCCTTTATCCCTTTCTGGTTCCTGGTCAGCTGCTGCTTCTCCTTCTCTCTGTTTTCTATCAATTTGCTGATCACTTTGTCTTTCAGCTCAATCTTCTTCTTCAGCTCTTGAATGGTGTAATCTGAGGTCGAACTGGCTTCCTTCGCAGCCTCGTCACGCACCACCTTTTGAGCCTGGACCTCATTCATGTGCTTATTCTGAGCAGCGAGAAGTCTTTTTTCTGATTCAGCGTATACTTTTTTCAGCTGACTTTCCTGATTCAGAATATTAGTCCGAAGCTCTCTTTTCTCAGCTTTGACGCTCGAACCAGTTGCATAAAGTCACGGGAGCATTAAAACGCATATGTTCACAAGCACAGAGTACTCCATTGTCAACCCTGGTTTAGTCCTGTTTTAGTCCTGGTTTAGTCCTGGTCTTGGTCTGGTTTAGTCCTGGTTTTGGTCTGGTGTAGCTCCTGTTTTCGCTGTTTACAGTATGTTCAGTCGGCTCGCTCAGACCACTAACGTCCCCATGACCACTTTGCGGCTCTCTGATTGGTCGCTGCACGAGCGTCCAAGGAAACGCTCCTGCCCCTCCCCCGCGACTTTGCCGTGCAGTCCGTCCGTGCGTCCCGAGACACCATCGACTTTGCATTGAAAGCAGACGCAACGCATGATCCGGTCTGAAAGCAGCTTAAGAGAAATTCAGGTGTCCAGCAGCGGAAGACTCATCCAGGTTGTACAGTCTGTCGCGGTCCTCGGGTCGCGTGATTGACACCCCTGCTGTAGATCCAGGACTAAAGCCATAGATCCAGGGCTGAGGCTGTAGATCCAGGACTGAGGCTGTAGATCCAGGACTGAGGCTGTAGATCCAGGACTGAGGCTGTAGATCCAGGACTGAGGCTGTAGATCCAGGACTGAGGCTGTAGATCCAGGACTGAGGCTGTAGATCCAGGACTGAGGCTGTAGACCCAGGACTGAGGCTGTAGATCCAGGACTGAGGCTGTAGATCCAGGACTGAGGCTGTAGACCCAGGACTGAGGCTGTAGATCCAGGACTGAGGCTGTAGATCCAGGACTGAGGCTGTAGATCCAGGACTGAGGCTGTAGATCTAGGACTGAGGCTATAGATCACAGAGAACTGCAGATTTAAGCCCAAAGTGGTGAGTGTGACACAGTTACTGAGCTAGAGGCAATAGTCAATAGGAGCCAAACTTCACCATGGACAGTTCCTCATTGGGCTTCATTGAGCTTGTGGGTTAATATTGTCCGTCTGTTTACAGTGTGTGGTGTGGACTGATGAAACTAGAATGAATCACAGCCTTTGACCTTATTTGTTTTTGTCTGTGTGTGTGTGTCTCTCTCCCTGTCTCTGTCTCTGTGTGTCTCAGGTGGACTGGCCTCTGAACATCATCATCACCGACAGCTGTATGAACAAATACAATCGTTTGTTCTCGTTCCTGCTGCAGCTGAAGCACATGGTGTGGAGTCTGAGAGACGTGTGGTTCCACCTCAAACGCACAGGTAACACACATGCACACACGCACACAGACACACAGACCCAGGGCTGAGACTGTAGATCCAGGACTGAGGGTGAAGATCCAGGACTAAGACTGTAGATCCAAGACCTAGGCTGTAGACCCAGGGCCGAGGCTGTAGACCCAGGACTAAGACTTGGACTCTTGGACACACACATAACATTAACATTTTTCCCAAACACTCAGAGTAAAGTGCTGCGTGTGGTGTTATTGATCAGAGAAAGCGGTTTAGCTGAATACATAACAGATCCTTGTGTTGAAGACCCGCGGGACACGGCGTCGGTGAAAAGGAACTCATTTTACCGAGCACCTGAGAAAACACTGAATATTTAATACACTCAAGTTTAATTGAGTCAATAGTGGAGAAAATATGCACAGGACACGCTCTGCTCCAGCAGAGTCACCAGCACACTTTATTTATCCCTGAGGGAGAGAGGAGGAGAGGAGGAGAGAGGAGCAGAGGAGAGGAGGATAGAGGGGAGCAGAGGAGTGGAGTGGAGTGGAGAGGAGAGGAGGAGAGAGGGGAGCGGAGGAGAGGAGGAGGAGAGAGGGGAGCAGAGGAGTGGAGTGGAGTGGAGAGGAGAGGAGGAGAGAGGGGAGCGGAGGAGAGGAGGAGGAGAGAGGGGAGCAGAGGAGAGGGGAGGAGAGGAGAAGAGGGGAGGAGGAGAGAGGGGAGCAGAGGAGAGGAGTAGGAGAGAGGGGAGCAGAGGAGAGGAGTAGGAGAGAGGGGAGCAGAGGAGAGGAGTAGGAGAGAGGGGAGCAGAGGAGAGGGGAGGAGAGGAGAAGAGGGGAGGAGGAGAGAGGGGAGCAGAGGAGAGGAGTAGGAGAGAGGGGAGCAGAGGAGAGGAGTAGGAGAGAGGGGAGCAGAGGAGAGGAGTAGGGAGAGAGGGGAGCAGAGGAGAGGAGTAGGAGAGAGGGGAGCAGAGGAGAGGAGTAGGAGAGAGGGGAGCAGAGGAGAGGGGAGGAGAGAGGGGAGCAGAGGAGAGGGGAGGAGAGGAGAAGAGGGGAGGAGGAGAGAGGGGAGCAGAGGAGAGGAGTAGGAGAGAGGGGAGCAGAGGAGAGGAGTAGGAGAGAGGGGAGCAGAGAAGAGGGGGGAGCAGAGGGGGGAGGAGGTGGGGAGAGAGGAGCAGAGGGCAGCAGAGGAGAGAGGAGGAGACGGGAGGAATGTATACGTATTCTCTCTTCTCTTCTCACTAACATTCGTGGGAATTGGCAAAAATGTGATGATTCCATTGAGTATTCTGAGTATTCTGAGTATTCTGAGTATATTTTGAATATTGTGAGTATATTGTTAGCCTGGTCCCTGTGTCAGCGAATACAATCGGTTGAATTTCGACCGACCAATCAGAGAGCGCGGGAGGCGGGTGTTGTTGTTAGTTGTGGCTGACGTCAAGAGTTTGCGTCGAACGGGAAGGTTGTAGTTTGGAGAAGAATGTGATGGTAAAGTAATCAGGTCTGGTTCTATCAAGAAACTGAAGCTGGAGCAAGAGGAATGTTTAGCAAATGTAATCGCTGGTCAAGATTGTGGCGCGACTCCCCACGGGCTCCGTTAGCAGCAAAGGAGATGGCTAAAGCTAGGCTAAAGGCTAAATGTTAGCTACTCACTCGGGCACATCACATACGTCACGGTAAACTCAGATCCAATCGTTTCAATCTGTAAAAGGAGTAAACCCCTCCCCCTGTTAACAGAGCTCAATGGAGCAAATCCAGACCTTAGTATGAAATGTAATGTGTACTATGGTGTGGTACGACCAGACTAGTGTATTGGGAGTATTATTATATTTTTGCCACAATTCAATATTATTGGGTCACAGTGGCTCAGATTGTAGAGCTTTGGTCTTTGAGCCTGAAGGTCGAGCCTCCTGACTCCCACTGATGTCTGCTGTCGTGTCCTTGAGCAAGACACTTAACCCCACTTTGCCTTTAGCCCCCGCTGAAAGATCAAGACCAGAGCAGCCTCCTGTGGACTGGGCTCCTGCAGGAGGATCAGGGGCTCCTTTGAACAAGATCTTTTTGATTTGTCAGAATCAAAAAAACAGTCAAAATGTGTCAGATTAATATAAAAACTCATTAATTTCCTCATATTTGATCATTTTTTGCAGTGTATACAGACCGCACCTGAATAGAAGCCTCAGGTTTTCATGTTTAATGATCCTCTCTCTCCCCTCTCCCTCACCCCCTCCCTCACCCCCTCCCTCCTCTCCCCCCTCAGCGGTGGTGAAGGGTGCGGGGGGCTCGGTGCAGTTCCGGCAGCTGCAGTTGTACAGACATGAGATGCAGCACTTTGTGAAGGTGATCCAGGGCTACCTCTCCTCTCAGATCCTGCAGGTCTCATGGAGCGAGTTCATCACCAAACTGTGCTCCGCCACCGACCTGGACGCCATCCACCTCCTCCACGCCGACTACCTCAACAGGGCCATCTTCAGGTGGGGGCCGGCACTGCAGCACATACCAGCGAGCACATACCAGCGAGCACATACCAGCGAGCACATACCAGCGAGTGTTAAAGGAGTCAGAACTAGATCAGTGTTTAAGTCTCTCTCTCTCTCTCTCTCTCTCTCTCTCTCTCTCTCTGTCTCTGTCTCTGTCTCTGTCTCTCTCTGTCTCTCTCTCCAAGGTCTCTGTCTCTCTCTCTCTCTCCAAGGTCTCTGTCTCTCTCTCTGGTCTCTCTCTCTGGTGTCTCTCTGGTTTCACTCCAAGGTCTCTCTCTCCCTGGTGTTTCTCTCTGGTTTCACTCCAAGGTCTCTCTCTCCCTGGTGTTTCTCTCTGGTCTCTCTCTAGTCCCTCTCTAGTTTCTCTCTCTCTGGTCTTTCTCTCTCATTTCTCTTTCTGGTCTCTCTGATCTCTCTCTCTGGTCTCTTTCTGGTCTTATAAGTGAATACAAATTGGTTGATCAGAGAGAGACCACTTTCTCTCCTCAAACTCTTGATGAGACAAAGTAAAACTGCTCGTGTAAAAACATATTTATGATTCAGCTCAGGATCTGAAACACGGAAAGATTTGACCTCATTATCTGCAGACGTCTGTGTCGTCTCCTCCTCAAAGTCTCTCTCTCTGTCGGTCTCTCTCCTGTCTCTGTCTCTCTCTCAGGGGTTTGCTCACAGACAAAGCCGCTCCGGTCATGAACATCATCCACAGTATTTTCAGTCTGATCCTGAAGTTCCGGGCTCAGCTGATCGCACTGCCCTGGGAGCGCCACCAGGGGGAGGCAGTGCACCCCAGCTTCATCGCTATGCAACAGTCCTACAACACCTTCAAGTACTACTCACACTTCCTCTTCAAAGGTAACGGATGCCTCTCTCTCTGTGCTCTCTCTCGCTCTGCTCTCTCTTTGAGCTCTCTCTGGTCCCTCACTGTGTCTTGTCTCTCTGCGCTCTCTGGGCTCTCTCTTCTGTCTGGTTGCTTTGGTCTTGCTTTATGGTCTCGCTCTCTCACTGGTCTCTGGTCTCGCTCTTGTCTCTCTGTGGTCTCTCTCTCTGTGGCGGCACGGTGGCTGAGTGGATAGCACTCTCGCCTCTCAGCAAGAAGGTCCTGGGTTTGAGACCCGGTTTCTGAGTGGAGTTTGCATGTTCTCCCCGTGTCTGCGTAGGTTTCCTCCGGGTGCTCCGGTTTCCATCCATCCATCCATTTTCTACCCTTTAATCCATTTCTGGGTCAGGGGGGTGGCAGTCAGAGATGCCACCCAAGTCTCATAGCACCAGCCCCTCACTGACCCTCTGCAGGTGGTGAGTCCACAGGAGGACGGCTGCTCTCTGAGTGTGAGCATAGCCTTGATCTTTCAGTGGGGGCTTTGGGCAAAGTGGGGTTAAGTGTCTTGCCCAAGGACACAACGACAGCAGTCATCAGTGGGAGTCGGTGGAGAAGGTGTAGAGGTGGGAATTGAACCCACGACCTTCAGGCCTGAAGGCCAATGCTCTACCAACTGAGCTACTGTCGCCCCCGCTCCGCTCCCAAAAATAACAATTGTAAACCGCTTTGAGACTCCGATGTGCAGTGAAAAGGCAGTATATAAATAAAGATTACTTACTTACTTACTTACTTCTTTGTGGTCTCGCTCTCTGGTCTCTCTCTTTCTGGTCGTCTTTCTCTGGTCTCCCTCTTCTCTCTCTCTGGTCCCTCTCTCTCTGGTCCCTCTCTCTCTGGTCCCTCTGTCTCTGGTCTCTCTTGTCTCTCTCTGGTCTCTATCTGCTCTCTCTCTGGCCCCTCTCTGCTCTCTTTGTCTCCCTCTTCTCTCTTTCTGGACACATTCTCTGATTTGTTTGTCTGTTCTGTAGTTGTGACCAAACTGGTGAACAGAGGCTACCAACCACATCTGGAAGACTTCCTGCTTCGAATCAACTTCAACAACTACTACAAAGACTCCTGAGCTCTCTCTCTGTCTGCTGAGGTCTCTCTCTCTCCTCTGAAGTCTGTCTGCTGAGGTCTCTCTCTCGCTCCTGAAGTCTCTCTCTCTCTCTCTCTCTCTCCAGAGATGAAGTTTACAGTTTAAATCTGTCCATAAACATTGAAAAGATTATTTAAATGACGTTTGTAAAATAAAGGGTTTCTTCTTGAATTCTTCGGAGAACTCTCTTCTTTCTGAGGGGGAGGGGTCAGTTCTAAGCATTTAACAAAAGCATCTCTGTATGAAGAGTTTATTTGCAAAAAGCTGTATTCCCCTTTCTGGTCTCTCTTGTTTAGTCTCTCTCGCTCTTGATTCCGCTCTTTCTCTGCCTCTCTTGTCTCTCTCTGCTTGCTCTCCCTTGTCTACTTTCTCTTGTATATAAATAAAGTGCACATAAGTTTTAGTCTCTCTCTGGTTTCTTGTGTGTGTGATCTGTGATTTTTTGAGCTGAAATATGTAGTATTTTAAAGTTACAGACCTCAGCTTTAAAGTGTAGCTGTCAGAGAGTTCTGTTATGTCAGTTACTATATACAAGCAAAAGTTATTGTGGATATAAACAGATCCAGGTCTTTTCTCTTCATGGACCCAGTGACTCGACTTTTTTTTCTTTCATGACACAAATCAGACGACACTGACGTTTATTTTTAATGAGGTTTTAATGAAACATGTTATAAAATGATACAGAGGGCAACAGTCGTGGGATCCTTCAACCTAAAAACTTAGGACGGAAGAACGTTCTAGAACCCTTAGTATCTCAGACCATTATGTCACAGTATAAAACCATATATGCATAAGTACCATGTGCATAAGTACCATTACTCTACTGCAGGGTTCATGGTTCGATTCTTGGTGGAACTTCAGAGAAATATTAGATTAGTTTTCATGCCCCGGGTTTAAACATATTTACACAGTTTTGGTTAATAGACACAGGATGGAGACGATTCCTACGGTCGAGAATCTGCACAGATTAGAAATGTTGAAAGTGTCGGAGGCTGCGGAGGTCTGAGCTGCTGCAGCTGTCAAAAGCCGAGCATATACAGTAAAAAACAACTGCAGAGGACTCAGAGGGGCAGGACTGAGGGCTACGGGAAGAACAGCGAGAGAGAGGCCACGGGGGGAGAGACCAGAGAGAGAGAGAGAAGCCAAGGGGGGAGACCAGAGAGAGAGAAGCCAAGGGGGAGAGACCAGAGAGCGAGAAGCCAAGGGGGAGAGACCAGAGAGAGAGGCCAGCGGGGGAGAGACCAGAAAGATATGCCAGAGGGGGAGAGACCAGAGAGAGAGAAGCCAAGGGGGATAGACCAGAGAGAGAGAAGCCAAGGGGGAGATACCAGAGAGAGAGGCCAGAGAGGGAGAGATGGGCCATAGGGGGAGAGACCAGAGAGAGAAGCCATGGGGGAGACCAGAGAGAGAGAAGCCAAGGGGGATAGACCAGAGAGAGAAGCCAAGGGGGATAGACCAGAGAGAGAGAAGCCAAGGGGGAGAGACCAGAGAGAGAGAAGCCAAGGGGGAGAGACCAGAGAGAGAGGCCAGCGGGGGAGAGACCAGAAAGATATGCCAGAGGGGGAGAGACCAGAGAGAGAGAAGCCAGGGGGGAGAGACAAGAGAGAAAGAGGCCAGTGGGGGAAGAGACCAGCGAGATGGGCCATAGGGGGAGAGACCAGAGAGAGAAGCCATGGGGGAGACCAGAGAGAGAGGTTAGGGGGGAGAGTCCAGCGAGAAAGACCAGATAGAAAGAAATAGAGACCAGAAAGAGGGACAAGACTCATATGTCTCTCTCTCACCCTCTCTGGTCTCTCTCTAGTCTCGCTCCCATCCTCCTCTCACTGCTTTTGTTGTCAATTAGGATTAGTTCTGATGAGTCAAACAGATAGAATCCTTTCCTCTTGTTTTCTCTCGCAGCAGATTAAGCCAGAGCCATAACTTCTTACATAATGCACTTAATTGTTGCTGTAATATTTGGTGCGGAGCTTAGTGCGAGTGTTTTTCAAAGCGGCGCAGAAGAGGGACGCTGATTAAACATGAAAAACCTGTTTTTTTTACAGAAGCAACAGCGAGGATCTTAATATGAACATCTGGACGACTCCGACTGAAGAGCTGAGAGCAATTAGAAACAAAACATAACTCAGTGGAACAAGAGCAGATCGTTAAAACGTCAGTTAAATGTTAGAGAAAGATTCAGCTGCAGGTTCTGGGATCGCGCCACAGTCTGAGATTTAGACTGAAACTGGTTCTGAACTAAACCGCGACAGTGTTAATGCATGTCACAAGTGTCTGTTTTGGTTTTAGAGATTGAACTCATGGTTACAGGGAGACAGAGAGACCAGAGAGAGACAGGAGAGAGCAGAGAAAGTAGAGCAAGAGACCAGAGAGAGACCAGAGAGTGTTGGCAGAGACCAGAGAGAGACCAGATAGTGTTGGGAGAGACCAGAGAGAGATAGAGGCTGACCAGAAAGCAAGAGACCGCAAAGAGAGACTAGAGAGTGATGGGAGAGAGCAGAGCGAGAGACTAAAGAAAGAAGAGAAAGAAAGAGAGCGAGAGAGACCAGGCAGAGACTAGAGAGTGATAGTAGAAAGTAGAGCAAGAGGCTACAGAGAGAGACAGACCAGAAAGTGAGAGAGACCAGGGATAGAGACTAGAGAGTGATGGGAGAGAGCAGAGAAAGGAGAGCGAGAGACTAAAGAAACAAGAGACAGAGAACGAGAGAGACCAGAGAGGGCGTGGCTTGTGGCTGGGAGTGTAAAGTTTCAGCTGTATCTCTAAAGGAAGTGAAGCCAGACTTTGTGATTCAAAAACCACCTGTTTCTTCAACGTTTGGACGAAACTAAACCATGAACGAGGACTTCCTGCAGAACCATGAACCTTTGAACCATATTTCACATGAAAAATCTAAACGTTTAAGATCATGAAAGAGATGCATAAATCCTTGCATTAAAATAACAACAAAACTACAGTTATACAGAACTGAAGACTTAACGTTTTTTTACATTAGTGCATTTTGTAAATAAGACGTCGACCAAGAAGCAGATGGAAACGCAGCAGACGTGAAAATCTCTCTTCTTCATTATTATTTCAACTTAAGAAACTGGAATCTACAAAAAATACAGTATGGACGAAGGTGTTTCGGCCAAATTTTAGAGATTGTCAATTGAGGGTTACAGAGAGACCAGAGAGAGAGAGGGACCAGAGAGAGAGAGAGACTAGAGAGAGAGAGGGACCAGAGAGAGAGAGAGACTAGAGAGAGAGGGACCAGAGAGAGAGCAAAGGACCAGAGAGAGACCAGAGAGAGAGAGGGACCAGAGAGAGACCAGTGAGAGACCAGAGAGAGACCAGAGAGAGAGAGGGACCAGAGAGAGAGAGGGACCAGAGAGAGACCAGTGAGAGACCAGAGAGAGCGAAGGACCAGAGAGAGAGAGAGACAAGAGAGAGAGCGAAGGACCAGAGAGAGAGCACGAGAGGAACCAGAGAGAGAAACTAGAGAGAGAGACCAGAGAGAGAGACCAGAGAGAGACCAGAGAGAGAGACCAGAGAGAGACCAGAGAGAGACCAGAGAGAGAGACCAGAGAGAGACCAGAGAGAGACCAGAGAGAGAGACCAGAGAGAGACCAGAGAGCAAAGGACTAGAGAGAGACCAGAGAGAGAATAAAGACAGAGAGGGACCAGAGAGAGAGCACGAGAGAAACCAGAGAGAGAAACTAGAGAGAGAGACCAGAGAGAGAGACCAGAGATGGATGATGAAAGATTATAAGAATATTTCTATATGGGGGAGAGTGGGAAGTGTGATGTCACATGATTTAAACGTTGCATCATTTGACCCAGGATTAAAACCAGACCAGAGCTGCCTTGAACCAGGTCTTTGTATGTTCTAGTCTGACTGTGCGTCTGTGACTCGCTCTCGTTACCGGAGAAAACACAAAAACACCTCCATGGTTCACTTTGTTTCCAGGGAAAGGTCCAGACACCAGACGCTGAACTTTGGGACAGATTTTACAGTAATTGGACAAATCTGAACCATAAAAGTGACTGGATTTTTACAGAAAAGTCTACCCTTGATTTGTTACTTGTCCTTTGTGCGTGCGTGTGCGTGTGTGTGTGTGTGTGTGTGTGTGTGTGTGTGCGTCACTCAAATATTCAACAGTCGATACTGAGAAAATCACTGCTTTCCATTTGCTTTTTGGAACGACATAAGTTTCATTGCACATCATCGAAAACCAGAGTCTCGTCAGTTTTGAAGTACCATGGTTAGAGGAGACCAGGAACGCTCTCTGATCCTCTGGTCCTCTGGTCTCTAGTCTCTGGTCCCTCTAGTTTCTTCTCTCTCTGGTCTCTCTCTGGTCTCTCTCTGGTCTCTCTCTGGTCTCTCTCTGGTCTCTCTCTGGTCTCTCTCTGGTCTCTCTCTGGTCTCTCTCTGGTCTCTCTCTGGTCTCTCTCTGGTCTCTCTCTGGTCTCTCTCTGGTCTCTCTCTGGTCTCTCTCTGGTCTCTCTCTGGTCTCTCTCTGGTCTCTCTCTGGTCTCTCTCTGGTCTCTCTCTGGTCTCTCTCTGGTCTCTCTCTGGTCTCTCTCTGGTCTCTCTCTGGTCTCTCTCTGGTCTCTCTCTGGTGTCTTGTCTCGCTGGTCTCTGGTCCCCATGGTCTCTCTGGTCCCTGGTCGTCATTGTCTCTCTGGTCCCTGGTCCCCATGGTCTCTCTGGTCTCCATGGTCTCTCTGGTCCCTGGTCCCCATGGTCTATCTGGTCCCTGGTCCCCATGGTCTCTCTGGTCTAGGCCTCAGACTCCAGGTCCTCTTGACTGGCTCCCTCTGGTTCTTCTCCGCTCTCTGGATCCAGGAGGAGGAACTTGCCGTCGTTGGTCAAAGGCATGTTCTTCATGAGCTCTGCCAAAGCCTCCGGGTCCTGGACACAAACAAACTATTAAAGCTCAGGGACCTAACTTTTCTCCTATCGCTTAACAGACACATTAGATACAAAGAGAGACCAGAGAGAGAGACCAGAGAGAGAGACCGGAGAGAGAGACCGGAGAGAGAGAGACCAGAGAAAGACCAGAGAGAGACTAGAGAGAGAGACCAGAGAGAGAGACCAGAGAGAGAGACCAGAGAGAGAACAGAGAGACCAGAGAGACACCAGAGAAAGACCAGAGAGAGACTAGAGAGAGAGAGACCAGAGAGAGACCAGAGAGAGACAAGAGAGAGACCAGAGGGACCAGAGAGAGAGACCAGAGAGAGAGACCAGAGAGAGAGACCAGAGAGAGAACAGAGAGACCAGAGAGAGACCAGGGAGAGACCAGAGAGAGAACAGAGAGAGACCATAGAGGGACTAGAGAGAGACTAGAGAGAGACTAGAGAGAGACTAGAGAGAGAGACCAGGGAGAGACCAGGGAGAGACCAGAGAGAGACCAGAGAGAGACCAGAGAGAGACCAGAGAGAGACCAGAGAGAGACCAGAGAGAGACCAGAGAGAGACCAGAGAGAGAGACCAGAGAGAGAACAGAGAGACCAGAGAGAGACCAGGGAGAGACCAGAGAGAACAGAGAGAGACCATAGAGGGACTAGAGAGAGACTAGAGAGAGACTAGAGAGAGACTAGAGAGAGACTAGAGAGAGAGACCAGGGAGAGACCAGAGAGAGACCAGGGAGAGACCAGGGAGAGACCAGGGAGAGACCAGAGAGAGACCAGAGAGAGAGACCAGAGAGAGAGACCAGAGAGAGAGACCAGAGAGAGAACAGAGAGACCAGAGAGAGACCAGGGAGAGACCAGAGAGAACAGAGAGAGACCATAGAGGGACTAGAGAGAGACTAGAGAGAGACTAGAGAGAGACTAGAGAGAGACTAGAGAGAGACTAGAGAGAGACTAGAGAGAGACTAGAGAGAGAGACCAGGGAGAGACCAGAGAGAGACCAGGGAGAGACCAGGGAGAGACCAGAGAGAGACCAGAGAGAGACCAGAGAGAGACCAGAGAGAGACCAGAGAGAGACCAGAGAGAGACCAGAGAGAGACCAGAGAGAGACCAGAGAGAGACCAGAGAGAGAGACCCAGTGAGAGAGACCCAGTGTATCATTCATACAAAGCCAGTAATCTTTAGAACAGACTTAAACATACACAGATGGATTGTATTCTAGAATTAAATGTTTTGATAATTGATAGTTGGTGATCGCAGCTCGGATTCATCGTTGCCGTGGATACATGCATGAATCATGATTATGATTTATTGATTGATTGATGGATTTTCATTTAACCCAGAAAGTCCCACTGGCATTTCAGAATCACTGTTTTTAGGCGAGTCCTGACCTCCGAGAGAGATGAGCTGTTGTACATGTTATTAGTGTAGGGGAACCCGGAGCACCTGGAGGAATCCTACACAGATACGGAGAGAACAAGCAAATTCCACTCAGAAAGGCCCTGTCTGGAGGAGGAATCGAACCCAGGACCTTCAGGCTGAGAAGCTGGAAAGTTTGAACTTTCCAGAACACATGAGAAATGACACTTTAAGAAAAGTCATCTTTATTGTGTTGGAAAAAAACTGTTTTGACCCAAAACTTAGAAATGTTGTTCTAAAAGACAGAAAATGGCTTTAGTACGAGTCACATTCTGACAGTGTTTGATACAGGAGTGTTTGGGCAGATGAGGCGGGGGGATGTCTGTGGCAGGTGTTGGCAAGGACTTATCTAAAATAACTCCAGGTCTGAGTTTGAGAAGGGAACAGTCCTGGATCTACAGCCTCAGTCCTGGATCTACAGCCTCAGTCCTGGATCTACAGCCTCAGTCCTGGATCTACAGCCTCAGTCCTGGGTCTACAGCCTCAGTCCTGGATCTACAGCCTCAGTCCTGGGTCTACAGCCTCAGTCCTGGATCTACAGCCTCAGTCCTGGGTCTACAGCCTCAGTCCTGGATCTACAGCCTCAGTCCTGGATCTACAGCCTCAGTCCTGGGTCTACAGCCTCAGTCCTGGGTCTACAGCCTCAGTCCTGGGTCTACAGCCTCAGTCCTGGGTCTACAGCCTCAGTCCTGGATCTACAGCCTCAGTCCTGGATCTACAGCCTCAGTCCTGGGTCTACAGCCTCAGTCCTGGGTCTACAGCCTCAGTCCTGGGTCTACATCTTTGTAAGTAAGTAAGTAAGTAATCTTTATTTATATACCGCCTTTTCACTGCAGATCTGAGTCTCAAAGCGGTTTACAATTGTTAATTTTGGGCATTTGTCTTTTCACTCCACACAGAGATGGGAGCGGGGTCGCCAGTACAGGAGGCACATGCTAGAACTATTGGACATATTTTTAGTGGTAGGGGAAACCGGAGTACCCGGAGGAAACCTACGCAGACACGGGGAGAACATGCAAACTCGCGCCGGTGGCTGAGTGGATAGCACTCTCAGTGGATAGTTTGTAAAGTCCTTTGACTGTTGTGATTTAGGGCGAGACACAGATACATAGAAGTTGAACTGAATATTGTAGAAATAGAAGTGGTTTCCAGAGCACATTAGTGATGGCCAAACGCCCCCTGGCGGTCGTTTTTCATATTTACCTTTTTTCCAGTTGGAAATGTATGTAAAGTTTTGAAAGTTTTGAACTGAGACAAAAATATAAGGAAGACCAAAACATGAAATATCAGAGAAAGAGACCAGAAAGACCAGAGAGAGAGATAGAGAGACCAGAGAGAGAGAGAGAGACCAGGGAGACCAGAAAGACTAGAGAGAAACTAGGGAGAGAAAAGAGAGAGAACACAGAGAGACCAGAGAGAGACCAGAGAGAGACCAGAGGGGGACCAGAGAGAGACCATAGGGATAAGAGAGAGACCAGAGAGAGACTAGAGAGAGACCAGTGAGAGACCAGAGAGACTAGTGAGAGACCAGAGGGGGACCAGAGGGGGACCAGAGGGGGACCAGAGGGGGACCAGAGGGCGACTCGGTCACATTACCAAAAAAATTAACAAAACTAATAAGACAAGAACTTGTATTCTTCAAACCTTTATGAGGCAAAACCCAGGGCACTTTCTATACAGTGACTTGGCCTCTCACACATCTCCTACATTTCTCTGTGTTTCTGCTGATTAAAGTCGTCCACTCTCTCTTATTCAGACACAGCCCCACCTTTGGTCCATTTCTGGTTCTATTTTCAGACATCATTCGGGTTTGTGACTGAAAAACTAACATTTCTTACCTTTTTAGCTTCTGTGATGTCCTTCGCCAGATTCATGGTAAAGCAGACCTGTCAATCATAAAAAACACTGTATAGAATATATGTGACATCACTTAATATGTTTAAAGGACACTGAAGCAGCAGAGTCCGATGGCTCCAGACCACATACATACTGTACATAAATAAACAATAATCTACAGTGACCTGTCTCTTCCAGACTTTAACATCATTCATAATCTCAATCTGAAATTATCGGAAATCTGAAAAAGTAAATGCTTTTAACCCAATGTATCGACATTCAAAATTGGGCTTGTCCTCTACCACAGTACAGTATAGAGTCAAAGTACCGGTCCTCAGCTAGAGTCAAAGGGTCGGTACTCAGCTAGAGTCAAAGTGCTGGTCCTCAGCTAGAGTCAAAGTGCTGGTACTCAGCTAGAGTCAAAGTGCTGGTCCTCAGCTAGAGTCAAAGTGCTGGTCCTCAGCTAGAGTCAAAGGGTCGGTCCTCAGCTAGAGTCAAAGTGCTGGTACTCAGCTAGAGTCAAAGTGCTGGTACTCAGCTAGAGTCAAAGTGCTGGTACTCAGCTAGAGTCAAAGTGCTGGTACTCAGCTAGAGTCAAAGTGCTGGTACTCAGCTAGAGTCAAAGTGCTGGTACTCAGCTAGAGTCAAAGGGTCGGTACTCAGCTAGAGTCAAAGTGCTGGTACTCAGCTAGAGTCAAAGTGCCGGTACACAGCTAGAGTCAAAGGGTCGGTACTCAGCTAGAGTCAAAGGGTCGGTACTCAGCTAGAGTCAAAGTGCTGGTACACAGCTAGAGTCAAAGGGTCGGTACTCAGCTAGAGTCAAAGGGTCGGTACTCAGCTAGAGTCAAAGGGTCGGTACTCAGCTAGAGTCAAAGGGTCGGTACTCAGCTAGAGTCAAAGTGCTGGTACACAGCTAGAGTCAAAGGGTCGGTACTCAGCTAGAGTCAAAGGGTCGGTACTCAGCTAGAGTCAAAGGGTCGGTACTCAGCTAGAGTCAAAGTGCTGGTACACAGCTAGAGTCAAAGGGTCGGTACTCAGCTAGAGTCAAAGTGCTGGTCCTCAGCTAGAGTCAAAGTGCTGGTACTCAGCTAGAGTCAAAGTGCTGGTACTCAGCTAGAGTCAAAGGGTCGGTACTCAGCTAGAGTCAAAGTGCTGGTACTCAGCTAGAGTCAAAGGGTCGGTACACAGCTAGAGTCAAAGGGTCGGTACTCAGCTAGAGTCAAAGGGTCGGTACTCAGCTAGAGTCAAAGGGTCGGTACTCAGCTAGAGTCAAAGTGCTGGTACACAGCTAGAGTCAAAGTGCTGGTACACAGCTAGAGTCAAAGGGTCGGTACTCAGCTAGAGTCAAAGTGCTGGTACTCAGCTAGAGTCAAAGTGCTGGTACACAGCTAGAGTCAAAGGGTCGGTACTCAGCTAGAGTCAAAGGGTCGGTACTCAGCTAGAGTCAAAGGGTCGGTACTCAGCTAGAGTCAAAGTGCTGGTACACAGCTAGAGTCAAAGGGTCGGTACTCAGCTAGAGTCAAAGTGCTGGTACTCAGCTAGAGTCAAAGTGCTGGTACTCAGCTAGAGTCAAAGGGTCGGTACTCAGCTAGAGTCAAAGGGTCGGTACTCAGCTAGAGTCAAAGGGTCGGTACTCAGCTAGAGTCAAAGTGCTGGTACACAGCTAGAGTCAAAGGGTCGGTACTCAGCTAGAGTCAAAGTGCTGGTCCTCAGCTAGAGTCAAAGTGCTGGTACTCAGCTAGAGTCAAAGTGCTGGTACTCAGCTAGAGTCAAAGTGCTGGTCCTCAGCTAGAGTCAAAGTGCTGGTCCTCAGCTAGAGTCAAAGTGCTGGTCCTCAGCTAGAGTCAAAGTGCTGGTACTCAGCTGATCTAACGGAGACCGTGCTCTGAACATATGTAACTGTCTCCTCATGGACAGTATATACTGTATGTATATATAATATATATATATATATATATATATATATATATATACATACAGTATATACACACACACAAAAGCACAGACACATACACAGAGTCAGACACACACATACAGAGACAGATATGGACACACACACAAGCACAGACACAGACAAAGAGTCTCACACACACAAACACACAGAGAGCATGTCATTCTGACAAAACATTTTACCAAACTACAGTAGTTGTCCAATCCATTTTAGTTTTTTCTATCATTGGTCATCAACAAAAAAACGACACACACAGAAACACACACACAGACACACACACACACACACACGTCCTTGTACCTTCTCTCCCTCCGTGTTGCTCTCAAAGATGTACGCGCTGTAGGCCGGCTGCCCCTCCCCCTCGCTCCAGTCTCTGCCCTCCACCACGAAACCCATCAGGCGCCCGTTCTCCTGGTGAGCCGCAAACTGACACACATCACCGAGCTGGAACTGAAACACAACATCCACATGGTTCAGACACGGGACTGAGGCTGTAGACCCAGGACTGAGGCTGTAGACCCAGGACTGAGGCTGTAGATCCAGGACTGAGGCTGTAGACCCAGGACTGAGGCTGTAGATCCAGGACTGAGGCTGTAGATCCAGGACTGAGGCTGTAGACCCAGGACTGAGGCTGTAGACCCAGGACTGAGGCTGTAGATCCAGGACTGAGGCTGTAGATCCAGGACTGAGGCTGTAGACCTAGGACTGAGGCTGTAGATCCAGGACTGAGGCTGTAGATCCAGGACTGAGGCTGTAGATCCAGGACTGAGGCTGTAGACCCAGGACTGAGGCTGTAGATCCAGGACTGAGGCTGTAGACCCAGGACTGAGGCTGTAGACCCAGGACTGAGGCTGTAGATCCAGGACTGAGGCTGTAGATCCAGGACTGAGGCTGTAGACCCAGGACTGAGGCTGTAGATCCAGGACTGAGGCTGTAGACCCAGGACTGAGGCTGTAGACCCAGGACTGAGGCTGTAGATCCAGGACTGAGGCTGTAGATCCAGGACTGAGGCTGTAGACCTAGGACTGAGGCTGTAGATCCAGGACTGAGGCTGTAGATCCAGGACTGAGGCTGTAGATCCAGGACTGAGGCTGTAGATCCAGGACTGAGGCTGTAGACCCAGGACTGAGGCTGTAGATCCAGGACTGAGGCTGTAGATCCAGGACTGAGGCTGTAGACCCAGGACTGAGGCTGTAGATCCAGGACTGAGGCTGTAGATCCAGGACTGAGGCTGTAGATCCAGGACTGAGGCTGTAGATCCAGGACTGAGGCTGTAGACCTAGGACTGAGGCTGTAGATCCAGGACTGAGGCTGTAGATCCAGGACTGAGGCTGTAGACCCAGGACTGAGGCTGTAGACCCAGGACTGAGGCTGTAGATCCAGGACTGAGGCTGTAGATCCAGGACTGAGGCTGTAGATCCAGGTTTTCATTATCAACAGTAGTTTTGTAATAGTTTTGATTCATTTACATGTAGGATTAAGGTTATTTAACTTGCTAGCTAGCTCTCACTAGCTTGATGAAGCCCAATGGGGAAGTGCTCATGGTGAAGTTTGGCTCCAGCTCTCTCTGGCTCCTATTGACTTACATGTAAAAGTAAACTCCTCTAGCTCAGTAACCGTTTCTTTCACAACAGACAATCCCCCTCTATAAAGGGCGAACTCTCCTGATTGGCTCTGGGGTTGCTAGATCGTTGCTATAGTAACATTTGGCTCCATATTCTCACCCAAAGAGCCTGTTTTAGCTCTTTTTACGGCAAAAGCTAAAGGCTACGGGCAATGTCTCCACAAGTAATATCTCCTATATTCTCACAGCATTCAAAACCTACGTTGTTGTTCAATACAGTAAGGAATGTCTTCAAATAATAATAATAATAATGAGATACTTACAGTGATTTTATTCACTTGTGTCTGGGGATCGATTAACCTGCACCAAAGACAAGAGAAAATGCATTAAGACAAAAAGGTGATTAATGAGGAGGTGGGTTTCTGCACAAGCCGAAAAAGTGAACGTTGGAATCAAGTCGAGGTTCCTGGTCATAAGAGCTTAATTAAACAATAATACTCACTTGATGCATCCATAATATTATAAACAATCATCACATTGAATCAATAATATAAGTTATTTTTGTGATTTTATGAAAAGACGACTTGACCGAGAAATGAGAGATTTGGTGAAAATGTACATTACTTTATGCTGGAAACAAAATTTAATCTGTGGCAGTTTCTGGACATTCCTGTTTCGTTCGTACCATAGACTGTATTAAGATGGACAATGCTAACCCGCTAGCAAAATGAAGCCCAAAAGGAAAGTGCTCAAGGTGAAGTTTGGCTCCTATTGATTTCCATGTAAAAGTAAACTCCTCTCGCTAACCCTAACCGTTTGTGTCGGCGTTCTCTTTGATCCTGGTGTTTATATTGTCTTTGAAAATCCAGGATTGACCAATCAGATGCCTTGATTTGCGGTGGAAAACGCCAGCTCGCCTTAGCAACCGTCTTAGCAACAAGTCTGCCTCTGTTATTGCACAAAGCTAACACCGTCGGAACAAATGCCCAAATGCAGAAATGAACTCCAGCTAGCATATGTTACAATCAGCCTCTTCTATGGTGATGTCACACTCAGTCTTCTCCTCATATACAGTCTGAGGGGGGTTTCTCACCTGATGTCGTTGCTGGTGACCATGAGGTGAGACTCTGTGGTCCTGAAGATGTTGTGGATGGCTCGAGCGGCGAGAACCTGCCTCATGGCCTCGTAGATCACTTCCTGGTTGTTCCCACATCGCACCGCCATGGAACCCAAGAAGCGGACCTCGAACACCTGCTGCAGCAACGAGTCTGAAGGGGGAAGAGAGGGGTGAGGAGGGGATGAGGGGAGGAAGAACCAAAGAACAAGACAGAGGGAGGTGGTCTCTCTCTCTTGTCTCTCTCTTTCTGGGCCTTCTCTGTATCTCATAAACCAGGAGATACTCTCTCTTTGAACTGGATGGGTGTAGGGAGCGATCTGGTCCCTCTCTCTCGTACAGGTCCCACTTTCTCCCTGGTCTCGGTCTCTCTCCCTCTCTGGTCCCACTCCCTCTGGTCTTGGTCCCTCTCCCTTTCTGTCCCACACTCGCTTGTCTCTCTCTGGTCCCTCTCTCTCTCTCTGGTCTTGGTCTCTATCCCTCTCTGCTCTCGCTCTCTCCCTCTCTGGTCTTGCTCTCTCTGGTCTCACACTCTCTAGTCTCTCTCTCTCTGGTCTCTCTGTCACTCTGTTAAAGTCAGTGTTGGGCACGTTACTTTGAAAAAGTAATTAGTTATAGTTACTAGTTACTTCTCCCAAAAAGTAACTGAGTTACTAACGGAGTTACTCCACTATAAAAGTAACTAGTTACCAGTAAAAGTAACTATTGCGTTACTTTTTTGTTTTGTTCTGGAACATAATGTGCACTCGACGTGCACATGTTGACCTTTAACCTCAGTGAGTCTGAAATAGTGCCGATATCTCCATCTAGAAAAGGCTGTTTTGCTGCCGAAGTCCTGTTCACTCTCCATCTCTCTCTGTGCTGTAAGCACTAAACACAACACGCTCCACTGTGAATGTGGAAACACCGGTGAGCACTGACTTCAGCCCAATCAGATGAACATATATATCATATAAATCAACTGGACCTAGAGAGAGACTTATTCACATTTTGTTTGGCTTCAGCAGAATATGTTTCATGCATTGTTTGTTCATACAAAACGCAAAACTATGAGTTATGGGTCTTACCTTATAAATGACCTGCACAGTCCACTTCAGTTCAGACCAGTTCTGTGTTTAAGTCCAGATAATAGTTTGAGCGTAGATATGTAATCCTCCATTTGGAAATTAGTCCAATGAGTTTTAAAAAGTAAAACAAAACGCGTGTGTCCTCCATAAACTCCTGTGTTTTGCTAGCAGCAGCCGGGTGCATCCAATTTCTAAAATCAACCTTACACTTCACCTCTATTTCTTATCATTCCTATAGTCATTGAAAAATTACCCTAAGTGCATTTTAAATTATCTTAAAATGTGTTATATGTATGTTAGCCAAACCTGTGGCTGTCCTTAGCAGATAAACCAGGAAGAGAAAGGAGCTTATCGATGGAATTGTATGCAGCCGACTTCTGCGCTCACATGCGCTCCTCTGAGCCCTCACGGTGATACAAGCCGTGGTTGAGCGCGATTAAGACCCATATTTGTTTCAAAAACACAATTTATGAGCCATCCTCTCAACTGTAAACATGTAGATTGTAAAGGAAATATGTTTTACATCAGCCAATAATTGCTGAGAGGTTTTCTCATCCTCCCTTCTCTCATGACAACATGCACAGGAGTCCCATCACGAAGTAAAAAGAGAAGTTCACTGTGCGTCTTGAGTAACGCGCAGTAACGGGATGTCGGAAATGATAACGGCGTTATAGTTACAGTCAAAGTAATTAGTTAGATTACTCGTTACTGAAAAAAGTAACGGCGTTAGTAATGCCGTTACTAGTAACGCCGTTATTCCCATCACTGGTTAAAGTGCTCCAGTGAGAATTAAATATAAAATAAATATAACAAATGAGGATAATACACACAGTTCTGATAATTACCATCGCTCTCTGCCAAACACTCGTCTCCCGTTTCTCCAAAAGGATTCGAGCGTCTGTCAGAAACAAACGGAGACAAAACCAAAACAATTAACCTCCCGCTACGACACGTCTGCACACATCTGGTTCTCACAATCACCGCCTGTCACCACGGCGACAGCTGCATCCGAGGCATCAACACTGGGATCAGAGAGACATCGTCTTAAACCTGCAGAGAATAGTGCTTTATGGACAAATATCTACACATGTGGTCTGGTCTCTCTCTCTCTCTGGTCTCTCTCTGGTGTCTCTCTGGTCTCTCTCTGGTCTCTCTCTGGTCTCTCTCTGGTCTCTCTCTGGTCTCTCTCTGGTCTCTCTCTGGTCTCTCTCTGGTCTCTCTCTGGTCTCTCTCTGGTCTCTCTCTGGCCTCTCTCTGGCCTCTCTCTGGCCTCTCTCTGGCCTCTCTCTGGTCTCTCTCTGGTCTCTCTCTGGTCTCTCTCTGGTCTCTCTCTCTCTGGTCTCTCTCTGGTCTCTCTCTGGTCTCTCTCTGGTCTCTCTCTGGTCTCTCTCTGGTCTCTCTCTGGTCTCTCTCTGGTCTCTCTCTGGTCTCTCTCTGGTCTCTCTCTGGTCTCTCTCTGGTCTCTCTCTGGCCTCTCTCTGGTCTCTCTCTGGTCTCTCTCTGGTCTCTCTCTGGTCTCTCTCTGGCCTCTCTCTGGCCTCTCTCTGGCCTCTCTCTGGGCTCTCTCCGGGCTCTCTCTGGGCTCTCTCTGGGCTCTCTCTGGGCTCTCTCTGGGCTCTCTCTGGTGTCTCTCTGGTGTCTCTCTGGTGTCTCTCTGGTGTCTGTCTCTCTGGTCTCTCTCTCTGTCTCACCCTCCTCCTCTGTTCTGGTCCATGAACTCGGATGCAGGGAGAGTGATGTCGAACTGGATGGGTGTACCAGGAGCGATCAGGTCTTCAGCTTCAGTGGTAGACTTCTGTGACGCTCCGCTCACATGGACCCCACCTGGTTTAGCTCTGTGTGACATCACAACCAAAAGGTGACGTTAGAAACAAGAAATATGTTTTCTCAGTGTCACCAAAACAAAATCAAACAAAGCTTTATACTGTAAACCAGTGTCTCCCAAAGTGGGGTCCGCGGCCCCCTGGTGGGCCGCGAGGGTACTGCAGGGGGGCCGCGGGAGGTCATAAAAAAAATAAAAAAATAATATAATTATTTAATGTTAAATTTATAATGTTTTGTTTGTAATATTAAAATATTTGTGTTCATTATTTGACTTGAATAATCCACTGTAATCATTTTTGTATTACAATGTTTGTAGCAGAGGCTATTTCCCCAAAATAAAATAACCAGAAGAGCCTATTCTTAATGTTGTCTTCTTGGTTATTATTTTGGGGGGCCACGCAGACCCGTCAGATTTTTAAGGGGGCCTCGGTGTTACTGAGTTTGGGAATGGCTGCTGTAAACTATTGCTCTCTGGTCTCGCTCTCTCTGGTCTCGCTCTTTCTGGTCTCGCTCTCTCTGGTCTCGCTCTCTCTGGTCTCGCTCTCTCTGGTCTCGCTCTCTCTGGTCTGTCTCTCTCTGGCCTGTCTCTCTCTGGTGTCTCTCTCTGGTGTCTCTCTCTGGTCTCTCTCTCTGGTCTCTCTCTCTCTGGTGTCTCTCTCCCTGGTCTCTCACCTGTCTGGATTGGGGGAGCCCTCTTGTCTCTTCTCGAAGCTGGTGATGGGGGTGACAGCCTGGATGGCGGTTTGGTTCAGTCTGATGGCCACAGCCTGACAGACAAAGATATGGGTGAAACATCAGGATTCAGACAGACCCAGACCAGGACCCAGGCCCCAGGACCCAAGACTCAGACCCAGACCCAGACCAGAGTTTCGTTCGGGCCTGAAAAATCAAGCCTGACCCGGCCAGAGCCCGCTAATGTTAAGCCCGAGCCCGTATAAGCCCGACCAATGAACGCTGTATAACAGGCCCGAGCCCGACAGAACCCGACACATCTGATTTCCTTGTTATACGCACTCTCCTTCCAATCGCAAGTTTAGGCTCCACTTTTGAATTTGTTTTGTCTCCACTTTTCCATTTCTAATATTGTTCCTGTTCGCTGTTGACCACAGCAGCAGGAGACACGGGGATGATGCGTTCACGGCTCGCTGCTGCTGTAGGACACGCTGGTTACGGTGTCATTAATATATTCACTTTTTTTAATAACTTGTTTTCAATCAACGGACATTGTTATATATATATATATATATATATATATGCATATCATTATGTATAAAAATCATTTAAAAATAATTCTAATAATAATAAAAAAGAAACATAAAAAAGAAGCCCGAGCCCGGCACGAACCTGACAGCTGAGCGCCAAATGAGGCCCGAGCCCGGCCCGAACTCAGGTCGGGCCTCGGGCCTGCTCGGGCTCGGGCTGAAAAGCGAAACTCTAACCCAGACTAGGTGGGGAGTGTTTTTACCTCTGGGTTGTCCGTCAGGTAAATCTGTCTGGAGATGTTGTTCACTGTACATATCCACTGGAGAAAGAGACATTAGTGATTTTATGATTACAAATGTATCAATTGAAATAAATGCGAATAATGAATAATACTTTGTGTATATCGCAACGTCTAAAGGAAGTAGACGTTCATTGTTAAGTAGAGCTGCAATATTATTGGCTCATCACAGCAGCCATTCCCAAACTCAGTAACACCGAGGCCCCCTTAAAAATCTGACGGGTCTGCGTGGCCCCCCAAAATAATAACCAAGAAGACAACATTAAGAATAGGCTCTTCTGGTTATTTTATTTTGGGGAAATAGCCTCTGCTACAAACATTGTAATACAAAAATGATTACAGTGGATTATTCAAGTCAAATAATGAACACAAATATTTTAATATTACAAACAAAACATTATAAATTTAACATTAAATAATTACATTATTATTTTTTTTTTTTTTATGACCTCCCGCGGCCCCCCTGCAGTACCCTCGCGGCCCACCAGGGGGCCGCGGACCCCACTTTGGGAGACACTGAGCTACAGTATCAACATTTCTTCACACTGTAGGGAGTGTGACTTTAATGGCATCTACAGGGGAAACAGAAATGCATGGTTTGGGTTGATTTTTATTCAACCTTAAGAGGAATTGTCTCATCCAATTATCTTTTTATGTTATCTACCATTTATATTTCATGGTGAAATAGTTATTTCACCATTATTATTCAAATGTGGTGCAGAGCTTTATGCGCACAATTCAGAGGCTGCAATGAATGCTTTTGTCCACTAGATATCAGTGTTACAGGCTAGTCTGAGCTAGCTCTGAGGCCTCGACATATTTGACACAATCTGGCAAAGAAAGCCTTGGTGTGTTACCGAGCGTCATCTGTTCATCACTTCTATTTGAGGTTCTTTTTTGTAGACTTGGACTGAACAATGTGTTTATGGCACTAGCTACACACATTCAGCCATTATTTACCTCATCCATACATCTTGCAGAGAAAGTCCTTTACCGTTTACCTGAATGAAATTGAATACATAGAGCAACTACTGGAGGGCAGAACAGTGTGTGTGCACATACATTCTCATAATCAGATAAAGAACGATGTATTCATTCGTAAACGAGGCCTAGATACAAAGTTATTAGTTCTGCTTTGTGCCACAGCTTGTTCCATCGCCTCACCTCTTCATATTCCTTTCTGCTCTCAGCCTGAAGTATCATCGACCTGAGGGAACAATACAACACAGTCAATTTGTGATAATAGCAGCAGCCATTAGAACGAGTTGTTTGGGACCAATTAAAACAAAATGACTTCTCAAATCCTAAAATCATATTGGTGCTTGACGGTCTAATGCTGGGTTTACGGCTGACGTCAGTGCAGTGGAAAGTCCTCAGAGGGACAGGAAGTAACTCTGTCCATTAAATGCATTGACCTGTGTAGCATCTGTGTAGTATTTGTGTAGCATCAATGTATCGTCAGTGTGGCACCTGTGTATCATCTGTGTAGCATTGGCCTGTGTAGCACCTGTGTAGCATTGGCATGTGTATCATCTGTGTAGCATTGGCCTGTGTAGCACCTGTGTAGCATTGGCATGTGTAGCATCTGTGTGGCATTAGCCTGTGTAGCACCTGTGTAGCATTGGCATGTGTAGCATCTGTGTAGCATTGGCATGTGTAGCATCTGTGTGGCATTAGCCTGTGTAGCACCTGTGTAGCATTGGCATGTGTAGCATCTGTGTGGCATTGGCCTGTGTAACATCCGTGTAGCATTAGCCTGTATAGCAATCGTGAAGCAATAGCCTGTATAGCATCTGTGTAGTATTAGCTTGTATAGCATCTGTGTAGTATTAGCCTGTATAGCATCTGTGTAGCATTAGCCTGTATAGCATCTGTGTAGCATTAGCCTGTATAGCATCTGTGTAGCATTAGCCTATGTAGCACCTGCCACAAAACACAGCAGCTGGGTTTTGTACAGTTCAAAATGACTCAAGCAACACAGCTGGAGGGTATTACCAGTCTCAGTCGACACGAGTCTAAAAACACGGCTCTGCAGCGTGTAAACTGACCATGCTAAGTTTCTAGTCTTTCGTTGGTTGTTATCGTCAGTACGCACGTTTTCCCGGTGGAGGAGGTGATCTGGAAGCAGTATCTCCGGTCTTCACACTCGATGGCCATCACGGAGCTGTTGTCCAGGTCCAGGACCATGCCCCCCGCCACGGCCCCCCGCGGCTGGCACATCAGGTTCCCTCCCTGGGTGAAGAAGTACAGACGGTCCCAGGCTGTGGTCACCAAGCCCGTTTTACTGCGGGAGAAACCAGGAACAGTTAACTCTAGAAAACTGTTCAGGGGAAAATGGTTAACATGTGAGTTAGACGTATTAGATGGCTGTTAGGGCTGTTTATTCATTCATTCATGTATTTTTTATTTTTCTTGGATGCCCATTAGCGACCACTAGCTAGTCTCCCTCGGGTCCACTCCCCACAGAATATATTCACATTCCAAATTGTTGGAAGTAAACATGATGTTTACAAAAAATATTGACCCAAAACATTTCACGTCATCCTTCAACAGTCATTCACGCATTAATATACTACCACTAGTTGCATGAGTGGTAGTAGACTGAGAGGTAGACTAAGGTGGTGGTAGGCCGAGAGGTAGGCCAAGGTGGTAGTAGACCGAGAGGTAGGCCAAGGTGGTAGTAGACCGAGAGGTAGGCCAAGGTGGTAGTAGACCGAGAGGTAGGCCAAGGTGGTAGTAGACCGAGAGGTAGGCCAAGGTGGTGGTAGACAGAGAGGTAGGCCGAGGTGGTGGTAGACCGAGAGGTAGGCCGAGGTGGTAGTAGACCGAGAGGTAGGCCAAGGTGGTAGTAGATCGAGAGGAAGGCCATGGTGATAGTAGACCGAGAGGTAGGCCAAGGTGGTAGTAGACCGAGAGGTAGGCCAAGGTGGTGGTAGACAGAGAGGTAGGCCAAGGTGGTAGTAGACCGAGAGGCAGGCCAAGGTGGTAGTAGACCGAGAGGTAGGCCAAGGTGGTAGTAGACCGAGAGGTAGGCCAAGGTGGTAGTAGACCGAGAGGTAGGCCAAGGTGGTAGTAGACCGAGAGGTAGGCCGAGGTGGTAGTAGACCGAGAGGTAGGCCAAGGTGGTGGTAGACCGAGAGGTAGGCCGAGGTGGTAGTAGACCGAGAGGTAGGCCATGGTGGTAGTAGATCGAGAGGAAGGCCATGGTGGTAGTAGACCGAGAGGTAGGCCAAGGTGGTGGTAGACAGAGAGGTAGGCCAAGGTGGTAGTAGACCGAGAGGTAGGCCAAGGTGGTAGTAGACCGAGAGGTAGGCCAAGGTGGTAGTAGACCGAGAGGCAGGCCAAGGTGGTAGTAGACCGAGAGGTAGGCCAAGGTGGTAGTAGACCGAGAGGCGGGCCAAGGTGGTAGTAGACCGAGAGGCAGGCCAAGGTATGGATGGTTGAAGAGAGTGCCGGGTGTGAGAGGGTTCACAGTGGATGAATCTAGACTTTGTGCACAAGATAGGGAAGCATGGAGAGTGATTGTGAATACATGAGAGTACTGCTGAGAGAGATCAAGATGTGTGAATGTGGATGCATGAGTGAGTGATAGGAACTTCTCCCTGTCGTCCACCACCTCCAGGAGATCATGGTTTACAGCTATAGATAGATACTGCAGCGGGATGGAGGGGCTATAGGCATTTGGTCACTTATATGTATTGGTGACGTTTCCATAGTATATCTCGGGTCTCTCCCTTGGGTCTCCTTCTCTCTGGTCTCCATCTCTCTGGTCTCCATCTCTCTGGTCCCCATCTCTCTGGTCCCCATCTCTCTGGTCCCCATCTCTCTGGTCTCCATCTCTCTGGTCTCCATCTCTCTGGTCTCCATCTCTCTGGTCTCCATCTCTCTGGTCTCCATCTCTCTGGTCTCCATCTCTCTGGTCTCCATCTCTCTGGTCTCCATCTCTCTGGTCTCCATCTCTCTGGTCTCCATCTCTCTGGTCTCCATCTCTCTGGTCTCCATCTCTCTGGTCTCCATCTCTCTGGTCTCCATCTCTCTGGTCTCCATCTCTCTGGTCTCCATCTCTCTGGTCTCCATCTTTCTGGTCTCCATCTCTCTGGTCTCCATCTCTCTGGTCTCTCTCTATGGTCTCTCTCTCTATGGTCTCTCTCTCTCTGGTCTCTCTCTCTCTGTCACTATCATACAATAGTCTAGTTGTGAAGAACCAAATAACATTATGACAGTATCCAGTGTGGAACTTATTTGAAAGAACTCTAACGTAACTCAAGGAACCAACACTTATACACAGGGGTGCACATAACGTTTTCAGTGAGGTTCTCAGATGAGTAGCAGGAGATGGTGTTTGGTACTCACTCCATTTGTCGCGTGGTTCTTAATTGAGATTTTTTACTTGCTTCTTTTTCATGCTAGTTTAGATCAGCTCAGATAATGACTCACAGGGCTCTTTCTTAAAAAATCAAAACAATGTTCTCCTTGATTTGTTCACAACATTTCACTTTTGGGCACAACCAACAACCTTACTATGCCTTATTAATGCAAGGGAAAATGTAGGTACCACAGCTTTAATTCAGAAACACGGGGAGGACATGGACACTGCCTTAAAGCTCCAGAGTCCAGCTCTGTTTCTGGCAGTAACACAATATGTATTTATTTATTTATTTTGTGTTACGCAAAGACAAACACTTGCAACAAGCAGAAATGGTCCTGGGACATTATGACCACGTTCGGCTACGTGCTCGCCGCATTGTTGTCCAGGAGCCGCTGTCAGTACAAAGCAGCCGGAGTGGCTCTGGAGTCAGAACGCCACTGCCACGGAGGATTTGGAGTCCCGTTCCAGTACGTACAGCAAACAGGAGCGAGTGCCCCGCGATCACGCACACCCTCTCTGGCATTGCACCACGCCCCCCAAAGGGAGGAGCGACCATGGAGCTATTATAATAACAACCCATTTTGAGAAGGACTGGTCTATGTGAAGTAAGTCAAGTGATAGTACGCATTTCTGATACTTGTCGCACATGCGTACCTTATGTGCACATATTTCACCAGTTGAAGTGAAATCTGAAATCGCTCCAAGAAGCATAATTCTCATTGTGGCGTCAGTCTCTGGAGTCTGTAATGTTTTGTTTTGTTTGTTGGCTTTGAGGATTGATTAGAGAACGTCCCAAATGCCACAAATATCACACACTACACTCAGCTCATTAATGTCATTAAAGCAGTTTGTTTTTTATCTCCACTTTTGGCAAATATCCCGAAAACGCTGTGATTAAACTCTGCCTCGCCGCTGCCGTTGCCGTGGGCGACTCGGAACTCAAACATCGACGAACTGTTCCGTTTAATTTAATTTTTGTTGACATTTCTTATGATAAATAAATGCTTTTGTAACAAAAACAAGTTCATTTCCAGATAATATTAAATGCCAAACTATGCAAATGTGAGGTGTGTGAACCAACAACAAATGCTAAAGGACTGCAAGAAATATCAAAAATTATTCATTTTTAATCATACCATTAATTGTGAAATATTATCTCAAAAATACGAGATTTGGCCTAAAGTACAAGAAAAAGTGTGAAAGGTATCAAAGGTCTGTCTCTCTCTCTGGTCTCTCTCTGGTCTCTCTCTGGTCTCTCTCTGGTCTCTCTCTGGTCTCTCTCTGGTCTCTCTCTGGTCTCTCTCTGGTCTCTCTCTGGTCTCTGGTCTGTCTCTCTCGTCTGGCCTCACTCTGGCCTCACTCTGGCCTCACTCTGGCCTCACTCTGGCCTCACTCTGGCCTCACTCTGGCCTCACTCTGGCCTCACTCTGGCCTCACTCTGGCCTCACTCTGGCCTCACTCTGGCCTCACTCTGGCCTCACTCTGGCCTCACTCTGGCCTCACTCTGGTCTCTCTCTGGTCTCTCTCTGGTCTCTCTCTGGTCTCTCTCTGGTCTCTCTCTGGTCTCTCTCTGGTCTCTCTCTGGTCTCTCTCTGGTCTCTCTCTGGTCTCTCTCTGGTCTCTCTCTGGTCTCTCTCTGGTCTCTCTCTGGTCTCTCTCTGGTCTCTCTCTGGTCTCTCTCTGGTCTCTCTCTGGTCTCTCTCTGGTCTCTCTCTGGTCTCTCTCTGGTCTCTTTCTGGTCTCTCTCTGGTCTCTCTCTGGTCTCTCTCTGGTCTCTTTCTGGTCTCTCTCGTGGGGAAAGCTTCCTGTTATGTTTTGCACTTAATGAACATAACAAAGGCTTTGGTAGATAATAGTGCCCCACCAGACGACAGCAAGTTGCACTTTTGTAAATGTATAAGTTCAAAGCCAAAAGCAGTCTGCCAGTAGCTCATTAAAGAAATGCTTATTCTAATAATAATATAACCTTCATGTTGTGTTAAACTAATCCAAATGGAACACAGCAAAAACCAAATCGTTCATAACATGTTCTTTGAAACAGCTGCAGAATACTCGAGCCCGATAGCCTCGCACACAGCTGCACAAATCAGACGCACAAGCAGAAAATTGTACTTCAGCCTGTGTGTTAAAGGCCACCGTTAGAGAGCGGAGATCAGTGTCAAGTGGTGTTAAAGGATTCACGGTGCTGGGAGGAGAGAAGACGCTGTGGAGATCTGTGAGACTGATTTTGTTCATGATTTTGGTTCAAAAAAGGTGCAACTCTTCAGCCTAAACCTCTGTAGGTCTTTAAACTGGTCAATCTTTGAGAGTGAAGGTCTTTTTTTGTTGAGCAATGACAGAAAAAGGAAAAAAAATAGAAAAGGAGCGACAACTGTAGTTTGGTGAAATGTTTTGTCAGAATGACTGTCTATGCATATAAGCTCTCTTTGTGTGCGTGTGTGTGTCTCTTTGTGCATGTGTCTATGTGTGTGTGGGTCTCTTTGTGCATGTGTCTATGTGTGTGTGGGTCTCTTTGTGCATGTGTCTATGTGTGTGTGGGTCTCTTTGTGCATGTGTCTATGTGTGTGTGGGTCTCTTTGTGCATGTGTCTATGTGTGTATTAGGGTTTAATCCCGGGACACGGGATTCCCGGGAAATCTGATCAAAACTATTTCCCGATTCCCGGGAAATATTATGACGGGAAACGGGAAATGAAAGTTAAAATAAAATCCAGTGCGCTCCTATTATAGAGCACGTTTATTGATGTTCAAAGTTCAAACATATTTCATATACAATCAACATGTCTACAGCTGAGAGGATGGCTCATAAATGATGTTTTTGACAACAAATATGGGTCTTAATCGACCTAAACCACGACTTGTAATGAGGCCAGCCTCAGGGTACGGGGCGCATGTGAGCCCAGAATTTGGCTACGT